CTTTATTTTAAACTCACTTCCGCAGGATTGAAAAGTCCAAATACAACCCCTTTTTCTCCTGCTGTCAAAGGGGGTTCAGAAATCTTAGATGTTGAATTCTAGTTCTCTTAAAATTTAATTTTCAGGCTTTAGTATATTTTGTCTTTGCTTTCTTCACATAACAAAAGAACGGAAGGCGACTTCCTGTTTAGACCTTCCCATTCCGAGTCCCAATTAAGTTCAATTTCAAGTCCAATATTATTTGTTTATTCACCAGTCTTAAAAGTGGTTCAACTCTTCCAAGATCAGGTACTCACGGATAGATGTTTTAGATGCCAAATTGTCCAGGAAAAGGCAGCGCTCTCCGATAACGGCAGTGCGGCTTTGCTGCACGGAGGAAGCAGACGACTCACAGCACCACGCACCTCCCACTCCGGAGCCCGTTACCGGGCTCCTGTACAAGGGGAGAGCGCGCTCTCGGTGCCCGCCGAGTCCCACGTCCACAGGCTTCTTCCGCCTGTGGTTTTTGCGGGTCCCCGCTGCGCCGTAGCGGTAGGACCCAAGCCTCCGTGCAGCGGGTTCCCTTCAGTCCGAAGGGAATTCCGCCATTTTCCGGAGGCGCCACCCCGGAAGTCCCAACAAATCCACTTTCAGTGTTAGAAGTCACCGAGAACAATACAAAGCACATGGTGCACTATTGAACAGCATGTTTCCCTGTGTCTGTTTTTAGACTTTTTATAAGGGATTGTCAACTATGTTCCTTGCGAGGTGCCATGTGCATAGAGGGCACTATAGAAATAAGAAATAATACAGAGCAGGCTGTGAAATTGTGATGGTAGGGAGTTGGGCTAAATACACTTAGTGCTACCCTCGAGTCAGAATCCACAGGGCCCAGCCTTTTCTTCCACTATCCACAGCCAACAGAAGACTCATTGTTTCCCACGACACTTCCGGCAAAGCACTCTCACAGTCAGGTTGGGGGAAAGTGCTCCTGCTGGATCGAGCACGTCACGATCGCAGCAAGGCAAGGGAAGCACAGGGCGAAGTGACTTCTCCCAAAAAGGTCTGAGAGGACACCTCAGACCGAAAAGGGCACCAAACAGTGCAAAAAGGGGTTCAAGCACAAGAGTGGGAGAAGGACTGGAGAACCTCAGCGCTAAAAACATTGGGCCAACCTTGCAGCGAGACACCCCAAGGACTGAATTGATTAGTGTTGAACTCTCTGATTTATAAGAGCCACTGGACCCTGCATCTTAAATAAAATAAAACAAAACTTGGACTAAAAGAGGTTTAAACTAAAAAAAACCAAGTTCATAGATGCAGAGGTTACAAATTACTATTAAGAAATCTCAAGCCGAAAGGTTAAAAACATTTTACTTACCAGAGATCCGCAGCAACACAATCTATTTAATTGCAACTAAAGAGCTTTACAGTGGTACCTCGGGTTACATATGCTTCAGATTACAGACGCTTCAGGTTACAGACTCCGCAAACCAAGAAAAAATGCATCGGGTTAAGAACTTTGCTTCAGGATGAGAACAGAAATCGCACGGCCGCACGGCGGCAGCAGCAGCAGCAGCAGCGGGAGGCCCCATTAGCTAAAGTGGTGCTTCAGGTTAAGAACAGTTTCAGGTTAAGAACGGACCTCCGGAACGAATTAAGTTTGTAACCAGAAGTACCACTGTACATCAAAGTAAAAAGTGAGGCTCTGCCTCTTGGCTCCTGCATACTAGCTCAAATACTGAGGTCGAAGTGAGCAAAATAGTTCAGCAAAGTTTAAGAAATGACCTAAATACCTTTTAACGTTAAGGATTTTGAAACTTGGAGCACATTAAAATTATCAATAGGAGGAAGAGTTTCCATAATTAAAATGAATGTCCTTCCCAAAATGCTCCATCTCTTTCAAACAATTCCCATATCTAGAGAAATATTTTTTGAGGAGTGGAGGAAAGATATGACAAAATTCATATGGCAAAATAAGAAGGCCCACATAAAATTTAAACTCCTGACAGACAAAAAAGAGAGAGGAGGTCTGGCGTTGCCAAATTTAAAATTATACTGTGAAGCAGAATGCCTTGTATGGCTGAAAGAATGGATCATTTTGGAAAAAGCAGATTTATTAGACCTGGAGGGCTTTAACAACAGATATGGATATGCCTACCTCGCATATGATTAGATCAAAGTCCATAAAGTCTGGAGCAAGTACAAAATGAGACTGGAGCCAATGACACCATGGTGGCTTGCACCTCTAGAAGCCCATGCCATGAAAAAATTAAACATGAATAAGGAATGGGCAACATATAGAAATTTGATAGGGGAAGATCAAGGTAAACCTAGAATAAGACCATATGAGGAAATAAGGCATTATGTCTCCAACAGATGGCAATATATACAACTTGGAAGTGTCTTTAACTCGGACTCGAAGAAAGGCTTTGCTAAAGTGAATTCATTAATGCATGAAACATTACTAAAAAAACCCTCAAAAAATTACTATCTAAAATGTATAACCTATTGCTAGATTTGGATATGTTTGATGAGGAAGTGAAAGAGACAGTGATTAAATGGGCGTGAGACTTTGGCCACACAATATATTTAGAGCAAAGGGAGAAACTTTGGCAGGAAGATATAAGATTTACCACCTGTAGTACTGAAATATACTCAGAGTCGAGAGTGGATTTCATACTCTTTATTCAGCTCATAGTGGTGAGGAGGAACGGAAGTCCCCTCAAAGTATCTGCTTTATATACATTATTTACACAATGGGCTGCACGTGATTGGCTAATTCCGGACTTCTCCTGTAGGCCAATCAGGTTGTGGATTCACTTCCATCTGGAGCCAGATTGGGTGGCTCCTGCAGACCAATCATACTGCTGCATTTTGGATCCTATTCAACTCAGTACATAACAAATACAATAAAAGAAAATTTAATCAAAATGTTCTACAGGTGGTATTTAACACCAGCCAAATTAGCAAAAATCTATAAACTAAAATCCAACCTCTGTTGGAAATGCAACAAGGAAGCTGGCACAACAATGCATATGTGGTGGAGTTGCACCCCAATTAAGTACTTCTGGGGAGAAATACATGAGTTGGAAAAAATGCTTAAAATCCCATTAACGAAAAAACTAGAGGCCAACCTATTGGGCCTTTTAGGAAAAGAAATACTGAAATCGAAAAAAAGAATTTTCTTATATGCGACCACCACAGCTAGGATAGTAATAGCATCTAAATGGAAAGCTAAAGAACTACCTACCAAGGAGGAATGGATTCTCAAATTAAATGAATATTTAAAATTGGCTAAATTAACAGCATCCATATGACAGCAGTCAAATCAAAAACTAAAAAATGAATGGCAATGCTTTGATGATTATATGACAAAATATTGCTCTAAAAAAGACATGCTAATGTGCTTAGATTAAGAATGTAAATGCATCAAAACAATAAATTATCAGTGACATATGTATGTATATAGAGAAAATAAAAACAATCAGAATCCAATGATAAGGGTAACATTGATTCTAGATAAGACGAGTAGTGGTGGAGGGAAGTTAAACTGGGTGGTAGGTTTATTTTATTTTGTTTATGTTTTTTCTTTTTCTTTTTCGGATATTGTATAATGATTTAATGTTTCTTTTCTGTTATGTATTATTTCTCTTTTTTAATTAAATTGTATGATGGAAAATCTAAATAAAAATACAAAAAGAAGGGGGGGGAGAAGACCCATTGTTTCTCAGGCCAGCCTCCTCCCATCGGCTACACTTCAGCAGTATCACCAGTAGCCAGGGATGATGGGAGTTGCAGAAATTGTAACTGAAAGGTTGGCCAATGCTCCTACCTTTAATTTCAAGTTGAGGGCTTTTTGGAAGCCTTCTGCTAGACATTTTGCATGGCTGGGCAGCCGCTACAGCAGGCTGTAGGGGCCTTTGGAAAGCAACACTTAAATATGCAGTCCATTGGGACACTCCTGCTATTGAGATGAATGGTGAGCCTTACAAGAGCCTTACATTTCAACAGGGCTTGCCTATAAGAGCATCCCAATGGTTTCTATCAACTAAAATTACTCAGTCTGCCATTGGATTCCACCTTTAATATTCAGATCTCCAGGGGAAATTGAAGGCATTCACAGGCTATGAATGATTGTTTCTTAGCTTGCCCCTTCTGCACATCGAGTTTGGGCTCTCATTCCTTGGAATCACCATGACAACATTCCTCTGGAGCACCAAACATCCTTGAATCAAACTCTGGAAGCAAACTAGTCTCAAGCTTCTGCAAACACTCCTTTTCTGTTGACTCCCCCCCCCCCCCGGGGTGCAACATTTATTTGAGTTTTCCTCGCTGGCCTGCCTCCACGAAGGTGCCAGGAACATGCTTTGCTCTGAGAAATTCTCCTTGCACTCTCCTTTGCACCCTTGTACTGTACTTGAAATCCTACAAAAGTGCTCTACCATGAGGGATCAGTGTGTAAGCAGGAACCACAAAAGAAGTTGTTGTTGTTTAGTCGTTTAATCGTGTCCGACTCTTCGTGACCCCATGGACCAGAGTACCCCAGGCACTCCTGTCTTCCACTGCCTCCCTCATGCTGGTAGCTTCGAGAACACTGTCCCACTATCTTGTCCTCTGTCGTCCCCTTCTCCTCGTGCCCTCTGTCTTTCCAAACATCAGGGTCTTTTCCAGGGAGTCTTCTCTTCTCATGAGGTGGCCAAAGTATTGGAGCCTCAGCTTCACGATCTGTCCTTCCAGTGAGCACTCAGGGCTGATTTCCTTCAGAATAAGTAACCAGTCTCAAAGACATTCACGTTACTATGAGTCACCCCCAGGAATGCATGGAGCAGGTGAAGATAGGTCAGGCTGCTAGTATAAAAATGTACACTAAAGCAGCCCTTACTGGTTCATAGACCTGTAGCTGTGTGTATTTTCTGCAGATATCAAACAGAGATCTCTTCTTGCTTGCTTTGCACATGGGATCTTTTCTAACTAGGCTGCCATGCTTGGTTTGCTAGATGGATGGACTAAGGGAAAGGGCCTTAGCTCAGAGGTAGAGCATCTGCCTTGTATGCGGAAGGTCCTAGCTTTAGTCTCTGGCATCTGCAGGTAAGGCTGGGAATGTACCCTGTCTGGAATCCTGGAGAACTGTGAGTCAGTGTAGACAATACTGAGCAATGTGGCCCATTGGTCTGACTCAAGGTGGCTTCCTATGTTCCTATAATGTACACACACACAAAAACACATTTCTTCCTCCCCCTCCAGTTAAAGTTTGTCATGCAAACTTTGTTTCAATATAAAGTTAAGAACAAACACCACGTTGTCTGCACAGAGACTGATGCTGCTGCAATTCCATCTCTGGCAGACATTGCTAATAGCAAATGGGCATTCCATAGCTGCCCAGGCAGAAGCAGGCCTTGGGGCTTGACACTCAAAAGTGTCCAGGATTTCTCCTGGATCCTCAGTGATATTACATGTAAAATATCCAAGTCTCTACTTGGTGGATGTGGATCTGTTGGATTCTCTGCACACATCTGTTGTTCTTCAGTTGCAACACAACCAGAATTTGCCTTTGCAATGAGGACTAGACTGTGGCTCTAGAGGTGCGCCGTCAGTACCTGCTTCTTAGCAATTCCTGTGTGTAGTCCTGATAATGTCACTGAGTCCCTTGTGAGAAATACATAAGAATAAATTTAAGGATTAAAGGCAAACGGATGAGCTAAGAGGATTTGCAGCCCAAGCATCTCCCCTTTCTTCAAATACCTCATTTCAGCTCAGTTCCCCTCTTCCTCTCCCAAAGCTGTGTAGCTCTTCCAGCCAGAAAAGGATTTAAAAAACATAATATGCAAATCAGAACCGTTTATGTAGACCAACAGTAATCTCTTACCTTCACCTGGTTTCTGTCACTCCATAATGTTGTATCTCTGCACCATATACTGTACTGAAGAAAGCAGACAGCTGTACATGGTAAAGATGAATTATCTTGCATTTCCTTCTTTGACAAATATATAAACTTGCCTTTGCCACACTCAGTTAAACCTTTAGGTAAAAAAAGCAAATGGCAGTTTCCCCACAATGGTCATTTTCCCAGTTGAACAGCAGGGTTGGATGAGAGGTGCCATTCAGGGGCAATGTGAAAGAGATGCTACACAGCCAGGATTGAGGAAGGAGAAACGGATCTGAGTTGGATTTTTATTTAATCCTTGTGAATCTCATGAGACAACTCTGCAAACTTGTCTATTAAAATATCAGTGTTCGGAAATAATTTGCTCCAGTTGCAACTTCCATTGCAGGGGGTGGGCTAGATGACCCTTGGGTCCCTTTCAACTTTACAATTCTATGATTCTAAGGTTTACTTGAATGTTTAGAAGACTCAATCATTTTTAAGCTAACAAACCCTACCTATTTGAAGGGCCATAGCTCTGCCATGCATACAGAAGGTCCCAGGTTCAATCCTTGGCATCTCCAGGTAGGGCTAAGAGAGACTCTGAACCTGAGTTGACAATACTGAGGTGCTCTGGTTATCTCCCACATTGACTACTGCAATGTGCTGTATGTGGGGCTACACTTGAAGTTGACTTGGAAACTACAACTAATCCAGAATGCGGCAGCTAGACTGATGACTGGGAGTGGCTGCCAAGACCATATAGCACCGGTCCTGAAAGACCTACATTGGCTCCCAGTACATTTCTGAGCACAAATCAAAGTGTTGGTGCTGACCTTGAAAGCCCTAAATGGCCTTGACCTGAATGAGTGTCTCCACCCCTGTTGTTCAGTCCAGACACTGGGGTCCAGCTCCGAGGGCCTTCTGGCAGTTCCCTCACTGCAAGAAGTGAGGTTACAGGGAACCAGGCAGAGGGCCTTCTCGGTAGTGGCGCCTGCCCTGTGGAATGCCCTCCCATCAGATTTCAAACAGATAAACAGCTATGTGATTTTTTAAAAGACATCTGAAGTTCAGGGAAGTTTTTAGTGTGTGATGTAGTATTGTGCTTTTACTATTTTTTGTTGGGAGCCTCCCAGAGTGGTTGGAGCAACCCAGTCAGATTGACAGCATATAAATAATAAATTACTGTTGTTGTTGTGGTTATGAGTCAGACGGACCAATGGACTGACTCATTGTAAGGCCATTTCCTATGTATACATTAACACCAAGAAAGTTCAGTGCTGTCACATGTGGATTGAACCAGCCAATCAGCATAGCCAGCCCTGAGGGATGACAGAAGCTGTCATCTAATATTGAGAGGACTGCAGGGTTCCCACCCATTATCTGCCACATGGTTAGCCAACCATGGTTCCCTCCAGATGTTGTTGGATTACAACGCCCTAATTCCCAACTATTGGCCAGGCAGGGTGGGAGGGAGTTTGGGAGTCCAGCAACATCTGGAGAGCCCCACCAGGACTATGCCTGCTCTAGACCAAACCATGCCCAGTTCTTTTCACTCTGCAGCCTAACTAATGAGAGATCAAGACACCTTTCATTCCTATAAGGTGCTTTGATTGAACCTGTAAGACCCAGGTTGAAAGGTCTGTCTCATCTTCCTGGCCTTGCTAAACCTGCACCATGTCTGAACATGCACACAAGTCTTTAAAATAAGCAAGCAAGCAAGCAACCTTTTGATCTGGAAGCAGATGGGTGGGGATAGGGTGCCACGGTCTGATCTGCTTCTTCCTGCTCAGGCAAAAATGTAAGCATGACAACAGTTGGGTGCTGTTTCCACCGTTCCACTAAAGCTGCTATGAATAAGTGGGGCCCGAGGGTGGTTCCTCATGATTTTTGCCTACGAGGTGGGGCTTATCAATGCAGGCACAATCTCCCTCCATTAGCCAAGAGGAGATGCTTTGGAGCCTTTGCTTCTCCACTTTCTTCAGATACTCATTAACAAAAACTAGGATTGCAGGGTGCGGGGGCTACTTCTGTGAGCCTTGCTTCTGCCTGCATTTGTGAGGTCAAATCCATTGGCAGATTAGTCTAAGATTAAAGATTAGGTTTAAAGATGTTTAAGGAAATGGAAACTTGACAATTAAGAGGTAAAATTTCAATGTTATATTACATTAAGATCAAAGATTAGGTTTAAAGAAGTTGAAGTTATATATCATATTAAAATTAAAGATTGGGATTAAAAAAGTGGAAAAGAAATTGCTGGGCAAACAAATTGGATTGGAATACAAAAGAGGGAGGTATGAGGAAGTCCAGAAAATAAGTAAATTCAAAAACGGAAATGGAAAAGAGATATTGTTTTTAATTGTTATGTTGTTTTTTATTGTTGACTTTTGCTTTTTGTGTTTTTTTTTGTGTTTTTTTCTGGGATTTGTATTGTGTATTTGTGTATCTGTTTTATTTTTTTTTGTTTTTGTTTGTTGTTTAATTTTTGATTGAAACTTTAATAAAAATTATTTTTTAAAAAAAAATCCATTGGCAGAGTTGCCAGCTCCCCACCGGGGCAGACCACTGACCTGAAGTCTCCAGGCTTGCCTCCCTGGTCCCAGGGGGAGGGCTTGTATCTACACATGGGCAAGAGCACCTGTAAAAAAATAATTAATTAAGAATACTGTGCATGCAGCTTGAAAGCTTCAGCCTGACAGGAGCTTGCAGCAAATTATTGCTCTGCCCTTCTTCTCTCCTATGAACACCTACATGTATTTTCTTTGTTTTCTGAACAAGCAAATGTTTTGTGGCTGCTTAACAGTCCAGAGACTTCTGTGCTAATCAAAAGCCCTTGCAGCTCCATAAATAAATTTTATATTGGGAGATATACCGTGTGGCTGGTTAGAGATACACCAGATTATACATTTTCTAAATCAAATAAATAAATAAATAAATAAAAGGGCTCAAGAATTACACAGCTGAAATGGTTTTGAGAAACTATTCTATGGCCGAGATATTGGGAAATTCTGGAACAAGATGGAAACAGATTAAAATTGCAGAGCTTTGAAAAATTGAAAAACAGAGTGCGAGATTGGCTCCATTATTATCAAATAATGGAGGCATACAATATGGACAAAAAAGTTGGTTTCCAGGTGGAAAAATCAAAATTGGAAACAGAATTGTTAGATCCAAAAATCAAGAATTTGTCAAGAATGTATAACTTGCTGTTGAAATGGAACACTCAGGATGAAATGGTGAAATCAGTTATGATTAAATGGGCACAAGATGTTGGACATAACATAATGATGGCTGACTGGGAACAGTTATGGACCACAGGTATGAAATTTACGACATGTAATGTCCTAAGAGAAAATTTAATGAAAATGATTTATAGGTGGTACATGACACCAGTCAAGCTTGCAAAAATTTATCATTTGCCCAACAATAAATGTTGGAAATGTAATGAGACTGAAGGTACATTCTTTCACCTTTGGTGGACATGCCCAAAGATTAAGACATTCTGGGAGATGATCTATAATGAAATGAAAAAGATATTTAAATATACCTTTCTGAAGAAACCAGAGGCCTTTCTCCTGGGCATGGTTGGCCAATTGGTGTCAAAGAAGGATAGAATTTTTTTTATGTATGCAACAACAGCAGCAAGAATACTCATCGCGAAGTATTGGAAGATACAAGAGTTACCCACTCTGGAAGAATGGCAGATGAAGTTGATGGACTATATGGAATTGGCGGAAATTACTGGCAGAATCCGAGACCAGGGAGAAGAGTCGGTGGAAGAAGACTGGAAAAAGTTTAAAGACTATTTACAGAAATACTGTAAAATTAATGAATGTTAGGAAAATGTTGGAATGAAGTTATATGGCTTTAGTAGAAATGCTATAAGGAATTAAGTATAAATAGATTAATAGAGTATTAAAGGGAAAAATAAGGTTAGAATGTGTTAAGATAATTAAAGGATAGAAAGCAGAGGAAGATGGAAAGGAATTGCTGAAACAATTAACAGAAGTGGAATACAAAAAGGGAGGTGTGAGGAGGTCATTGAAATAAGTGAATGGAAGATAAGATATTGAAACTGTTTGATGTGTTTTAGACTTTGTTTTGTTTTGTTAGTTTAATGTGTTAGTGTTATGTATTGTTTTTGTATTGTATTGTATTGTTTATTTTTTTTTGTAGTGTTTAAATTGTTGGAAAAGTAATAAATGTAATTTTTTTTTTTTAAAGAGAAACTATTCTATTCAGCCAACCCACTGGGAAAGGGAATCTCTCCCAACGATATAAAATCCTCACACAACTGACTACCCTTCCTCTCACTTCAGTAAGACTAAAATGAGGTGAAAGGTTTTGGAAAAGAATTAGAGGAACAACTCTGGGAACAAATTTGGGATGAACCACCTTTTGGATCCATCTAAATTAGAATTTGAGAAAATGCTTTAAAGATAGCACATCACTGGTTTATGTGCCCAGCCAGATAATATAGAATTAATCACAACACACTGAACCTTTGCTGGTGGGAGTGCAATTTACCTGCACATGTGGTGGTTTTGCACAAAAATTATCCCTTTTGGGGGAAAAGTGTTTCAAATGATGCAATAATTGCTAAAACCAGACTCGAAATTAACTCTACTATTGTAACATACTTCACAGATTAGAACGAATAAAGATTTCATCCTCCATTTATTAACTGCAGCTAGATTAGTGATTGCAGAAAAATGGGAAAGCTTAATGCAAATCTTTTTGAAGCCTGGATTTCGCAAGTGATGAACATTGTGCTTATGGACTTTGTTAAGACTCTGTTGCCTATGTTAAGACCATAAGAGCCAACTCCCAGGGGCTGAGGTCCCTTTGGCCCCCAAATAAAATATTTGATGGGACTGCCCTCCCCCAAGGCATTGCCATTCAAATGGTGTGCGTGTACCACATCATGTGATCAATTATGTGGGGTGGGGCTTACCTTCTCTCTCCCCCCCCCAATATTTTATTCAAATTGGCACCCCTGGTTAAGATAATTGAACATGGTTTTCATACACACTCCACTAACTCAAAAAATTTTACACTTTCATGTATCATAGAATCCTAGAATTGTAGAGTTGGGGCCCCAAGGGTCATTCGTCCATCTCCCTGCAATGCCGGAATTTCAACTAAAGCATATCTGACAGATGGCCATCCAACCTCAGCTTAGAAAACCTCCAAGGATCCAAGAAGTCCACCACCTCTAAGGGAGACCGTTTCACTGTTGAACAGCTTTTACTGTTAGAAAGTTTTTTTCTGATGTTGAGTCGGAATCTCCTTTCTTGTAACTTGAAGCCATCCTACCCTCCAAAACAGGAGAAAACAAGCTGTTCCCTCTTCCATGTGGCAGCCTTTGAGATATTTGAAGATGAATATCATATCTTCTCTCAGTCCTCTCTTTTCCAGGCTAAGCATACAGTAACCAACTCCTTCAACTGTTCCTCACAAGGTTTGGTTTCCAGACCCCTTTTCATCTTAGTTGCCTTCCTCTGCACGCATTCCAGCTTGTCAACAACCTTAAATTGTGGTGCCCAGAACTGGACACAGTATTCCAGGTGTGGTCTGACGAAGGCAGAATAGAGTGGTCCTATTACTTCCCTTGATCTGGACACAATACTTCTGTTGAGGCAGCATTAGCTTTTTTTCTGCTGCATCACACAGTTGACTCACATTCAGTTTGTGGTCCACTAAGACCCCACTATTTTTCTTTTCTATGCAACTACTAAGCTCTGTTTTTATTGTATGGGTATGTTTTGTTACTTGAAATTAAATATTAGTTAGGAAAAAAGAGTATCAAGTTGCATAAGCAGTGGTGGGCAGAGGTGTAGCTAGTTGGTTTCAGGACTACAGTAGTTATGGGACAGAGATGACTTTGGATACCTTGGTGGATGACATGCCAGGAACTGGACTGAGCTAGTGTATCCCTATTGGTTCTGCTGAACTTCCTAGTGGCTTTCAATACCATCAACCATGGTATCCTTCTGGGCTGCCTTGCTGGGATGGGACTTGGAGGTCCTGTGTTACAGTTGCTCCCTTCCTTCCTGGAGGGGCAAACCCAGAAAGTGGTGCTGGGAGACTCCTGTTTGATGCCTTGGCCATTGGCCGGCAGGGTCCTCAGGGTTCTGTTTTGTCCCCCAAACTATTTTATGTTTACATGAAACTCCTGTGAGAGGCGGTTTGGAGTTTCAGGGTTCAGTGTCAGTATGCTGATGATACCCAGCTCTATTTCTCATTTTCACCTAAATCCAAGGAGGCTGTCTCAGTTCTAAACCAGTGTCTGTCATCAGTAGTGGACTGGATGAGATTGAACTAACTATAATATAATACTGACAAGACAGAGGTGCTCTTGATCAGTTGGAAGGCAGAACAGGGAATCGGGATTCATCCTGTGCTGGATGGGGAGCACTCCCTCTAAGGACATAGGTCCATAGTTTGGGTGTTCTCTTGAACTCAGCCCTGAGAATGGATGCTAAGGTTTCTGAGTTGGCCAGGAGTGCATTTGCGCAGTTACAGCTAGTGCGCCAGCTGCACCCATTCCTTGAGATGTCTGATTTGGCCAGTAACACATGCATTAGTTGCAATCCGTATGGATTAGGGCTACCTTTGAAAAGTGCTCAGAAACATCAACTGGCTCAAAGAGCTGCAGCCAGACTGTTGCTCAGGGCTGGTTATAAGGAGCAGATAAGTTGAAATTTCAGAGTCTGGGATGTTCCTGACCTGGCAACCTTAAGGGTGGGTGGACAGCCGGAAACTGTATGTGTATCTTCATCATTATTCTACATTAATGGGGAGCGGGGGACACAACCCTCTAAGAGCAGAGGTGGTAGGAGAGTGCAGAAAGTCCTGTGGGGACACATGAGCCTTGGATGCAGGTTCCAAGTTCAACTCCAAGTAGAAAGATGCTGGGTCAGCAGGGCTGGGAAAGCCCAAGACCTGAAAGAGCTGTTGCCCAAGGCCTGCCCCTATTTGGCTGCTCTAGAATAGAAGAGCACCCCACCAGAATGGGTATATTGTCCTGTGTCCTTCAGAGTGCCCAGTATACTTTACAATGTGAGAAGTTAGTGCCTGCTGAATGGGGAACTAACTTCCATTTCAAATGGGCTGACGTAGAGACTGCAGAAGCTGTTTGCATTATAAGCAGTCCCATCTCATTCACTCCACTCTCTTATGACAGCATGGAATAGCTCTTATTCACCCTCTAATGATAATACAAGAAGCCATGCTTAAAACAAGGCAGGGTTTATAAGTCAAAAACTGTGGCTTATGGGTGTCATTTGTTTGTGATTAATAAACCGTAACAAGCAGGGCCCAGTGTTATATGCAAACCAGGCTAGAGAGACATAACTCAGAATCTGTCCCAATCCCAACACCAGAACTGTTACATATAACAGCCATATTTTGTTTGTTTGTTTAATTATTGATTTGAAAATACATAGAACCATAGAGAATATATAACTTTCTTTTGTCTTTCTGGCCCCACAGAAATAAGTTACAATTAACATCGGTTAACAAAATATCAAAGCAGAATTTTTTAAAAATAACCAAGATTATGCCACAGAGCGGAATGCAAACAGGCAAAAAGCAGCACTTTTATTGTCAAACATTAACTATGAAAGCAACAGCAGGGCATCTCATAAGGAGTGATACCAGAGTAGCCCAAAGGAGCCCGCTGAGATACACACACAAAGCAGCAGCAGCAGTAGCAAGTTGTGTCAGGCAGCAATCACTCAACAGATACATTCAGAGCTCATGTTTTCTTGCTCCAAAAAAGGTACCTGAAGAACCTTCCTGGGTTGCTTGACACAGACACACACACAGAGAGAGAGAGTGCGACACCACCTTTCCAACCAGAACTCCCACTAAGCTTCCAGCTTTGGGTGTGTCTCTTTTGGCCAAGATGGAGCCCCCAGCCCCACCCCACCACAGCTGTCAACCTTCCCTTTTTTTGGCAGGAAATTCCCTTATTTCAGTGCCGTTTCCCGCTGCTATCCCAGACTGTTAGATATCCCATAGACTGTCTCCGGGACAGGTGAGCCTGCTGATCCCTTATTTTCAAATCTGAAAGTTGACAGCTATGCACCCCACCCTGGTTAAAACAAAAACGAAGCTCTGATGATTAGGGCACAGTTGCCCACAAGCCAACAATTGCTAATTCACACGGAGAAGCTGTAGACCATGGGTAGGCAAACTAAGGCCCAGGGGCCAGATCCAGCCCAATCGCCTTTTAAATCCGGCCCGTGGACAGTCCAGGAATCAGCATGTTTTTACATGAGTAGAATGTGTGCTTTTATTTAAAATGCATCTCTGGGTTATTTGTGGGCATAGGAATTCGTTCATTTTTTCTCTCTTCAAAATATAGTCCAGTCCCCCACAAGGTCTGAGGGACAGTGGACCAGCCCCCTGCTGAAAAAGTTTTCTGACCCCTGCTGTAGACCAACCTGGGACCCTCCAGATGTTGTGGGGCTCCAGCTTCCATCAGCCCCTACTCCCAGTGCAGCTGCATGATGATGGGGCTGATGGAAGGAAGGCCACATGGGCTTGGTCTGATAAGAACTGTAGTCTTAAAAAAAAAGTGCCCTTCAACCCTGAGGCCTCAGATGTTGCTGGACTACATCTCCCATCATTCTTGGCCTTGGGTTAAGTTGGCTGGGGATGATGGGAGTTTTTGTCTCAGGGCTCAAGGTTGCAAAACACTGGTCTATAACACTCGGAGTGTACCAGGCTGGCGAAGGCTGATTTAGATGCACACAAATCTCACAGCTCCAATTCACAAGTGCTTCTCATCTTTGTTCTGGCATACTTCCTTGTGTATGATAGCCCGTCCTGCTGAAATGAATGGGGATTTCTCCATCACCACCCCACCATATGCAGGAGGAGATCATAGAATTGTAGAGTTGGAAGGGACCCTGAGAGTCATCTAATCCAACCCCCTGCAATGCAGGAATATGCAGCTATCCTGTACAGGGATCGAACCTGCAACCTTGGTGTGTGTGTGCACATCAGAGGGTGTCAACAACTTTGGATTGGGGCCAGAATCCAGACATGCAGCAGAACAGAGGCACCCCTAAATGAAAGCACAGCAATACATTTTTCTGCTTTGAACTTTGCATTCCCTTAAGGCACGGATGGGACACCTGCAGCCTTCCAGATGTTGCTGGACTACAACTCCTGTCATCATCCCATATCATTGGCCCTGCTGACTGCAGCAGATGAGAGATGGGAGTCCAGCAATGTCTGGAGAGCCACAGGTTCCCTATGTTTGCTTTAAGGTCTTTAGATAGAGCTGACATTGGAAAACAAACACACACACACACACTAAAAAAGAGCTGGCTGGAACAGTTATTTCTAAATATGCCACTTGAATATTCCACAGTCAGCCTGTTGCAAAACTTGCTTCTTCCAGCACTGTACACTAGTCAGAGGAGAACACAAGAACACTTGGTGTTCAATGGCAAGGGTATTTACTACACACGACAGAACAGGTATCGAAGTCAGCTTGGCTCCAACGTAGGAAAAAGCAGAAACGGTGTTGCAATGGAAGGAGTGTGTGCTTTTTCAAACACCAAAATAGCAGCAATTGAAACCTTTAAAAAAACGTATCTGTGGCAATTATCACCAAAATTTCCAGCTGCTACTTAAGTCCCAGTTGAAAAGGAGGGGCATATAGGAACTATGCAAACTATTCTAACAGGTTCACATTCTCAACCATGACTGTAATAAGAAACAAAAAGTTCTAGTGGAATGACTGCCTGATACTGTGTTTGGCCACCGTTGAAATAACAGAAATCTCTTCATCTTAAGAATGACCAGAAAACTAGAGTCAAGTGTTTAAATGTGGGCTGTCAAATTAATTCCGCTGCAGCTGAAAGAGAATAATGTGTGTGTGTGGGGGGGGGTGTTATAGATAAGTTGTGGACTCCCATCTCACATCAGGGATGACCAGCAGATGTCAGGGGTGACGGCAGTTGGAGGTCCAGCAGCTTCTGGGGTGTGTCCCCCCCCACAGCCCCCCCTGCTGTGTTAGCTTAACATTCTTTTAGAGGATTGCAAAGAGTAACAGCTGGTTTTATTCTCCCCTGCCCAAGGCTTCACCTGATGTCGTAATGTGTATAGATAACATGGGCCGTCTTTTTCAAGGATGTAAAAGTCCTCCAGCCAGAGATTCCAAAGGCTGCCCATGATAGCATTTCTACTCAAAGGGCAGGTTCATGCACAAGTTAGAGCACATCCAGTCTCTGACCCACCAAATCAATCCAGATCCACGCCAGTTTCTCATTGACAGACATGGCATTCTGGGCATGAATCTTTTGACATGCACACTAGCCCCAAGTGTTGTAATTTCAAAATTAGGCTTCTTTTCTTTTTTTAGGTAATATGAAAAAGGGAATCAATGCTTGTGGCATGCACACTCACCTCTGGTCAACAAAATCTGGAAGGTTTTCATAGGGATTCAGAAACCTGCCAAGTCTCTTTGGCAAGGTGATGGGATGAGAGAGACATATCACTTTATACCCCATAGGAAATGAAGCCACTTTTTCTTGCAAACTATTATCTGTCTTTATCCTCTGACGTGCAACAGAACAGCAACAAACCTCCACTACTACTCCCAATACACTCAAAGAATTTTGGCATCTGAGGAGCAGCAAAACGCTTTTCTTAAAAGCAATTATTTCTTAGTGCCCTGCCTAACTCACATATACATTTTCTATACTGTACATATAATATTTGTATCTATATAATATATAGATATAGACACATACACAAACAATTTCCTGATCAACATTTAAAAGATATGTTTGGCGACACTGAGAAAAGAATGTATTCGTTTGCATAATGCTTCACGCACACAGAGTTCAGGACGCACAGAGAGAATCAATAAAGACCTGTAAATAAATAACATTTTCTTTGCATTTAAAAGTGCTCTCCTTAAAACACATGCGCGCGCGTGCACACACACACACACACACACATACACACACAAAGCAAGACTGCTATCAAATGTCCAAAATATGCTCTCTCTGATAGCATAGGCAGAAAGTGCTTGGCTTGATTACTCAGCTAGCTTTTAAAACAAAACCATTTTTTTAAAGGGATTTCAGAAAAACTAAAAGGTCACCCCAAGGGGTGAGTGCAATGAGTTCATGGTGATGTAGCATTGCTCTGAAAACAAGAGTGTGATATGGGAGTGGAAAACCCCTTGTGCTAACAATTGCAAAGTTATATACTAGAAACTACTTCTCAAAATTTAGATACAGCTTCTCATAGGGTCAAAAACAAAGACAACATCAAAAATCCCCTGCAGATGCAGCCTACGCACTGCATCTCACCCTTCCTCCAATAAAAGGGAGAAGATGGACCACGTTGTCCTCACGGTCACTCTGTGAAGTAGGCTGGATGGGCAGGAAGTGACCAACCAACAGCTTCAAGGGTGAGCGAAAATTCAAAGCAAGTCAAGGTCCCATGCTCTTTCCACTGCATCATACCATTTCTCGCTGCCATCTCCAGGGCAGCTGGCTCCTCACAACTTGCTTGGCAAGGACGCTGCCCTGTCAGAAAAGGGCTAGTCAGCCTGCTTAATTCTCTCGTTTGGAGTTTTCCAAAGTGGAAAGGTTTATCTTTCAGAAACAGGTCACTAGATCAAGTTTGTGCTTTTAAGAAAGGAGGGTGGAAACACTAGCATCCACAGTCAAAAAGCCCAGCACAAGCAACATGTACGTACACCCACCCACCCCATGGACTGCATGGATCCTTCAGTCCCAAACTTTATCCTTAAAATACCACATTGCCCTGCCATATCCCAGAAAAAGCTCTGGGGGTAGAAGTAGTAAGGCAGATCAGCTCCAGAACAGGAGGAAGTAACTTGTTTTGTAACTGTTCCCCTTCCTTATGGGGACAAAAGGGCAAAAGCCCACTTGGCACCACTGCCCAGGGGCACGATTCTCTTGTGCTTTAGTATCTGGCTGAGCCTGGGATGTGCCTATGTCTGCTTTGGAGGGCGGTGCCTGATTCTTTAACACTTGCCAGAAAAATAGAGTGCCCTACCACTTTGTGGAAGTCCAACCAGCCACCAAAGGCCATGGGAAGTCCAAGCTGAACTTGTTTGGGGCAAGGAATCCAGTTTGCACTACTGGTCCACCTGGAATGGCCTCCTTGCACAGCCAGTGATGGAAGCCTGGGACTTACAGCTTGGGCGCCAAATGGGAAGGGCAAAATTAATGGGCTTGGGCGAGGTCAGCAGCTCCCTCTCCAAACTCAAATCCCCAGGGCTTTGCATAGGGAAGCCGGGACAGTTAAACCAGTTTGACTGTATTGTTGAGACAGAGCTCCCTGCTTTGAAGTGCAGCTGCCAAGGACTGAACCCCCGCTCCCAATTTAAGGATGGAGGTCATTAAGGGTTACTCACTTTGGAAGCGGTGCTCTTTGACCACTCTCTCCTGAAAGAAGAATAGGAAGGGCTTAGAATGGAAGTACGAGCAGCCAGCACAGAGACCCAGCAGGGTGGGTGGGATGGATTTTGCAGTACTGTTTAAGAGACTAGTCCTCTGGAGTGAGAGGGAGAAGCAACTATGGCTGAGCATTTACTGGCTACGAGGAAGGCCTTTTCATGACAACAACAACCAAACAAAATATAGGCACTCACTTAGCCATGATGGCAACCTTTTCAGGAGATTTTTTAAAATCAGGAAACCCATTTAATTTCACTCTGTTTCTTTCTCCTTCTCTTTTAAAAAGAACACCTGAATTTTTAACAGAGACCAATTCAAATATTTGTCCTCAATGTTACTTCACACTAGAGTGCTAAGAAGACTGGTTAATCTGGTGCTGACCAGAGACAACACAGAGGCAGAACTTCAGAGGAGTCACAGGGTCAGCTCCATGGGCTGCCGTTTCCATCAGCCTTTCCCAACATGGGGCTCACCAAGTGGTGTTGGACTACAACTCCCATCATCCTTGACCATTGGCCAGGCAGACGGGGGATATTGGAAGTTGGAGCTCAACACCATCTGGAGGGCACTAGGTTGGGGAAGGATGGCTTACCTCCTCTAGTAAGTGTTTATAGATTTTCTCCAAGAAGTATCCTGTATCCTGTACTATCACATCATTCAGAAGGACAATGTGAAGGAGAGGCGCAAAGAGTGTGTGTGTGTGTGTGTGTGTGTGTGTGTGTGTGTGTGTTAATAGGCCGAGCCCAACCTCCAAGGTTCAGTGTTGAAGAGAGGAAACTCCTGAGGCTGGACCAGAGCAACCATCGGGTGCTTTCTGCTTTGAAACACAAGGAGCCATCTAGGGCAGAAAGAGAGAAGTGAAAGAAAAATTTCAACGAGATGCCATCAAGGCCCTGGACATACATGATGGCTTTGCAACCTCATGATAGAAAAGCAGGATGCTTAAGTCCTCAGTCCAGCAAAAAATGTGCTGGGTTGGAGAACATTTTTTTTTGTCAGGCCCTGGTCAAGGGCAAAGAATGGCAAGCATCCCCACAGAGCAGGATGGAAGAGGCCAGCCTGGCCTCAGTCTGCTATACGGTTTCCTAATGAAATATGGTGACAGCGATCTGGGGCACTGCAGAAAATTTCAGGAAAATCAGGAAGAGAACAGACAAACCTCAGTGGCAGAGATGGCCTCAACTGGCACCCTTCAGAAGGTGAGAAAGCTTCCCCATAAAAGGATGACCTCGGCAAAGCCTCACCTTTTGATTAAAGGGCCAAGAGTTAGATCCCGACCTGCACATTTTGGAGGTGACAGGGGAAGGAAAAATGCTGGCTGTTTAAAATATTATCTCTGAAGGAAGATCTGAAGGGAGGGAGGGAAATCAACGACAGATCCCAGCCACCCCTTTTCAAGGCTGTCACCTTGACCTTTCCAAACAGGAACAGAAGGTAATAAAACCAGACATCCCAATAAACAGCCACACCCTTTCCACCCACCTAACGACTGACCTCTGTCCTCAAGGCAAGGTTTGTGCCAGTCAAGCTCCATCCTACCTGAATGAGAAAGGAGGCAGAGCTTGTGAGTTCTTTGGTTAATTGTCATCACGGTAACAGAAGAGCCAGCAGGCAGTGGCTGAAAACACCCAGCCCATGCAAACCGTGGAATGACTGGCTGGGAGACTGCCTCTCCAGGGACTGGCTCAAGTTCATGGGGAGAGGCATGCTCCCTCTCTAGCTCTCTGCCTTATGCGCTAGTCCAGCCTCCAAATGTACACAAGGGTTGCTTCAGTCTCCCTTCCTCCTCCAGGGCAGATGTTCTCTCAAATCACTTGTTCTCAATGAGTGTCTGGACTTTGTAGACAAGGTCCCGCGCCAGCTTCAGGACCTGTTGAGTGTTGTGCCGCTCTGCCATTTCTGGAATGGAAGGAAGGAAGCGTCAAAGCAAAACGGAGGAAGAAGAGAGGGTAGGTTCAAAGAAAACAAGGTGAGGTCTCTGCCCTTCCCTCTATCCCCACACTCAGGCATCCTGCAGGGACACCTTTGGGAAGGGACCACAACTATGTGGGAGAGGCCATGCTCAGCACACCGCAAGTCCCATCCCCAGCATCTCTAGTTAAAAAAAAGGATCTGTATGTCATGTGCAAGATACAGAGGACATTCACAACACACACGCATATCAGTTGGGCAGGAAAGCAAGAAGATGGTGCAAAAAAAGAGCTCAGCAAGAAGTCAAATACAGTGGTACCTCGGGTTACATAGCTTCAGGTTACAGACTCCGCTAACCCAGAAATAGTGCTTCAGGTTAAGAACTTTGCTTCAGGATGAGAACAGAAATTGGGCTCTGGCGGCGCGGCAGCAGCAGGAGGACCTATTAGCTAAAGTGGTGCTTCAGGTTAAGAACAGTTTCAGGTTAAGTACGGACCTCTGGAACGAATTAAGTACTTAACCCGAGGTACTACTGTAGCTCAGTCTGCATGTATGTGAAAGATTGCTCAGACTAAGGCCAAAGTCTACAGCTTGATGGAATCTGGTGAGTCCCTCCAGGCACCAACGGATCCCTAAAGAGTACCTTTTGGGCTGCTTTGGTGGTGGTACTGCAGTGCAGCAGAGAACAAGCCAACATTTCTCTCTGCCTGCACAGAGGTCAGAAGGCAGCTCAACCTCAAAGTCCCTGGCTCAGGACTCCTGGAGGCTGCCTTGGTGCCTATTCCTGAGGGGCACAGATTTTGCAGTGCAGTCATTTGGGACAGAAAAGTGTCCTCAACTTCAGCCCCAGCCCATTACAATCTGTACCGTTGAAGAACTTGATGATATCCGTGAAGTCCATGTTGTTCTCCAGGATGATGTCCCGATAAACCTCCACCAAGGCAAGAGCAATGAAGAGGACATAATGAGACGAGGAGATCTGTGCTGCTGCCCAGATCGTTTCCCAGACAGAGAAGACATCATTGTAAACTAGCTCTGTTAGAAAACAGGAACAAAAAAAGAACAGTCATTGAAGCCATCTGAAGCGACCAAAGCTAGGGTTGTCATATGCCCTCTTTTTCCAGGACACGTCCTCTTTTTCATGGGTACGTAAAATGAGAGTCATCATAATGATCCATAGTTAAAAGTAGAAGTCAGCAAATGTGTCCTCTTTTTTGCTCTTTAAAATATGGCAACCCTAAAATACAGAAGTGACCCCCATCCCAGAATTCTCTGCAGCAAACAGCGTTGTGCAGCAAACATCAAAGAGGACACCAGGAAAAAAATTGGGGGGAGGAACAAAGAAGGGCAATTATATTTTACCTTCTCCCAACTCCTGTCCTCAGGATACTATCAGGGCAACTCATGCTGCTCCAGCTAGTGTTAAAAGATGTGTTTAAGTCAAAATGCAGATGCAGACCCCATACCCCCAACGCACCTCGCTTAAAATCCAGGAGAAACCAGCGGTAGCAGAAGTAAAAATGCGTGTAATCGCCATTTTGATGCATCAGCTCAAACAGCTCAGAGTCTAAAATCTACCAGAAAAGCAAAAGCTTCAGGATCTTGTTTCTGCAAGAAAACCACATTTGTCCCTCCCCCACCACAAAACCCCCACATCCTACATGCAGCAAGGTGCTCGATACTCCCTTGACCTCTTTTCAAAGAGCTTCACAGGACATGGAAGTATCAAGCAGAGAACCTAAGCAACACTGCCACCCTTTCTTTTCCTTGCACAGGTATTGTGCCTAACAGCAGGCAGAATGTGTCTCTGAGAGGAGCTTTCAGCAACTGAATTTCTACTGATTAAAGGCACTGGGTTCTTTCCAGGGGTGTGTATGTAGAGGGAATGGCACCCCTCCTCAAGGCCCCAAGGCAAAAACCAAGGAGCTTATCACCCCAAACGGTAACCAAGGGTGGGATTCCAGTGCAAATTGAGGTTTGCATAATTAAAGTAGACTAAGAAGAGCTTCATAGTGAAAAATGAAAATATTTCCTTGGATTTGAAAGTGTTCAACATGCCATGGACCCCTTCATGGATCACTGCCTTGCCGTGGCGAAGGGGCTTGAATAACTCAGAGAAGCTATGAACTATGCCGAGCAGGGCACCCAAGATGAACAGGTCATAGTGGAGAGTTTTGACCAAACGTGATCCACCTTCCTCTTCATCCTGGAGAAGAGTGACTAGTGGGGTGCCACAGGGTTCTGTCTTGGGCCCGGTCTTATTCAACATCTTTATCAACAACTTGGATGATGGACTCAAGGGCATCCTGATCAAATTTGCAGATGACACCAAACTGGGAGGGGTGGCTAACACCCCAGAGGACAGGATCACACTTCAAAACGACCTTGACAGATTAGAGAACTGGGCCAAAACAAACAAGATGAATTTTAACAGGGAGAAATGTAAAGTATTGCACTTGGGCAAAAAAAAATGAGAGGTACAAATACAAGATGGGGGACACCTGGCTTGAGAGCAGTACATGTGAAAAGGATCTAGGAGTCTTGCTTGACCACAAACTTGACATGAGCCAACAGTGTGACGAGGCAACTAAAAAAGCCAATGCAATTCTGGGCTGCATCAATAGGAGTATAGCATCTAGATCAAGGGAAGTAATAGTGCCACTGTATTCTGCTCTGGTCAGACCTCACCTGGAGTACTGTGTCCAGTTCTGGGCACCACAGTTCAAGAAGGACACTGACAAACTGGAACGTGTCCAGAGGAGGGCAACCAAAATGGTCAAAGGCCTGGAAACGATGCCTTATGAGGAACGGCTAAGGGAGCTGGGCATGTTTAGCCTGGAGAAGAGGAGGTTAAGGGGTGATATGATAGCCATGTTCAAATATATAAAAGGATGTCACATAGAGGAGGGAGAAAGGTTGTTTTCTGCTGCTCCAGAGAAGCGGACACGGAGCAATGGATCCAAACTACAAGAAGATTCCACCTAAACATTAGGAAGAACTTCCTGACAGTAAGAGCTGTTCGACAGTGGAATTTGCTGCCAAGGAGTGTGGTGGAGTCTCCTTCTTTGGAGGTCTTTAAGCAGAGGCTTGACAACCATATGTCAGGAGTGCTCTGATGGTGTTTCCTGCTTGGCAGGGGGTTGGTCTCTTCCAACTCTATGATTCTATGATTCTATGGAGGAGGAACCGGCAAGCCACTCCAGTATCCCTGCCAAGAAAACTCCATGGACAAAGACAACAGGCATATAAAAGTTATGACGCTGGAAGATGAGCCCCTCAGGTCGGAAGGTGTCCAACATGCTACTGGGGAAGAGCGGAGGACAAGTACAAGTAGATCCAGAGCTGATAAAGCGGCTGGGCCAAAGCCGAAAGGACGCTCAGTTGTGGATATGCCTGGAAGCGAAAGGAAAGTCCAATGCTATAAAGAAAAATATTGCATAGGAACCTGGAATGTAAGAACCATGAACCTGGGTAAGTTGGATGTAGTCAAAAATGAGATGGCAAGAATAAATATTGATATCCTGGGCATCAGTGAACTAAAATGGACGGGAATGGGCGAATTCAGTTCGGATGACTATCATATCTACTACTGTGGGCAAGAAACCCGTAAAAGAAATGGAGTGGCCCTCATAGTCAACAAAAGAGTGGCGAAAGCTGTACTGGGATGCAATCTCAAAAATGATAGAATGATCTTGATACGAATCCAAGGCAGACCTTTTAACATCACAGTAATCCAAGTTTATGCACCAACTACTGGTGCTGAAGAAACTGAAATTGACCAATTCTATTGTCAGGGAACTGACATCGGAGCTAGAGGCGGAGGGAAGGCTCTCAAATGATGCTGGAGAAGGGCCCAGCAGGGAGAGAGGCAGCTCCGCAGATGGGGAAGCAAATCAGCGCAACACCAGGGATAAAGGGGGGCTGATGGGGGAATCGGCGAGAGGGCTCCAGGACTCTTCACTGGACACCAGCGGAGAGAGCACGGGTCCTCCGCTACCCACGCCCTCCCTGCGCAGAAGACTTCCGTGCAGAGAGAGTAGGAGGAGACTGGGTGTCAAACAACTTTTATGTTGGAAAAGATTTAAGAAACGCCCACTGATGGATTCTGCTAGCGACTGAGGCAGCCACGAAATGAAGGGCTGCCCAGACTGAAAGGTTTAGCAAGGCAACAAAGCCAGGAGAGGCGGCAACTTACGCACGAGCAACCCATACTCATTACAGCAATCCGTCAATCCCTGACGTCGCTCGTGTGTAGCGACAGGCAGGCAGCATCATGAGCAAAACCGGAGAAGTTGGCGCCACGGAGGGAGCAGCTGAAGGGCAAAATCTGGTGGAGAGGAACCGAGATTTGGAACAGCATGTGGCTCTGCTGACGGCGCGGCTGGACGAAAGGCGGTCTCAGGATGCTCAGGTCAGACCCACCCCCGTAGCAAGGAAGGTACCGGGACTGGTACACAAGTTTGGAGGGAAACCCCAGGACTACAGTGCGTTCCGAACGGAAATAGAGTACGCTTTGGAACTGCAACAGAATGATTTTGCAGACGATGGGGAGAGGGTTGCCTATATTGTCGGACATCTGCAGGATGGGGCCAGAGAAAGGATCAGGCCCCTAATGGCAACGCAGAATGCCGCCTTGAAAGACCTGAGGAAATTCTTCCAGGCGATGGATGCGATGTATTCCAGTGATGTACAGCAAAGTATGACTCGGCGGGAACTGATGGGCTGCAAACAGGGGAACCAGTCAGTTAGAGACTACTGGTCACGCTTTGCCATGTTAGTCCACCAGCTCGGGTGGGATTTGGACTCTGAACCCATTCAAATGCTGTTCGAGGAGGGGTTGTCCCCAACGGTGAAGGACGAGCTTTCCCGCGCACCCCGCCCGCAGTCGATGGATCAGCTGACCAAGGCTGTGCTTGCGATTGGTGTAAGGCAGGAAGCGCGGGCCCAGGAGAAGCGGGAAGGGAGAGAGCAACGTTACCATGACTACCGCATTCCTGAAATACCAAGGCAGCCTTCCCCGCCAGCGGAGCCCATGGAAATAGATGGGGGGGCGCGTGCGGGAGATTTCAAACTCCAGTGAAGGTCGCAAGAGGGAGGGAAAGGATGGGAAAACCACCAAGAAGTGTTTTCTCTGCCAGCGGCCAGGACATTTTGCCAGGGTCTGCCCGCAAAGAAAGGCCTGGCAAGGGATGGTGGGGGCTGCAGAGGGTGAGGAGGAGATGGTAAAGGAGCAGGGAAACGCCAAAGCTTGGCTGCCACTCAGCGGGCACAGCAGCCAGGCCAGCAACCAATAGAAGTGCCCAGACCAGACCCCCCCAGGGCGGCTATAGCCATAGAAGTGGTGCTAGAACTCCCAAATGGGCACCCAGTCAAGGTGAAAGGGCTGTTGGATTCAGGCAGTTCCTGCAATTTCTTCAGCAAGGAATTTGCACTAGAGCACCAGCTCCACCTGCTGCCCTTGGATTTCCCCTTGCAAGTAACCACCATTGATGGCAGGGAGCTTCTGGGAGGGGAAGTGACGCACCAGACCCCACCAATGAGAATGAGGGTTTCCAGACACACGGAGACCATCGCCTTTCAAGTAGCCTCACTGGCAGGGCCCCCAATAATATTAGGGATGAGCTGGCTAGCACAACAAGATCCAGTGGTGGCATGGCATCAGAGAACGGTCACCTTTGGATCCGCTTACTGCTTGGAACACTGTCTAGGGGTAGAAACCCCAAGAATGACCGTGGCCAGGGTGGCTGGGATAGCTTTGGAGCTGAAAGGGGAGGTGCCACCACAATATGCTGACCTGAAGGAGGTCTTCAGCGAGAAGGAGGCAGATAGACTACCCCCACATAGGCCCTTTGACTGCCAAATCAACTTGCTCCCGGGGGTGCAGCTACCGGTGGGTAAACTGTATGCCATGTTGGACAGGGAGATGAAGGAGTTGCGGGAGTTTATTGACAAGAACCTGAAGAGGGGGTTCATAAGGGAATCAAAGGCAGTGGGGGGAAGTCCGGTGTTCTTCGTGGACAAAAAAGGGACTGACCAGCCCAGATTGGTCGTAGATTTTAGGGCGTTAAATTTGGTATCAGAACCCGTGACCTTCCCAATGCCCAGGATTGATGACATTTTAAGACGGGTGAGGCAGGGAAAGATTTTTACCAAGCTGGACCTCAGGGGAGCCTACAATTTGATTAGGATGAGGGAGGGGGACGAATGGAAGACCACAATCTTCACGCCCCTGGGGGCCTTTGAGTTCTTAGTTATGCCATTTGGATTACAGTCAGGCTCCGCCTGTTTTCAAGCTTTCATGCACCACGTGTTGGGGTCCCTGCTGTACAAGAACTGCGTAGCCTTCTTGGACGACATCTTAATCTATTCGGACAATGAGAAGCAACATGTCAGAGACGTCAGGGAAGTGCTAAAGAGACTGCAGAAGCACCAGTTGTGGGTCAAGCTGGAAAAATGTCAGTTTCACGCCAGAGAAGTCGAGTTCTGGGGTACAAGTTGTCAGACAAAGGCTTAGCGATGGACCCAAGCAAGGTGCAGGCAGTGCTGGAGTGGAAGGCTCCCAAAACCCGGAAGGACGTGCAGAGGTTCCTAGGGTTCAGCAACTTCTACAGGAAGTTCATCAAGAACTTCGCCCACTTGACAGCACCCATCACAGATTGTCTCAGTAGCAAAAGGAAGTTCGCCTGGACAGAGGAGGCCCAACAATCCTTTGAAAAACTGAAGAAGGCGTTCGCATCGGAAGAGCAGCTCCTGCACGTGGATCTGGAGAAACCCATGAGGCTAGAGACCGACGCGTCCGACAGAGCCATTGGGGCGGTTCTTTTGCAGCCAGGGAGGAGCAATCAGGAATGGAGACCGTGTGCCTTTTTCTCGAGAAAGCTGAACAAGTCGGAGCAAAACTATACGGTGTATGACCGCGAACTGCTTGCGATCTATGCAGCGTTTCGTCAATGGCGACATCTACTAATAGGGGCACAGCACAAGATCCAGGTTTGTACAGATCACAAGAACTTGGAATACTGGAGGACCGCACGAGTGCTCAACCAGAGACAGATTCGATGGGCACAGGAGTTCTCCAAGTTTTCCTTCGAAATCCGATACGTGCCAGGAGAGGAAAACGTGAGAGCAAATGCTCTCTCCCGGAAACCGGAGTACTTGGAAGGAGAGGGGCCACCGGAGATACGAGACGTGATCCCCGAGGACCGATGGGTGTGTGGAGGAACCTTGGTGGGGCAACGAGAACTAGCTGGACTTACTAGAAATGACGTGTTCGCACAAACTAAAATCCGGGAACTCCGAGATGGAAGAGAAACCCAAGGAGGGTTTAAGGAGAAGGAAGGGGTATTGTACTATAAGGGGGCGCTGTATGTACCGGGGGAGACCCTACGGGGGAAGGTACTCAAACAACTCCACGACAACCCCACAGCTGGGCACTTTGGACAGCACAAAACCATGATGCTCGTCACCAGGCAGTTCTGGTGGCCCAGGGTGAGGGAGGATGTACGGGAATATGTATGGGGTTGCGACCGCTGCCAAAGGGCAAAAGGGGAGCGGGCTGCCCCCGCAGGATTACTGGAACCCTTACCCACGCCGGGGAAACCTTGGCAGGTGGTGTCCATTGATTTTATGACCGATTTGCCCAGGTCCCGGGGGAAGACAGCGGTCATGGTAGTGGTCGATCTACTAACAAAAATGTGCCATTTTATAGCTTGCTCACATGCGGTCACGGCAGAGGAAACAGCCAGGTTGTTTGTAGATCACATCTTCAGGTTGCATGGGGCTCCTTCAAGGGTCATCTCCGACCGCAGGAAACAATTTACTTCCCGTTTCTGGAGGAAGCTCATGAGCTTGCTACAGGTCGAAGTGGGCTTCTCAACGGCGAGACACCCGGAAACCAACGGGCAAGCAGAAAGAGTGAACAGTATTCTCCAGCAATACCTACGCTGCTACGTCAGCGAGAGGCAGAACAATTGGGTAGAGAAACTAGCGCTGGCTGAATTTGCGTACAATAACGCTGAACATGTGTCAACGGGAATGAGCCCGTTCATGGCCAATTATGGGTGTCACCCCAGGGCCTTCCCGGGGAGTGGGGAGGAAGGTTGGAGCGTACCGGCGGCAGAGCAGTTTGTGGAAGAAATGGAAGCCCTGCACCAGCAACTTAAGATGAACTTGGAGCGGGCCAAGGAAATTTACAAGAGGCAGGCAGACAAGCGCCGTAGGGAAGGGGAGACCATACGGGTGGGAGATCGGGTGTGGTTGTCAACCCAAGGGTTACCGTTTAAGGGGGAGTGCAAGAAGTTGCAACCCAGGCGGCTGGGACCGTTTGAGGTAACACAGCAGGTGAACCCCGTGGCATTCAAGCTATAATTGCCAGACAGCATGAAGATACACCCGGTGTTCCATAGGTCCCTACTCTCACTGTACAGGGAAGGACGAGGATTCCCGGGGCGAGAGGGAGAAGTCACCACACACCCGCAGGTAGAAGAGAGGGAGCACCACAACTTGGCCACGGAAATACTTGATTCAAGGTGGCGAGGGCGCCAGGTGGAGTACTTGGTGGCTTGGGAGGGAGAACCCGGGTCAGAAAACACGTGGGTTCCCGCGGAGGCAATCACTGACGGGTATCTGGTGGAGGAATTCCACCGCTTGTTCCCGGACAAATCCAAACCACTAGCGAGATTCTGGGAGGAGCAATTTGGAACCACAGACGATGAAGAGGATTTTGTGGGCTTTTCTGTCTCCGAAGGGGAGGGAGAAGAGGCTTCGGAGGAAGAAGAATCAGACTGGGAGGCCCACCCCGCGGGAAGGGATCAGAGTGGGTGGGAAGTGGGTTTTGAATCCTTAGAGGATGGCGACAGCTCCTTCCGGGGGTTCCCCGCATCGTCGGCCGAAGAAAGGGACGAAGTTGGGTCAACAGGTCGGGCCGGGGTTGGAGGGGGTCCTGGGGGGGAGGTGGATGTCAGGGTACTGACATCGGAGCTAGAGGCGGAGGGAAGGCTCTCAAATGATGCTGGAGAAGGGCCCAGCAGGGAGAGAGGCAGCTCCGCAGATGGGGAAGCAAATCAGCGCAACACCAGGGATAAAGGGGGCTGATGGGGGAATCGGCGAGAGGGCTCCAGGACTCTTCACTGGACACCAGCGGAGAGAGCACGGGTCCTCCGCTACCCACGCCCTCCCTGCGCAGAAGACTTCCGTGCAGAGAGAGTAGGAGGAGACTGGGTGTCAAACAACTTTTATGTTGGAAAAGATTTAAGAAACGCCCACTGACGGATTCTGCTAGCGACTGAGGCAGCCATGAAATGAAGGGCTGCCCAGACTGAAAGGTTTAGCAAGGCAACAAAGCCAGGAGAGGCGGCAACTTACGCACGAGCAACCCATACTCATTACATCTATGAAGACTTACAAAACCTTATAGAAGTGACACCAAAGAAGGATGTTCTTCTCATTATAGGGGATTGGAATGCTAAAGTAGGGAATCAAGAGATAAAAGGAACAACTGGCAAGTTTGGCCTTGGAGATCAGAACGAAGCAGGGCAAAGACTAATAGAGTTCTGTCAAGAGAACAAGCTGGTCATCACAAACACGCTTTTCTAACAACACAAGAGACGACTCTACACATGGACATCACCAGAATTATACCAGAAAGATATGGATGGCTCATACACCCTAGGTAGTGTGGTTGCTGACCTTGAGCCAGACATCCTGGAGAGTGAAGTCAAATGGGCCTTAGAAAGCACTGCAAATAACAAGGCCATGGAAGTGATGGTATTCCAGCTGAACTATTTAAAATTTTAAAAGATGATGCTGTTAAGGTGTTACACTCAATATGCCAGCAAGTTTGGAAAACTCAGCAGTGGCCAGAGGATTGGAGAAGATCAGTCTACATCCCAATCCCAAAGAAGGGCAGTGCCAAAGAATGCTCCAACTACCGCACAATTGCACTCATTTCACACGCTAGCAAGGTTATGCTTAAAATTCTACAAGGCAGGCTCAAGCAGTATGTGGACCAAGAACTCCCAGAAGTGCAAGCTGGATTTAGAAGAGGCAGAGGAACCAGAGACCAAATTGCAAACATGCGCTGGATTATGGAGAAAGCTAGAGAGTTCCAGAAAGACATCTACTTCTGCTTCATTGACTATGCAAAAGCCTTTGACTGTGTCGACCACAGCAAACTATGGGAAGTTCTTAAAGAAATGGGAGTGCCTGATCACCTCATCTGTCTCCTGAGAAATCTCTATGTAGGACAAGAAGCTACAGTTAGAACTGGATATGGAACAACTGATTGGTTCAAAATTGGGAAAGGAGTACGACAAGGCTGTATATTGTCTCCCTGCTTATTTAACTTACATGCAGAATTCATCATGCGAAAGGCTGAGCTGGATGAATCCCTAGCCGGAATTAAGATTGCTGGAAGAAATATCAACAACCTCAGATATGCAGATGACACAACCTTGATGGCAGAAAGTGAGGAGGAATTAAAGAACCTTTTATTGAGGGTGAAAGAGCAGAGCGCAAAATATGGTCTGAAGCTCAACATCAAAAAAACGAAGATCATGGCCACTGGTCCCATCACCTCCTGGCAAATAGAAGGGGAAGAAATGGAGGTAGTGAGAGATTTTACTTTCTTGGGCTCCATGATCACTGCAGATGGTGACAGCAGCCACGAAATTAAAAGACGCCTGCTTCTTGGGAGAAAAGCAATGACAAACCTAGACAGCATCTTAAAAAGTACAAAGGTCCGTATAGTAAAAGCTATGGTTTTCCCAGTAGTGATGTATGGAAGTGAAAGCTGGACCATAAAGAAGGCTGATCGCTGAAGAATTGATGCTTTTGAATTATGGTGCTGGAGGAGACTCTTGAGAGTCCCATGGACTGCAAGAAGATCAAACCTATCCATTCTGAAGGAAATCAGCCCTGAGTGCTCACTGGAAGGACAGATCGTGAAGCTGAGGCTCCAGTACTTTGGCCACCTGATGAGAAGAGAAGACTCCCTGGAAAAGACCCTGATGTTGGGAAAGATGGAGGGCACAAGGAGAAGGGGACGACAGAGGACGAGATGGTTGGATGGTGTTCTCGAAGCTACCAGCATGAGTTTGACCAAACTGCGGGAGGCAGTGGAAGACAGAAGTGCCTGGTGTTCTTTGGTTCATGGGGTCACGAAGAGTCGGACACGACTAAACGACTAAACAACAACAACAACAACATGCCATGGAATGTGCAAAGTTAGGAATATTTTTAAAAGCCAGAAAAACTAAAAATAGGATACAGCAAAGATCCAAATTTATGGATATGGGAGGAAATGTTGCAGTTAAAATGCACATGCACTGGACATGTGGCAAGAGATGGCTCAGGAAAATGGAATAAAGCAAACACAGAGGCCATACAATTTCAGAAGACCACCTGTGCGGTGGAGGGACAATCTAAAACTAACAGTAGGGATCATGTGGATGCAGGAAGCAAACAACAGAAAGCAATGGAGAGACTGTGAAGAAGTGTCTATCCAAAGACGGTCGTGAGACACTGTAGAAGTCAGAAAATGAGCTGTCAGCCTGGCCCAACAATTTCATGTTATGGAATTTTCTGGTTTAGAAAGCTGTGTGGAAATGCACTGGAAAATGTGGGGTAAATGAATGACTAACGGGAAGGTGAAACTACTGAGTTGGGTTTTCCGGCGTTATGGAGTATGCTGACGACACACAACTCTACTTCTCCATTACATCTGCAGGTGAGGCAGTGGAAGTGCTGGACCAGTGTCTTGCCTCAGTCATGGACTGGATGAGAGTCAACAAACTGAAGCTCAATCCAGATAAGATGGAGGGTCTGTTAGTGGGGGATTCCCTAGGCCAGATGGGTGGGAGGTTGCCTCCTAATTTGGGAACCACTGATCTAACCTCTGCATAAGCCTCTGACAAGCAGATCATGGTGAACACTCCATGGAAAGGGTGAACTGGAAGAGTTCCTGTTCTTTTTTTTTAAAAAAAAAATTATTACTTTTCCAACAACTTAAACACTACAAAAAAAATAAACAATACAATACAAAAACAATATATAACACTAACACATTAAACTAACAAAACAAAACAAAAACAGTCTAAAACACATCAAACAGTTTCAATATCTTATCTTTCATTCACTTATTTCAATGACCTCCTCACACCTCCCTTTTTGTATTCCACTTCTGTTAATTGTTTCAGCAATTCCTTTCCATCTTTCTCTGCTTTCTATCCTTTAATTATCTTAACACATTCTAACCTTATTTTTCCCTTTAATACTCTATTAATCTATTTATACTTAATTCCTTATAACATTTCTACTAAAGCCATATAACTTCATTCCAACATTTTCCTAACATTCATGAATTTTACAGTATTTCTGTAAATAGTCTTTAAACTTTTTCCAGTCTTCTTCCACCAACTCTTCTCCCTCGTCTCGGATTCTGCCAGTCATTTCCGCCAATTCCATATAGTCCATCAACTTCATCTGCCATTCTTCCCGGGTGGGTAAATCTTGTGTCTTCCAATACTTCGCGATGAGTATTCTTGCTGCTGTTGTTGCATACATAAAAAAAATTCTATCCTTCTTTGACACCAATTGGCCAACCATGCCCAGGAGAAAGGCCTCTGGTTTCTTCAGAAAGGTATATTTAAATACCTTTTTCATTTCATTATAGATCATCTCCCAGAATGTCTTAATCTTTGGGCATGTCCACCAAAGGTGAAAGAATGTACCTTCAGTCTCATTACATTTCCAACATTTATTGTTGGGCAAATGATAAATTTTTGCAAGCTTGACTGGTGTCATGTACCACCTATAAATCATTTTCATTAAATTTTCTCTTAGGACATTACATGTCGTAAATTTCATACCTGTGGTCCATAACTGTTCCCAGTCAGCCATCATTATGTTATGTCCAACATCTTGTGCCCATTTAATCATAACTGATTTCACCATTTCATCCTGAGTGTTCCATTTCAACAGCAAGTTATACATTCTTGACAAATTCTTGATTTTTGGATTTCCAATTTTGATTTTTCCACCTGGAAACCAACTTTTTTGTCCAGATTGTATGCCTCCATTATTTGATAATAATGGAGCCAATCTCGCACTCTGTTTTTCAATTTTTCAAAGCTCTGCAATTTTAATCTGTCTCCATCTTGTTCCAGAGTTTCCTAATATTTTGGCCATTTAGCCTCCATATTGAGTTTTTTCTGTGCCTTCGCTTCCATTGGTGACAACCATCTTGGGGTTTTCTTTTCTAACAAATCCTTATATCTTATCCAGACATTAAACAATGCTTTTCTAACCATATGGAAGAGTTCCTGTTCTTTACCTGGATGAGGGATCTCATGTTGGCAAAGTGGGTGTCCATGGCGCCTCCATGGGGGAAGTTCTGGTTCATCCGCTTCATAAGCTCTGTGAAACAACTGAAGGCAATGGCCTCTGAACAAGGGCGGGGCGGGGGGGTGAGAGAGAGAGAACGGGGGAATCAGTGCCCTGTAGACCTGGATCTCACCTGCTTTTGCCCAGAAGGAAGAGGACCCAGGCCACCCAAGGACACAACCAGGAGCTCTCTGTGTGTTGGCTGCCAAAGGCATGCATGTCCAGGTGACAGTTTTACACATTCTGGCTTGGGGAAAATCACAAAAGTGATACTTCTTCTCCTGTGCAGGATACTCCTCCTCCAACTGCAGCCCCACATTCCAGCCATGGCCTGGAAGCCACACCAATTAGTCTGTTCACATTGGTCTGACAGTCACGTGGATCTTTGGGGATCAGCACACATCGGAGCTTTCTGAATCCTGATGTTCCAGCTACCTCCCATGTGCCATGCAGCTGGCTCTGAATTTGTTTTTTTAAACACCAGACATGTCCCTGCTTCAAGCTGTGAAACATGAGTGGGCAAGCCTGTCTCATCTGGATTTGGAGAGGTGCAAGAGGGTGAGGCCAAATTCTACAATCTCCCACCCACAATGGAAGCACATCTGAGTGGGATGAGAGAGTGGGGGAGTCTTTTCACAGCGGCTGTACCTACAGAGCACCTTGCCTTGGGAAGTGCACTTGGCCCCCTCCTGCACATGAAGAGTTGGATCAGACCAACAGGCCCATCCAGTCCACCATTCTGTTCTCACAGTGAACAAGCAGATGCCTATGAGAAGCCCACATCAGTTGCTCAGAGCCATTTCATTCAAGCAGGCTCTCATTGGGCATGGGTGATCATGTTTTTACATTTGCTGATCCTGTTTCCTTGGTTGGTGGACTTATTCCATTGGGTCTTTTTATGAAATTGTAATTTCATAGAATCACAGAACTGTAGAGTCAGAAGTGACCCCAAGGAATGCAGGAATCATAGCTAAAGAGTCCCTGACAGAGGCCATCCAATCTGTGTTTAAAAACCTCCGACAAAGGAGAGCCCATCACCTCCCCAGGTAGTCCATTCTGTCTGTAAACTATCATGAATGGTGCTTTTGCACCACAGAGTCAGGGCAAAAATGTTATAAATGAACCAATAAATGAATAGTCCAGCGAGGGGATCCATCAGAGCCAGAATTCCCCAGACTGTTAAGGCTGGCATAGTGGCAAATAGAGAGAACTCACCATCATCCAGAATCACAAGCAAAGGAGCCAGCAAGTCACACATCCCCTGGACATAGCCAATGTCAATGTGGTGCCAGACGTAGCTGCAGAGAGACAGGAGGCTGGGTGAGGTGACAGAGGTCCTGCAAAGCAGCTGCCAAGGCCCTGATTTCAAGAGGTCAGCAGCAGACCCAGCAGAAAAAAGGAGCAGAATCTGTGTGGAAACATCCCAAACCTGTGTCCCTCCCATAAACCATGTATGTCTGCAGACCTATATTTCAGCTGCCAGTTCATTTTGCTTTCCGATAGGAGGATTGCAACATTTGACCATACAATCATAGAGCTGGAAGAGACCCAAGGGTCATCTGGTCCAAGCGCTTGCAATGCAGGGATCACTGCTAATTAACCCATAGGTAATGAACCCACAGCTGATTAAACCAATTAATCAATAAATAATTTTAAACAAACAAAAGCAATTTGATCAACGAAAATGGTGTCATTGATTAAACCACCCATTCTTTTTTTTTTTTTTAAGATGGCATGTGCTGTCTTAGAAGAAGCACCAGCAAGACAGGGAATGCAGAATGCTTCTTCTAAGATTGGGGGGGGGGGGCTGCTGCAATGCAGAAATGCATAATCTCAAAGCCCCAAATAGCCTTTGAGGGTGGTTGGTTCCCCTCTAAAAATGCTAGCTTAATAAATCAATCAGTGACAAATCCTCTGTTTAATAAGCTGAGGCTTCATTGGGTCTGTGGGATAACCAGCTTCCTATAACCAGTACTGAGCTGGGTGTGCCAATGGCCTGACGTGGTATAAGGGAGATCCTTTATTCTGAATTATGAGGACTGGAATCTCACTTTATTTTTACGGGAAGGGCCAGGGTTCCAGCCTTCGCTCAGCCTGCAAAGGGCCCTCTGTGGTCAGTACATGGGCTGCTCCTTGCGCCAAGCACCCTCTGCTCCCACGGTTCCTGGCCCAAAGAGTGACAGAGTCGCCTGCAAGGAACGACACAGCCAGTTCCCGCCCCCATCCCACTGGGCAGCTACCTGCACATGATGTTGCGCAGCTTCTCCAGGTTGGCTGGTGAGAAATACCAGTAGTTCCGGTCGCACCTCTGGACATCCTTCTCAATGCGGTGCAGGTTCACAGTGTACATGTCCAGCAGCTCTGGCTGCAGAAGCAGAAAGGGCAAGGAAACACATCCCAGTTAACTTTCAGCACAACTTCTGCTAAGGTACATGCAAGGGCCTGTCCACGCCACAAACTTAACAGCTGGTTTTAAAAGTCATAGAATTGCAGAGTTAGAAGGGACCCAGAGGGCCATCTGGTGCAACGCCCTGCAGTGCAGGGATCACAGCAAAATGACAGGCGGATCCTGCTGCCCGAGGCAGTTGCCTCACCTTGCCTCACAGGTGGGCCAGTCCTGCCTCAAATGGGGCAATAAAGGAATGAAATGTAGAAAAGTACATGTGGTGATAGTTTTGTTATTTACAAAACTATTCACACAAACTCAAAACTGAGCTGTTGATAACACAGATATCCTGGCATTGGTAAATCAATTTTAACACCCCACTGATGTCAATGGGACTAAAATATGATTACTTCCTCTCAATCTATCCCATAATCTCTGGCCTTAAAACTGGGGGGTATTGACTTTGTTACTATGATATTTTTTAATAATAATAATTTTTTATATATACCTCGCCCTCCCCAGCCAGAGATGGGTTCAGGGCAGGTAACACCAGTAAAATCACAATAAAAACGTCGGGGAAGGAAAAAACCAACCAATTTAAAATACAGGTTAAAATACAATTTGAAATGCAGCCTCATTTTAATAGTAGCCCATAGATCAAAACCATAAGGGGAGGGAAACATAAGGGTCAGACTAAGTCCAAACCAAAGGCCAGGCAGAACAGCTCTGTCTTGCAGGCCCCGCGGAAAGATGTCAAGTCCCGCAGGGCCCTAGTCTCTTGTGACAGAGCGTTCCACCAAGTCGGGGCCAGTACTGAAAAGGCCCTGGCCCTAGTTGAGACCAATCTAACCACCTTGCGACCTCCAAAGTGTTGTCATTTGTGGACCTTTAGGTCCTCCACGGGGCATACCAGGAGAGGCGGTCCCGTAGGTATGTGGGTCCTAGGCCACATAGGGCTTTAAAGGTCAAAACCAGCACTTTAAACCTGACCCTATACTCCACCGGGAGCCAGTGCAGTTGGTAAAGCACTGGATGAATGTGATCCCACGGCAAGGACCCTGTAAGGAGCCTCGCCGCGGCATTCTGCACCCGCTGGAGTTTCTGGGTCAGCTTCAAGGGCAGCCCCGCATAGAGCGAGTTACAATAATCAACCCTGGAGGTGACCATCGCATGGATCACTGTGGCCAGATCAGGGCAAGAAAGGTAAGGGACCAACTGCTTAATACGGCGAAGGTGGAAAAATGCCACCTTTGCTGTGGCTGCAACCTGCGCCTCCATGGAAAGGGAGACATCGAACGTTACACCCAAGCTCTTGACAGAAGGCGCTGGCACTAATTGAGCCCCCGCAAAAGATGGGAGTTGGCGCCCCAACCCCATGTCATCCTGACCCAGACAGAGGACCTCTGTCTTGGAAGGATTTAACTTCAACCAGCTTCCACGCAGCCATCCAGCCACAGCTTCCAAGCATCTGGTCAGTGTGTCTGGGGCCGAGTCAGGGCGGCCGTCCATCAACAGATAAAGCTGGGTGTCATGAGCATATTGATGACAACCCAGCCCAAAGCACCAGACAATCTGGGCAAGGGGGCACATAAAGATATTGAAAAGTATCGGGGAAAGGATTGCACCCTGTGGCACGCCACACATCAAGGAGTGCCACGGTAGCTCCCTCGAAAGCCGGACTGGAATGGATCCAAAGCTGATGTTTCCTCCAGAAACCTACCAAGCTGTTTGGCAATCGCTCTCTCAGTTACCTTACCCGGGTATGGAAGATTCGAAACCAGGTGGTAATTGGATAGATCTAAAGGATCTAAGGATGTTTTCTTTAAGAGCAGATGCAACACTGCTTCCTTCAACTCCCCTGGTAAAGTCCCCGTGCCAAGGGACTGATTGATGATCTCACCCAGGGGGGCCCACACCTCGTCTGCACATGCTCTAATCAGCCAAGACGGGCACGGGTCAAGGGGGCAAGTGGTGGGCCTTCCAGCTCGGAGGAATCTGTCTACATTGGCAGGGAGTATCCGATCGAAGTGGTCCAATACTGGACCCAAGGAGAGTCGAGGGTCCTCCAGTTCTGTTACTGTATCCAAACTGGCAGGGAGGTCACGGCAGAGCAGCAAGACTTTCTCCGTAAAAAAAGCTCACAAATGCCTCACAGCTATGGGTCAAATTCGTATTTAAATTTGGCTGTTCCTCTAGGGTTGTTAAAGACCTAATTATTCTAAAAAGTTGCGCTGGGCGAGAGCTAGCGGAAGCAATGGAAGCTGAGAAGTAAAACTTCTTTACATTTTCACTGCCATCTCATAGGCTTTCATAAACGTCCTATAAGGTGTTCTTGAGGCTCCGTCACGGGCACCCCGCCATACTCGCTCTAGCCGGAGCTCCTCGGTAAACCAGGGGGCCCGGTTTCGGCGGGGTCGCAGAGAGCGCTTAGGTGTGATCTCATTGGTGGCTGCCAAGAGCCGGTTATTCCAGTTCTCGACAAGCTCATCTAGTGAGCCGCCAGGGGAAGCAGGGTCCCGCAAGGCTTGACGAAATCCATCAGGATCCATCAGCCTTCACGGGTGAGCCCAAATAGGCTTGCCACTCGGGAGGGAGGAGGGAGTCAATCCTGGCTTTCAGACCATGGCACTTCCACAAGTGAGGACATGATCACATCTATACCCACAGCAAAAATCAAATCCAGCGTGTGGCCTGCTTGGTGTGTGGAACCCAAAACAAACTGGGTTTTTTTAATATTGTAAACCATCCTGTGATCCTCAGAAGAAGGGCAGTATAGAAATGTTAACACCAACAAGAACTGTGGGCCATCATTAAAAAAACTAAACTGTCTTGAGAACACTGCCAGAAAGGCAAGGCTGTAGTACATTAGTAGTAGCTAGCAAGTAAATTAGCTGTACAGTGGTACCTTGGGTTACATACGCTTCAGGTTACATACGCTTCAGGTTACAGACTCCGCTAACCCAGAAATATTACCTCGGGTTAAGAACTTTGCTTCAGGATGAGAACAGAAATCGTGCTCCAGTGGTGTGGCAGCAGCAGGAGGCCCCATTAGCTAAAGTGGTGCTTCGGGTTAAGAACAGTTTCAGGTTAAGAACGGACCTCCGGAACGAATTAAGTACATAACCAGAGGTACCACTGTAGTAGTTAGTAGCTGTTAGTAAGTGAATAGATACCGTATTTTTCGCACCATTGGACGCACCGGACCATAGGACGCACCGGATCATAGGAGGGGGAGAACAGGGGAAAAAAATTTTTTTCCTGTTCTCTCCCTCTAAAACAAGGTGCGTTCAAGGTACCTATTTTTTTTGGGGGGGGGGGGAAATAAAGAAAAAAAAATTCCCTCCCCAGGCACGGGGCAGGCGCGGGGGAAGCCCGAGCTTCCCCCGACCCCAGCCCCCAGAACAGCCTGCTATCCGCAAGCCTAGGGAACCGAGCCGGTCTCCCCAGGCTTGTGGAGAGGTGTGCGAAGCCCGGGCGCGCTCTTCAGTGCGCACCAGGCTTCGGAATGCAGGCAGCTCCGCGCCACCCTCCGGAGCCCCGCGCGGCTTCACGCCGGGATCGGGAGGGTGGCGCGGAGCTGCAGGAAGCCCTGGAGCGCAGGCAGCTCCGCGGCCCCCACCGGAGCCCCGCGCGGCGTCGCGCCAGGACCGGGAGGGTGGCGCGGAGCTGCAGGAAGCCCTGGAGCGCAGGCAGCTCCGCGCCGCGCGGGGGTCTGGAGGGTGGCGCGGAGCTGCAAGAAGCCCTGGAGCTCAAGCAGCTCCGCGCTACCCTCCGGAGCCCCGCGCGGCTTCGCACCGGGATCCGGAGGGTGGCGCGGAGCTGCAGAAAGCCCGGGAAAGCCTGCATTCGCTCCATAGGACGCACACACATTTCCCCTTCATTTTTGGAGGGGAAAAAGTGCGTCCTATAGAGCGAAAAATACGGTAAATGCTCTAGTGTGATCACAGCAAAAATTTCACCCTGCCTAAAATGTTTGCTCCTTTTGGGTTTTAAAGCAAAACAAAATACCGTTCCCAAAGATCAGGAGGAACCAGGGACCCTGACACACTCACAGAATAGGTGACCCCCGACGAGGAGACAGGCGAGACTTCGCTAATAGTCAAGTCAGTGACAGCCAGGGAGTGTGAATCCAACTGCGGGTACAGGCTCTCCATCTCTGGCTCTTCTGAGAGGTCATCTTCACTCCCCATGGAGCTTTGCTGCCCCACACTGTGGTCTGGCCAGCTGCCTGTCCCATCCACTATAGACAGAGATGCCCCCTCTTTATCGGGGTGCTCCTTGCCCATGAGGATAAACTCCTCTAAGCTGCTGGTGGTGGGGAGCTCCTCCAGACTGTCCTGGCCCTGCAAACCTTCCCCTGTTTGTGTGCCACCCACAAGGGCATTGTCCACACCGAGAGGTCCCTGGCCGACAGCCATGCTCGCCTGGGCAGAGTGGCACACCGCTTTTGCGGTCTCCACCATACTGTCCTTGGTGCTGAAGATCTGCTCTGAGCATGGGGAGGTGACCAAAAAGTTCTGGGAAGAGGGATAGCAAGGGTCGGGGGAAGAGGCGCCGTCAGGGATCATCCCGTTGGAGAGTTTGGGCCGTTTGCCATCTTCAGGTTTGGCATCTGCCTCGGGCTGTTCTACCTCATCGACCGACTCAAACACCTGGGCAAAGAAGGAGAGGCCAAAAGAGAACAGGAATGGATCAGATTGTCTGACTACTGCAATGGCCTCTGCATGGAGCTGCCTTTCAAGATATTGGTGGAATCTACACACGTATAAAAAAATGCTGTGAAAAAGCTTTGTTAAAAGTTTTGAAAAATACATTGAATTTTGCATAGCTCACTATCGCCATCTAGAGTCACATTTGTATATTGCACTTTACAACACATTTAAAATGTTTTATTTGCAGCTGTATAGCTGAGTCCACCGAGGAGCCTCAGTGAGTGCAAAATGCTCTGTTGCTTTTTCTGGCCAAGTGATCACAGCATATAATTCAGATTCCAGATTGGTTGCCAGCCCAATTCAAAGTGCTGGCTGCCATCTTGAAAGCCACAAACTGCTTGGAGCCAGGTTATTCCACGGATTGCCAGCAGCCACACAAAGCTGCCTGGCTCTTAAGATTGGCTGTAGAGGTTCCCATCAAGAAGGTGCACCAGTCTAGTGAGGCAGGTCCTTTGCAGTGGTGGGTCCCCCACCTTGGAACTGCACTTGGCCCCTTTGACGGTTTCTGAACTGGCTCTGAAGATCTCTCTTTTCAAACCTGCTTTTATCCAATTCATTCAAGGCTGGTCTAAGCTTTTAAGTGCAATTTTAAAACGCTGCAACTATTTTTCTACCCTATTTTATCATTTCACTGCTGATTTTTTGTTATGTAAATTTTGATCGTTACTGTGAAATTTGTGTGTGAATTGAGTGGGCTGCCTAGCCCTGAAAGGCACCACAGAAATACCAAAATGAGTTTATAAAGATAGGTAGATATTTTACAGTGAGTCATAAAACAGATTAATTTATTATAGCAAAAAAATAAAATAAAAAATGCTTATGTAACAGTAGTAAATAGTTAAATGTTTAGTAAGAGACTGCATTCTGCAAAGATCTGAAGCTGTGTTCCCAAGTGGGTGGTAGCACCCCGAGGGGTGGGGTTACCTAGGGGGAAGCAGGGGGCACTGGAGGTATAAATGACTATCAGACTTTGAAAAGCTGGTATTACTGGATCAAGTTAATCAGTTTTCTTGAATTAATTAAACTAAATAGTTTAAATTGGATTCTGAATAAAGGTGCAATTAGTTGTTGTGTTGTTATCTTTCTTACTGTAGTGGGCCAGGCCAAAAGCAGTTCTGAACAATGCTCTCTCTAGAGATGGAATGATGGAGCCCAGGGGGCAGTGGCCCCCAAAAGTTTGGGGACCGCTGATCTACAGCAAACTTTATCTACCTGCCAGATCTGACCACTGGCCCACCCAGCTTCGCCAGGGCCTCTCCTGAATCTCTGCCTTGGGGGTCTTTCCCAGCCTGCTCCTGAGACCCTTCAGCTGGGGAGACCACTGAGGATTGAACTGCACTCCAGGTAGCTTACAGGTAAAATAAGAACAACTAAAAACATGAAGGGGGGGAACAGTGATTAAAAAACAAGGTAGCATTAATAGAATTAAAACGATCCATCTATCTAGACAATCTATTAAAAACATACAATCACATTTTTATCCTGTCCTTTCCTCCAAGGAGCTCAATTTGGTGTACGTGCTTCTCCCCCATCCTCCGTTATTCCCCACAACAACCCTGTGAGGTAGGCTAGGCTGTGAGAAGGCAGTGACTGGCAGCCAAGGCCACCCAGTGAGCTGCATGGCTGAGTGGAGATTTGAACTTTGGTGCCCCAGGTCCTTAGCCAACACTCTAACCATTACACAGTGCTGTCTCTCAGGCTTGCACAGCAGCTCAGAATTTGGAGTCCCCCCCCGAGGATCCAACAGGCTGGACACCTCACCTGGGTACTGCCACTGGAGTCGCTCTGAAGCCGTGTCAGGTTCTGTGGGCCGGAACTGCCGCTCTGGGAAGACTGTGGGAAGAGAGGAGGCGCATGGGAGAACCAGGCCAGGGGGACAAGTCAAGGTGTCTGCAGTGGGGGCAGAATGCGCTGATGCCAGGAATCAGGGGAGGAGGCCAGCTGGGGGGGGGGGCAAGAACCAACAGTGCCCCCTCTTTTTAAATTGCTCGCCCCCTTCCACTCACAAGGTGCTTTAACAATCAGTGGGGGGGGCCTAGGGAGACTCTCCTCTCATAACCCTGAACAAACTACAGCTCCCAGGATTCTATGGAGGGGGGCCATGGCTGTTCCAAGTGGTATCCTAGTGCCTTTAATGTAGGGGGCGGATATGGCAAACATGCTCCAGGGAGTGCTGCAGGAAAGGGCGCAGTGGAGGGGAGAAATTGAGAGATTTGAATTATTTTTACGCATTCTGAAGCCATCTGGGAACTGACTCAATTCCAATGGACCCACTCACATCGTTGCTGATGGTCGAATCTCGGTGCATCATGTGTTCCATGTGGGAGTCCAGGCTGGCCCCTGAGGAGCATTTGGCCAGGGCGGCCGCGTGAGACTCCTTCTCCCGTTGTCGGACAATCGCCTCGCAGCCCAGCCACTCTGCCATGGTTTGCTCATAGCAGGCGCGAGTCTGGCTGTCGACCTGAAGCCAAGAGAGAAGCTGGGAGAGGCCCGTGCATCCCCCACAGCACCCTGGGGCAGAACTGAACCCAGTTTCATTTATTTGTTTGCTGGATTTATGTCTCACCTTTTCCTCCAAGTAGCTCAAAAGTGGCATAATGGTCAGAGTCTCAGACTAGGACCTGGGAGACCAGGATTCGAATCCCCACTCAGCCATGAAGCTCCCTGGGTGACCTTGGGCCAGTCACTGCCTCTCAGCCTAACCTACCCCACAGGGTTGTTGTGGGGATTAAATGAGGAGGGGGAGAACCATGTACCTTGAGCTTCTTGGAAGAAAAAGATGGTATATAGATGTAATAAACAAAACAACAAACATGGTTCCCCTCCCTCTTCATTTAATCCCCGCAGCTACCCTGTGAGGGAGGTTAGGTTGCAAGAAGGCAGCCGCTCCGTGAGCTTCATGGTCGAGTGGGGATTTGAATCCTGGTCTCCCAAGGTCCTTGTCTGACACTCTAACCACTAAAGCACACTGCCTCTCACACAAGAGAGGATAAGTGGTGCAGATAGTTTGAAAAGGATAGCAAGGGAAAAGAACACTTGGCAGCAGGGGAATTTGAACCCGTGCCTCCGGAGAGATTGGAGCCTAAATCCAGAACCTTAAACCACTCGCAGCGCTGCCTTAAGCAGTGTGATACCTTAGACTGCACAGCACAGAACAATGCCAGGCCTGACCACTTTCTACAGAGCTTGAATCTGATCCACTGATCCACGGCTCTTCCTCAATCCCCCCATCCCGCAAAATCATTTGCCATCAATTAATTTGAATATTATCAAGAAATTTTCAGTGAGCTTCTCATGAGCGGGGTGCAGGATTTTGTCCTGCCTGCCTTATTTTTAAGGTGGCTAAGGAGTAGTTCTGGAAGTCCTTTCTCTCAATCTAAAATCATCCACCCAGTGGTCTGGGCTCTGCTGACTTCCTGCGTGCCCAAGTTTCAATGAAAGCCCATGGGGAAGAGATCAGGAGGGAACACAACAGACTGCTGATCAGGCAAAAGGGACCACCTAGTCCAGCCTCACAGGGGCCACTCAGAAGCCCCAGTGAGAAGCCCACAAGCAGGGCTCAAGCAGAAGAGCAGCCTTCTCCCCCCCTGTGGTTTCTGGCAACTGGGATTCAGAAGATTTGCTGCCCCTGACTGTGGAGGCAGAGCAGAGCCACTGAGAGCCGCCCACAGCTCTCTCTTCCATGAGTCCTCTTTTAAAGGTCTGTAGACCTCTCTGCCTCCTGGGGAAACAAGTTCCATAGTTTAACCATGCACTGCATTTTCAGATCAGGAAGTGTGGGCAGGCAGCAAGGCTGAGGAGCACCAGAGAAATGCTTTGCGGAAAGAAAAATGCACCCACCACACCCTCAGCCACTTTGCAATGGTAAGGAACGTGCCAACCCCAGCTCTAAAGTGCCCTGAGTATGAGGCAGAAAAATGGAGCCCTCTTCCACTGGGCAAAGTCAATTTTTGAGGCAGGACTTATGCAAAGAGAGCAAATGGAAGTTTTAATCAGCCCCACATAATGCTAAAATAGCAGCAAAGAGGTACTATTTTAGGGCATACTATTTTAGGGGGGGCAACTCCCATCTCTTGCGGGGGAGCAATTAGTGCCAGCACCGTCCGTTAAGAGTTTGGGTGTAATCTTCGATACCTCCCTCTCTATGGAGGCGCAGATTACAACTATAACAAAGGCGACATTTTTTCATCTCCGCCAAGCTAAGCAGTTGGCTCCTTACCTCTCTCGCCCTGACCTAGCCACTGTGATCCACGCGACGGTCACCTCCAGACTGGATTATTGTAACTCGCTCTACGTGGGGCTGCCCTTGAGACTGACCCAGAAACTCCAGCGGGTGCAGAATGCCGCGGCGAGACTCCTTATGGGGTCTTCGCTGCGAGATCACATTCACCCGGTGCTGTACCAGCTGCACTGGCTCCCGGTGGAGTACAGGATCAGGTTTAAGGTGCTGGTTTTAACCTTTAAAGCCCTATACGGCCTAGGACCCTCGTACCTACGGGACCGCCTCTCTTGGTATGCCCCACAGAGGAACCTACGGTCTGCAAATAAAAACATCCTGAAGGTCCCAGGCCTCAGAGAGGTTAGGCTGGCCTCAACTAGAGCCAGGGCTTTCTCGGCTGCGGTTCCAATCTGGTGGAACGCTCTGTCACAAGAGACTAGGGCCCTGCGGGACCTGACATCTTTCCACAAGGCCTGCAAGACAGAGTTGTTCCACCAGGCCTTTGGTCAGGGCCCAGCCTGACTCCCTCCTCTGGCAACCTGCACAGAACTTTGCTTAACGTTTGCCATTAATTTGATTTTAATTAATTTTTATAATGAAATGTGTCAAGGCTGCCTCAGGTCTCAGCTCACAAAAGACCAACGCCAATCTCTTCTTATATACAAAAGTGTTTATTGCAGTTCATTGTTTGCTTCATATCCGAGGCGCGCAGCCCCACGTCTGTACGCTTAGACCGTTGAAGTCCCCTCTGAGTCAGTCCCTCCCCTGCACCAGTTTAAGAGCCTTGCGCTGCTCCACCTCTTTCTCTCTTTCCTTTTCCTCAGGGTCTTCCTGCCCGCTGGGGTTTCGCCCCTCCTGGATTCCCCTGACGCGCTATCCCCCGACAGCTCTTCCCCCCTCCTGCGGGCTTTAGGACCTGGCTCTTCTTCCGGACTCCCTGTACTTCCGCGCGCCTCTACATTTGAACTTGGCGCGCGCGCCCAACCTCTAACTTTCCTTTTGACAGTTACACTACTCCCTTCACTACTCCCCTCCCCTTCCGGGAGGGTGGCTTGCTCCGACCTCCCTCCCTTCTCTGCTGCCGGAGCTGCTTCCCCTGATACACTGGAACCTCCACCCCCTTCACTGCACTCTGGCGGGGAGACTGGTCCTGACGCCCAGCTGCCACTTTGGGATCCCCCGCTGGCCCCCTGCTCCTGACACGTCCCCCCTGGGGCTCCCCTGGCCTTGACCATCGGCGCCCCCTTCTGGGAATCCTCTGATTCGCTGGAAAGACTCATGGAATCTCTTGAGTCATTGTCATCCTCTTCCTCGCTGTCCTGGGATTCATCCCCATCGCTCTCCATCTCCTGCCTACCCTGTGCCTCTGTCCCTGAACCCCTGACAAAATGTTTTAGAATGTTGGATTATTTGATTGTTTGATTATTTGATTGTTGTTAGCCGCCCTGAGCCCGGCTTTGGCTGGGGAGGGCGGGATATAAATAAAATTTATTATTATTATTATTATTATTATTATTATTATTATAAAACACATTCTTATTAAGTGATCCACTAGTTAGTATAAACCTTTGGTTTTCTGGAGAATTTTTGAATGGAATGAAGCTCCACCATTCTCCTGCAAAGGTGTCTTTGTGCTCCCTTCCTCTTGTCAGGAAGAGGTCAGGAAGAGGTCAGCAAAGGTGTCTTTGTGCTCCTCTTCCTCTTCATGTGTGGGTCAATTTTTCCATAAGGCAATAATAATAATAATAATAATAATAATAATAATAATATATATCCCGCTCATCTGGCTGGGTTTCCCCAGCCACTCTGGGCAGCTTCCAAAGGGAGATTAAAAATACATTAAAACATCAGTCATTTAAAAACTTCCCTAAACAGGGCTGCCTTCAGATGTCTTCTAAACATCAGATAGTTGTTAATTTCCTTGACAGCTGATGGGAGGGTGTTCCACAGGGCGGGCACCACCACCGAGAAGGCCCTCTGCCTGGTTCCCTGTAACTTGGCTTCTCGCAGTTAGGGAACCACCAGAAGGTCCTCGGAGCTGGACCTCAGTGTCCGGACTGAATGATGGGGTGGAGACGCTCCTTCAGGTATACTGGGCCGAGGCCGTTTAGGCAATGATTCACCCTCTTTTGTACCATGCGTTCAATTCTGTACCTTTTAAGCCCTTCCAGAATGTGACTGTAACCACATGTGCTCTGCCACTAAGAGAAATCCAATTAGTGGTTTATCCACTAATCGTTCGTCTTGTTTAGCATTTAAATACAGATTCAGTAACACAAGCACTGCAGACTTCATGGCATACTGATGAGTAATTTTACTTTTCTCACCTGCTTTCTCTCAGCTTCTGACATCCCAAACCGGTAATGTCCCAGCAGGAAAGGCCAGACTGCTTTCCGGATCTCGTGCTGGACCCCTCCGAAGTAGACTAGCCGCAAAAGCTCTTTCTCCTCATAGCTCTGTGGGGAAAGTTCACTGAAAACTGAGGCCAAGTAAAGAGAAAATGACTTTTCCTCCCCCCCCCCCGCCAGCCCTCAACCATCTGCCTTCAAAAGCCGGGCCAGAGCCGACTGTGCCCCAGGGGTGGCCAGGGCGAATTGGTGCCCCTTACCGTGCTGTCTTGCAGGAACATCTCCCAGACCTCAGCGGTCAGCCCCTGGCTGGCGCTGCAGGGCACGCTGGGTGACACAATGTCGTGGTTCACCAGCGCCGAGAGGTGGGTTCTCACCGTGGAGAGGTGCCGGCAGTAGGCCAGCCCTAAGCCATGGAAAGCAGAGAGAGAAAGAGGCTGCACAGAGGGCAATCCCAGAGAGACCAGCCCTCAACAGCGGGAAGGGCAGGGAGGGGAGGCGGCTAAAGGACCACTGCCAATTGCTCCCCCAGGGAGGGGCAATACTGGCACAAGAAGGACCCCCACCACCCGCCCGACTTGGAGGAGGGACTGTAGGACCATGTCAGGACCCAAGGAGCCCCTTCAGTCCCCTTCCAACTCTACAGTTCTGCGATTCCATGTCCACTGACCCATGCTGTCACTTAGAGGAAAGAAAATCTGAACTGGTTGTATCAACCACCCTGCCCAAGCTGGGTGCCCTCCAGGCGCTCTAAACTGCAAATCCCAGTCAACCCAACTGTGTCAAGGCTGCAGTTCAAGCCCCATGTTGAGCAAAACATTCCTGCATTGCAAGGGGTTGGACTAGATGAGCCCGGCGGTCCCTTTCACCTCGACTATTCTACGATTCAATGCGCTGTAGTCCAAATGACCATGCTCACTGGGGTGATGGAGTTGTAGTTCCAAACATCTGCTATAGACTGATGGCAGAGGGAGAGAAGGGAAGCAGAGCTAGTCCCCTGGCAGGGGGATGAGAGGCCAGCTGCCTCCATCAACCATCACCAACTGGCAGCCATTCCACAGGCTACCTGCACCAATTCTATCCCAGCTGTTCCTTATTAAGAACTTTGTCACTTTTAAGAACCGGTGCCAGACTTTGATTTTTCCTTCTCCCTTCCCATCTCTTTCCTTTAATGCCATGTCTGATAGATCATAATCCTGAGGGCCAAGATCATCTTGATCTTTATTGAGCTGCAAGTCTTTTTGACTTAAGAGCCAGGGGATAAACAAGTCTGGGATAAACTAAATATTCTTGCAGTTTTGGTGTCACAGTGGTAGAACCAAGGTAGTTCTGCCCTTCAGTTCACAATACTGGGGCAAACTCCACATCACACTTAATTGCAAGGCCATAGTGCTATAGGGGATATAAAAGTACTTCTTTGTCATCACCTTTTAAAATGAAAAGCAGCAGAAGACAGAAAAGGCTGCTTAACCCTTTCTCCCCCATGGTTATTTCTACACCCAAAATCGTAATTCCATCTCCTGCCCCCAAATGCTTTTTCATCAGGAGATTCAGCAGACGGGGGGGGGGGGCGGGGGAGCAAATTTCAAAGAAATGGTGGGGGAAGGGTTAAGCAGGCTGTTCCCCTGGCCTCCCAAGTGGTGACTAAAAATGGGATGAAGTGAAAACTCACAGCCATAAAACGCTCGAGATAGTATCTGGTACTTCATGTTATCACACAGCAGCTTCAGAGGAGCCCTGGGAAGAGAGAGGGAAGGGGGGTATAGCTACAGTCCTATAAGGAACCAGAGGATGGATTGTTGCAAATGGATACACCACAAGCAATAATCCCATTTTTCAAGATGTACTTTTCAAAAACACATTAGCTGCCATTCAAAGCATAGCATTTCCCTCCTTAGTGACTCACAAGATTAAAAGCAATTTAAAAGCATCCTACACAGGGGTTCCTGAACTTTTCCAGGCTCCTGCCCCCTTAGTTCCATAAACTCATGCCCAGAGCCCCCAGTCTATAAAAAGCATTATACAAAATAGCATAATAATAACACAAGATAATAACACAATAAAACTCAAAATGCTAATAATAATGAAGAATGTATGTGCTACTGCACCTGGCTGTGGGCTGAGCCACACCGTACAGTGAGAGCCTCCCCCCAAAGAATCATGGGAGCTGTAGTTTGTTAAGGGTGCTGGGAATTAAGAACACAAAGAGATCCTGCTGCATGAGGCCAATGGCCCCTCTAGCCCAACAGCCTGGTCTCACCGTGGCCACCCAGATGCTGAGAAACGCTGAAGCAGGATTTGAGCTTAAGAGCTCCCTCACCTCCTGAGGTTTCCAGCAACTGCTCTACCGAAGCAGGATGGCCTCCAGCCGTGGAGACAGAGTACAGCCCTCATGGCTAGTAGCCCTTGAGAGAGAAGGGTCGTAGCTCACAGGCAGAGCATCTGCCTTGCACAAAGAAGCTCCAAGAGCCAATCCCCAACTGCCTCTCTAGTCAGGGCTACAGAGCCCAGACAGCCTCTGCCAGTTGGGTGTGGACAGTACTGCCCTAGATGGGTCTGACTCCCTATGTTCCTGAACTACAGCTCCCAGGATTCTCTGGGGGGAGTCATGTGCTTTAATTGTCCTTCCGGACCTCACCCCGCCAGCCCTCAAGTCAGCCCTTTTGCCTCTGTGAGGCCACCTGGGCTCCCTGGCAGAGAGCAGCCCCATCTCAGCCCCAAGCCAGCCTCTGTCGCCTTGCCTTTCATGGTTGCAGCCATTGGAGGGGCCACTCTCCGTGGATCCGCTCTGAGAGCAGGATGAGCAGGAGGACTTGCGGGTGCCTGGCTGCCACATGGAAGGGAGGGTGCTCGTCTGGGTGTCGACCAGATCCTGCGGGGCTAGAAATGCAGAAAGAGAATAGCACAACATCAGGATAAGGTTTGAAGCAGCTTACCCCAGGAGCAGAGAGAGAGGGAAAGTTAGATGGGAAAAATCAGACACACAATATTTGGAGGGCTACATCGATTAAACCAATTGCATGATCTTCACCCAATCACAGGAAGGCTTTCAATTAAAAAGAGAGAAAAGGTCAACTGCACCAGCAACCACAAACTGGGCTCACTGGCACAACCAAAGGTGACACCTAAGGAGGCTTTTCTCAAGATAACCACCTCAGTCTCCAAGGAAAATGCATGAATTTGCAGGGAGCACAAGGGAAGCTGCCTTGTACCCAGCCCATCTAGCTAGTACTGTCAGCATTGAATGGCAGCAGTCTCAGGCAGTGATACTTTCCCAGCCCTCCCCAGAGGTGCTGGAGATTGAACCAGGGACCCCTTGCATGCAGCGCAGGTGCTCAGCCATCAAGCTGTGCACCTCCTATTCCTTGCTGACTAACTTGGGGTCATTTGCAAGGGACTGTGTGCCTCAAGGGAACTGGGAACCCTGCGGTCAGAGGAGAAAGAAACCTTGCCTCTGGGGTTTGCAGGGTCCCTTTTCCTGTGATGAAAGGGAAAAGAATCAAGAGCTCTATTGCTGGGAAGAATGGTTCCATCCAAGATGTTTGGAGTGGAGGGGAGTCCTCTGGAAAGCCCCCACCCCCACCAGTGAGACAGGGTCATCCGGATGAGCTGAGGCAGGAAAACAGGATCCTCTCACCCAGCCTTTAACTTTCTTGGGTCCTCCATACATAGTAGGACAGCAGAGATGCCTGGGCTTTTGCTTGTCTCTAGGCAGCCTCAGAAGCATTCTCTGGAGCTGGCCAAGTCTCAGTTATTTTTAGCCACAGCTTTTACCTCCTCTGGATGTGTAGGTAAAGCAGGAGCTGGGCTGAGTACAGAGGATGCTGTTCAGAGTTCAAAAGCTAGAGTTCAAGGGCTAGAAGCCATTGATAGCCTTATTCTCCATGAATTTGTCCAATCCTCTTTTAAAACCCTCTACTTATCTATATAAGGGATGTGGGTGGCGCTGTGGGTTAAACCACAGAGCCTAGGGCTTGCTGATCAGAAGGTTGGCGGTTCGAATCCCCATGACGGGGTGAGCTCCCGTTGCTCGGTCCCTGCTCCTGCCAACCTAGCAGTTCAAAAGCACGTCAAAATGCAAGTAGATAAATAGGTACCGCTCCGGCGGGAAGGTAAACAGCGTTTCCGTGCGCTGCTCTGGTTTGCCAGAAGCGGCTTAGTCATACTGGCCACATGACCCGGAAGCTGTACGCTGGCTCCCTCGGCCAATAAAGCGAGATGAGCGCCGCAACCCCAGAGTTGTTCGCGACTGGATCTGTCAGGGGTCCTTTACCTTTACTTTTTACCTATCTATATACCGTATTTTTCGCTCTATAAGACGCACCAGACCACAAGACGCACCTAGTTTTTGGAGGAGGAAAACAAGAAAAAAAATATTCTGAATCTCAGAAGCCAGAACAGCAAGAGGGATCGCTGCGCAGTGAAAGCAGCAATCCCTCTTGCTGCTCTGGCTTCTGGGATAGCTGCACAGCCTGCATTCGCTCCATAAGACGCACACACATTTCCCCTTACTATTTAGGAGGGGAAAAGTGAGTCTTATAGAGCAAAAAATACGGTACTTTTTCCAGAATCCAGTTCACATTTTCTGTCTTGTTATAAAATATATGTTGTATTTTTGAAATCTTGCAAATCACTGTGGGATCTTTGATGAAGGGAAAGATACAAACCCTTTCTCAGGGTAGCCAACCTTGTGCTGCCCAGATGATGTTGGACTACAACTCCCATTGTCCAGGACCATTGGGCTAAACTGGGTGTGCGTGTTGGGAGGTTGTAGTCCAGCAACCTCCGGCGGCCATGTTGGCTATCCCAGAAACAACTAACCTTAAGTGCTCACCATCTCACATAAACTTCATGGAGAACTGGCTAAGCACTTAAGAGCTGTGAGGCAGCTAAGTTACAATTCACAGCAAAACTTTCAAAATAATCCCTGGCTGGTTTCACAAAGGCTCTGATGTGCCTTCCAATTACAAGCTCTCATCTAACTGGCTTGCAGGAGCCCTGCAATGACATGCTGACTCCAAATCTGCAGCAGAGTCACTCTGAAACAATTTTACCACACCAAAATGATTGAAGGGAAATTTCCATGAATCACCTCTACATGTCCCACTGGAGCACCAAGGCCTAAATGAGTTTTGGAAAGGATGCCAAATGCTTTGATACAAGAAGAAAGAGCATCCCTGGAGCAGATTGTTCTTGAGGGACAGGGCAATGGATCCTTCCTCCACCAAACAAGAATTGGACCACAGGAGGACGCAAAAGCCATATCTTGCTCTCTAAACTCTATGCAGGGGACATGGGGAATGTGAATTCAAGGACGGTAGGAGGAGCATTTTGATTCAGATCACAGCAGGAAGGTCACTCTGCACAGAGAAACAGGCTTTGTGTCTGCTGGCATTTGCTAAATCCTACATCAACCAACCTGTTCAGGTATTTAGCAGGTGAACTGCCTGGGCTTTTAACTAATCAATTTAAAAATGAAGGCACAAAGCAGATTCTATTGCTTTCTAGGAGAAATGAAAAAACAGTACCGTGTTTTTCAAAGGTCAGCTGATTGACAGTTTTCCATGTTGCTATCAGATGCCTCAAGTATCATTTGGTGGAAAGGAAGGACTCAAGCATTAACAACAATAATGTCCCCATAGTGACACTGGGGAAAGTCAGGCTGAGGTCTGCTGGGCCAATTCTTGGCTGCAGGGCAAAGCCAACCCAGCCCTTGTCCCCTCCAGCCCGAGATCCAAAAGGGAGAGGGGCTGACCCGACAGGAACCTGGAGAGGACAAAGTCTTCCCCAGATCATCCTTTGGACAGCAAGAGGGATGGCTCCATCTCTGCAGAGGTGGCTGCAGCTGCTGATCTGTTAAAGGACATTTTTCATTTGAGCTCTGTTGCCTCCTTCCTTTCATCTGCCTCAGATTATAACCAACAAGAAGTATGACAGCAACATTATATCACTACTAAAAGAGATTAGATCCATTAAAACATGCCTCTGATTTAATTGGACAATAGATTTCACGGTTTTCATTTTTTTAAATGTTAATTGTTATAGCTATTTATGCATCTGTGGGCATCAGGCATCCTCTCCTCCTCCTCCCAACACAGAAGGGATTGGGGCCAGCTGTGACACATGCAGCACACCATTACAGAGGGAAGAAAGGAGGCCACTTTTCCTTCACAGCTGTGAGTATTTTATGGACACACAGGTCTAATCAGTTCATTGGTTTAAAAAGCATTGTATGATCAATCTATTAAGATTTCTTTAAACTGGGCAGCAGCCCTAATCACAGTCACTCTTACAGGTGCCACATAATACTGTTCTGCATTTATAAGAAAGCAATGTTTTAGTTTGGCAGCACCTGCACACTTTGGAACTCCTTGCCTGTTGACATCAGGCAGGTGGAATTGCTGTACCCTTTTCGGTACCTGCTAAAAAAAAATTTAGACAAGCCTGTCCAGACATGCAGACAATTGATGTATGTTTAACGTTAATTTTTAAAAAATGTTTTACATAGGGTTTTTAAAAAATAATTTTATTTTATTCTTCTTGTAAACCACTTTTTTTTTCTTACAACCAAGGTGTATATAAATGTTATGAATTAAATGAACTTGCTTCTTCTGCTTGTGTGCCTCCAGGCAAAGCAGCCCAAGGGAATGAGCCAAGGAAAAAGATGGGGAAGAGGAGGATCGCAGCTGCCTGCCCTGCCCTGATTCATAAATGCCAGCATCTGCTCCAGCTGCCAAGCCAAAAGCAAGAAGCACCCTCCATGTGCCAACAACAACATTACACAGGTGTGGGCTGGACCCCAACGTGACCAGAAGGGGAGCCGTTGCCTCAGGAAGACTCAGAGACCATTTGGGCATCACCACCACTCTGGCAGAGGTCCGACGCATCCAGGCCTTTTCTTTCCCAGCGGCAGTAGAGTTGGAGGGAAGGCAAGAAGGGTGGTTAACAACCACTAAAGAGGAAGGGAGAGAAAAGGCAAAACATGAAGGCGGGCACAGTCCATGCCGCTTCCTCAAGCCTGGAAAAAGGAAAAACACAATAGGAACTCACTAGCTGTGATTCCCACATTGCTGAGGGTTGGTTCCAACTCTACGATTCTAGGAATAGTAGAAAAATCCATCATTGGCCAGAAATCCCCCTATGGGAAAGCAAAAGATAGCCAGTGTGGCCTAGTGGTTAGAGTGTTGGGCTTAGGACTTGGGAGAACAGGATTCAAATCCTCACTCAGCCATGAAGTTCAATGAGTGGCCTTGGGTGCCAGTCACTGCCTCTCAGCCTAACCTACCTCCCAGGGGTGTTGTGAGGATAAAACGGGGAGGAGAATTATGTATGCCAACTTGAGCTCCTTGGATGAAAAGGTTGGATATAAATGAAAAGAACAATAATTAAGATCACTAACACAATAGGAGTTGGGAGTCAGTCAACATCTAGAGAGAGCAGAGCAAATACACACCCTTTGATGTTTGATGGAGGATTCAGTTTCCCCAACTTTCATTTATTAATATATTTAAATACAAGTACAGATTTCTAATCCTTATGAAAGCAAGCTCCCAAAGTGTGGGCAACACTGGCTGAAACTTCAGAAGCCAGAGACTGGCTGGGACGCCAGCGCCTTACACAGCTCCGAGTGAGCAAACCATGAATAAAATATGCAAATCAGTAATAGTAATAGTAATAGTAATAATAGTAATTTATTATTTGTACCCTGCCCATCTGCCTGGGTTTCCCAAGCCACTCTGGGCAGCTTCCAACAAAGATTAAAAATACATTAAAATGTCACACATTAAAAACACATTAATGTCACACATTAAAAACTTCTCTGAACAGGTCTGCCTTCAGATGTCTTCTAAATGTCAGGTAGTGTTTTTCTCTTTGACATCTGGTGGGAGGGCGTTCCACAGGGCGGGTGCCACTACCGAGAAGGCCCTCTGCCTGGTTCCCTGTAACTTGGCTTCTCGCAGCGAGGGAACCGCCAGAAGGCCCTTGGCGCTGGATCTCAGTGTCCGGGCAGAACGATGGGAGTGGAGACGCTCCTTCAGGTATACTGGGCTGAGGCCATTTAGGGCTTTAAAGATCAGCACCAACACTTTGAATTGTGCTCGGAAATGTACTGGGAACCAATGTACCGGTAGGTCTTTCAGGACCGGTGTGATATGGTCTAGGCGGCCGCCCCCAGTCACCAGTCTAGCTGCCGCATTCTGGATTAGTTGTAGTTTTTGAGTCACCTTCAAAGGTAGCCCCACATAGAGCGCATTGCAGTAGTCCAAGGGGGAGATAACTAGAGCATGCACCACTCTGGTGAGACAGTCTGCGGGCAGATAGGCCTGCGTACCAGATGGAGTTGGTAAACAGCTGCCCTGGACACAGAATTGACCTGCGCCTCCATAGACAGCTGTGAGTCCAAAATGACTCCAACGCTGCGCACGTGGTCCTTCAGGCGCACAGTTACCCCATTCAGGACCAGGGAGTCCCCCACACCCACCCGTCCCTCGTCCCCCAAGAACAGTACTTCCGTCTTGTCAGGATTCAACCTCAATCCATTAGCCGCCATCCTCCAACCCCCTCCAGACACTCACACAGGACCTTCACCGCCTTCACTGGTTCTGATTTGAAAAAGAGGTAGAGCTGGGTATCATCCGCATATTGATGGACACCCAGCCCAAACCCCCTGATGATCTCCCAGCGGCTTCATGTAGATGTTAAAAAGCATGGTAAGGACTGTATAATACATTATGCAAAGTGTCAGGGATTGGCCTGAAGACGAGGACTGGGGAATGCATTCTATGGCAGACCAGCTTCTCTCCGATGGAGAGCTGGAGGGGGAAGAGTCGCCCCCCCTTGTCCACAGCATGTTCAGAAGCAGAGACAGGCAGAAGCTGAACAGCTTGGGGGAGTTACTCAGTTATGAGATAATGACAACAGAACCAGAAGGGAGGGGGCAGCTAGTTCTCTCGTCACTTGAAAGTGTGAGGGACCTCCCCTCGGACTTGGAGGTCCAAACGTATCAGGGAACAAAGGAGTCAGAGGGAGGAACTTCCCGTTGGCGCCCAAAATGCTGCGGAAGCCAGAAAGAGGATTAGACTAGCCAACTGCCTTCCTTGTGGAGAGCTGCGTATTTGTGCTCGCAACATGATGCTGTAATAAAAGGACTATAGATCTATCAGCTGCTCATTAATTCTTATCTGTGAAGTTACTGAAGGGAGGGGAGGACTCTCCATGCCTGACACAAAGTAAGCAAATTTCCATAATTTATACTGGTGGTGGACATGAGCATTCCTTGGTGCAGAATTTTAATGTATCCAAACTGGATCATGCACACCTCTGAGCATTCCTTGATATTCCTCAGGTCATGGAAGGCAGGCTACAATGGCTTATGAAATATGAATGGAATACACTCCTATATGTTTATAACATATAGTAAAATTAAAAAGTTAGCCTAAGGTGGAAAAAAAATCTTATTTAAGATAACTATGTCAGCTTTCTCAGTTTCTACCAGGCGAGCAACCTTACCAAACTCTGACTGAAGGCCAGGATAGAGGATCCGGAAAACGTAATCAGTTGCCTCCTCCTCCTCCTTGTCTGATGCTGACTCCGAGGACCCCTGGGGGCTTCGCTTCTTCAGCTTTGGAAACACCTTCCCCTTTGAGGAGTCAAAAAAATTTATTATTATTAATAATAATTTTATTATTTATACCCCACCCATCTGGCTGGGTTTCCCCAGCCACTCTGGGCGGCTCACAGCATATATCAGAACATACTAAAACATCAAACATTTAAAACTTCCCTGAACAGGGTTGCCTTCAGATTTCTTCTACAAGTCAGATAGTTGTTTATTTCCTTGACATCTGAAGGGAGGGTGTTCCACAGGGAGGGTGCCACTACTGAGAAGGCCCTGTGCCTGGTTCCCTGTAACCTCGCTTCTCACAGTGAGGGAACCAGCGGAAGACCCTTGGAGGAGGATCTCAGTGTCCGGGCTGAACGATGGGAACAAAAAAGCTCCTTCAGGTATGTAGGGCTGAGGCAGTTTAGGGCTTTAAAGGTCAGTACCAACACTTTTAACTGTGCTCAGAAACGCACTGGGAGCCAATGAAGGTCCTTTATATCAGGCTTCCTCAACCTCAGCCCTCCAGATGTTTTTGGCCTGCAGCTCCCATGATACCTAGCTAGGGATGATGGGAATTGTAGTCTCAAAACATCTGGAGGGCCAAGGTTGAAGAAGCCTGCTTTATATGGTCTCGGTGCCGCTCCCAGTCACCAGACTAGCTGCCGCATTCTGGATTAGTTGTAATTTCCAGGTCCCTTCAAAGGTAGCCCCACATAGAGTGCATTGCAGTAGTCCAAGCGGGAGATAACTAGAGCATGCACCACTCTGGCGAGACAGTCTGTGGGCAGGTAGGGTCTCAGCCTGCGTACTAGATGAAGCTGGTAAACAGCTGCCCTGGACACAGAATTGACCTGCGCCTCCATGGACAGCTGCGAGTCCAAAATGACTCCCAGGCTGCACACCTGGTCCTTCAGGGGCACAGTTACCCCATTCAGGATCGGGAAGTCCCCCACACCTGCCCGTCCCCTGTCCCCTAAAAACAGTACTTCTGTCTTGTCAGGATTCAACCTCAATCCATTAGCTGCCATCCATCCTCCAACTGCCTCCAGACACTCACACAGGACCTTCACTGCCTTCATTGGTTCTGAATGAAAAGAGAGATAGAGCTGGGTATCATCCGCATACTGATGAACACTCAACCCAACCCCCCTGATGATCTCTCCCAGTGGCTTCTATATGAGCATGGGAGAGAGGACAGAACCCTGAGGCACCCCACAAGTGAGAGCCCAGGGGTCTGAACACTCATCCCCCAACACCACTTTCTGGATACAACCCAGGAGTGGAACCACTGTATGACAGTGCCCCCAGCTCCCAGCTCCTCTAGATGGTCCAGAAGGATGTCATGGTTCGATGGTATCAAAGCCACTGAGAGATCCAGCAGAACTAGGAAACAGCTATCACCTCAATCCCCGGCACACTGGAGATCCTTGACCAGTGCGACTGAGGATGTTTTGGTCAGTTTCACTTGTCCAAGCAGCCTGTCCACATCCTCAGAGGTAACAGATTGGAACTGATCCTATGCAACTTGTCTAGACAGGACTCTAGCACTTTCCCGCCCTGGCCCTGCTCCCACGGTGGAGTCTGAGTGACTTTAATCTGCAAAAGACTTTGCAATATCATTGCAGAAGATATTGGGGTTGTCACCAGGCCCCGATGGTGAAGGTGGTTCCATTAGATTGTGAACCACCTGAAAGAGTCTCTTGCTGCTGTTTTCTGCAGATGCAATAGAGGTTGTGAAGAAGGTTCTCTTCGCCATTGCTATCGCCACTTGGTAGGCTCGACGTTTAGCTGTAACCCGTGTCTGGTCAGATTCAGAATGAGTTTTCTGCCACTGGTGCTCTAGCCATCTCAGTGATTGTTTCATCACCCTCAGCTCCGGGGAAAACCATGGGGTTGTCCAGGCTCCATGCAATCGGAGAGGGCGCTTCAGATCCAGACAGTCGATAGCCCTGGTTAACTCCACATTCCAGCGGGCCACCAAGGAATCAGCTGAAAGGCCATCAACATGGGATAAAACATCCCCTACCACTCTCTGGAAACTATTTGGATTCATTAAGTGGTGGGGGCGGACCATCTGAATCGGTCCCGCATCCCTGCAGAGGGGAAGGGTCGCAGAGAAGTCCAGTTGCACTAAGTGATCTGACCATGGCACTTCTTTTGTTTCAGTTTTACTTAATTGTCAGATCACCCCCATCCATGGAGGTGAACACCAGGTCTAAGGCATGTCCGTGACTATGAGTTGGGCCAAACTTATTCAGGGACGGCCCCATGGAGGCCATGCATTCCACAAAGTCCCAAGCGGTTCCTTGTAAGGTTGTGTCAGCATGGGTGTTAAAATCCCCTAGGACAACCAAACTAGCTTTCTTCAGGAGAACATCCACCACAACCTGAAGCAGCTCAGGCAGGGAATCCTTGATGCAGTAGGGAAGTTAATACAGTAATAGGAATCCTGCACTGCCTCTATTGCCCAAGCTCCAGAACATGCACTCAGAAAACTGGCGTCCCAATAGGACGCCTGGTGCAGGCTAATGACTTTCTAAAGATCACTGCAACCCCCCCTCCCCACCCAAATAACCTGGGCTGCTGTGCGTAAGAGAAACCTGGTGGACAAGCAGCGGCAAGAACAGACCCATCTGCCTCATCCAACCTCATTTCTCCATCCACAATCAAGTCATGCATGGCGGTGGTCTTGTGGATCATTGACCGGGCATTGCACAGCAGCACCTTCAGGTCATGTGGGTCTGCCTTGTTGATTCCAGCATCCTTTCAGTCAGGACCAGACTTGGAGGAAACAAAGATCTTCAGAAATGTGGCTGCTTCATTTAGTGCAGAACAACGACCGAGCCAAGGCCAGAGCAGACTCAGTCCCAGGCTCAGACTTCCATAGCATTCCCATCCAATGTGAGGAACTATCCCGTCTGAAACCGTGGAGAACCACTGCCAGTCTGTGAAACCAATACGAAACTTGATGGATCTACTATTTGACTCAATCTAACACAACTTCCTGAATGCCTAAGGCCAAGCTCACATTTCCATGGGGGAGAAGGGGTGGGGGTGAGAACAGTCTCCCCTTATCACAGAGGTTTCCCTCCTTAGCACAGCTTTCCCTCGTTGCTTTTCAAGTCTGATTTTCTTCATTCAGTTTTTAAATTTGATTAAAACAATATTTCACGACAAGGGTTCAGTCTGGAAAGAACATCAGAAGAGCCTCTGGATCAGGCCAGTGCCTGTCCAGTCCAGAATCCTGTTCTCACAGTGGCCAACCAGATGCTCCAATGGGAAACCCACAAGCAGGACCCATGCACAAGATCACGTTCTCCTCCTGTGATTTCTAGCTACAGTACTGATATTCAGAAGAATATTAATATTTTTAAAAACCTATATGCAGGATTAGAATCACAGGATTTGACTCCAGATAGAATACACCCAGAGCCTCCTGCTCAGCCCTCCCTGGAGATGCCACTGGGGACTGAGCCGAGGGGCTTCCCCATGCAAAGCAGGAGCTCTTTGACAGACCTTGAGCTCCAGCAGATGCCCTCCATCGGTTCCTGAGGCCTATACCTTCCTCAACCCCTCTAAAAGCAAAGCAGGAGAACAGAAGACCCACAAAACCCTTCTTGCACTGCCACTTCCAGAGCCCACGAACAGTTCATAAGAACATCAGAAGAGCCTGCTGGATCCATCCAGTGAGGCCCATCTGGTCCAGCATCCTGTCCTGAGAGTGGCCAACCAGATGCCTCTTCTGCCAAGCCCACAAGCAGGAATCAAAGGCAAGAGCCCTCTCCCTTCCAGTGGTTTCCAGCAACTGGCATTCAGAAGCACTGCTGCCTCTGACCTTGTAGGCAGAGTGCAGCCATCGTAGCCAGTAGCCATTGATAGGCCTCTCGTCCTCTATGAATTTGTCTAGTCCTCTTTTAAAGCCATCTCAGTTGGAGGCCATTACTGCCTCCTGTGGGAGGGAGTTCCAGAGTTTTACTATGTGAAGAAGGCCTTTCTGTTGTCTATATACCTTAAAATCTTCAACTTCATTGGATGCCCATGAGTTCTAATGTAATGACAGAAGGAGAAAAACATTTCCCTCTCCACTTTCTCCATGCCATGCATGACTTCATAAACTTCCATCAGGTTTCCTCTTAGGCCTTATGCACATTTGCCTTTCCTCCACTGTCTCCAGGCACAGACTGCACTTAAAAGCTCCAGGTCTGAGCAGGGGTTGGGGTTGTGCTTTTTTTGCTCAGAGCTTTTCCCACAAAACCCCATTCTTTGAAGCTCAATCAGAGCAAATGTCATTCGGCAGAAAACCCAAATTGACGTTTGCTCCGATCCGATTGAGCTTTAAAGAATGGGTTTTTGTGGGGACAGCTTGGAGCCAAAGAAAGAAGAAGAAATGTTTGGACATGGAGCTTTTAAGCGTGGACTGTGGCTGTAAAGATCAGGGCAAAAGGGTGTGGATAAGCCATGATTTGCCTTTTCTCTAAACTATAATGTCCAAAACCCTGCAGCCTTTCTTTGTAGGAGGGTTCTCCATCCCCCTTGATCACCTCACTTGTCCTTTTCCAGCTCTACAAAGTCATTTTTGAATGGAGATTACCAGTCCCGAGCTGTGAGAGGCCAACCCATGAGAGGCCACCCTCACCCCCTCAGGCTGCAGCCAGCCTTACCTTCCCCCTCTGTGACCACAGAGGGGGGTCCAGCTGGCCATGGGGCAGGAGCCCATTTTCTAGGCAGGAGAGGAACTGCAGGAGGTGCCCACCTTTCGGGAATCGCAGTGGTGGGCGTTGGATGCCGTCTTGGCTTACCAGGACAACTGTGCCCCCACTGTCTACTATTGGCAAGAGAAAGCGGGTGGGGGGAGAGAGACGGAAAAGAGGGAAGAGGTGAGAACCAGATTCTGTCCAAAGAAACCCCACTGGGCTCCAGGGGGAGCCAGAAGCATTTTGTTGCCCCCACCCCCAAATGGCCTAGGGCCACCCACACCTCTGCTTAATGTCGACAATGCACCCCTCGTGCGCCCTTTAAATCCCCTCGTACATACAACAGGTTTCTGGTTTTGATGTGGAGAAGCTTCTACTCTCTTTCCAGAGAATGGGGTGCTTCTCTCCTGCTTCCCCTCCAGGTCAGTCGTGGGTGGAGCCAGAGCCCAAACTGGACTGACCACCAGACAGGGCGACCAAAGCAGATTCTGTAGCGGAACCAGCCCCTCTCTTACCTTGCTGGTGGCAGTGGAGGTAGACAATGTCCTCCAGGCGGATGGTCATGGCGTAGTCCCAGTAGATGCTGTGAGAGGGAAGAACAAAGCCCATCGGGGTCACCCTCAGAAAACTCCCTGAAGGGTCAGCCCCACATCCACCTCTAACAGGAAGAAAATGGAGTGGGAATAAGCAAAACTAAACTCCTGGCAAATGCTCAACGGAAAAAAGAGACCCATCCCAAATTGTGTGGCAGTAAGTTCCACAATATTAGAGAATCCTTCCACAGTGAGTTCTCTCACTTTAAAAAATGAAACTGCAATTTTCACTACATCTATGCTACCAGTTTTTGTACCAATTTAGTGAATAATATTGAAGTTCTGAGTTAACATGCAATTGATGCATCATCTTTCAGACTGGCTCCCACCTGTTGGACCACTGAAATTGCAAGAGCTGGTTATGAAAATTTAGCTCACCTGTAGAGATGATGGCAGCATTGCTGATTGGCAGCTGAAGCTATCATTTAAGCTACCAGTATGGCTGGTGCAACTCTGCATAATTACATTTCAGCAGGAAACCTGGGATAACTCAGTCTGTAGAGCAGGAGACTCTTAATCTCAGGGTTGTGGGTTCAAGCACCACATTGGGTGAAAGATTCCTGCACTGCAGAGGACTGGACTAGATGACCCTCATGGTCCCTTCAAACACTACAATTCTATGATTCTAAACCTGTTAAGACACCACCATTGACCATTATCTAGATATATCTTCTTATACAGTGGTACCTCGGGTTAAGAACTTAGTTCGTTCTGGAGGTCCGTTCTTAACCTGAAACTGTTCTTAACCTGAGGTTAATCGCTGCAGCAGCGCGATTTCTGTTCTCATCCTGAGGCAAAGTTCTTAACCCGAGGTAATATTTATGGGTTAGCGGAGTCTGTAACCTGAAGCGCCTGTAACCTGAAGCGTCTGTAACCCAAGGTACCACTGTATACATAACCATCTAAGGCTGTTGTCATGCTCTGCAGTTCACACAACCACCAGTAGGTAGCACTGTGAAAAAAAGTGTGATGACAAACTTAGAGGCTAGCTGGGCAGCACCTGCCCAATGGGGAGGAGGGTGGTGGCCAGGGAGTAGAAGGAGTGGGGGGGGGGGGGAGGTTGACAAGCAACATGAGCAAGGATGGCACTTTCTCTCTCTCTCTCTTTGTGTGTGTGTTTGGCTTTGGCGGAAGGTCCAGGCTTTCGCTCAGAAAATCCCTGCTGACAACTGGCACAAAGCAGTAAGAAGAGTGCCGGCCATTCTGCCTCAACCCCAGCAGAGGGTGCACTGGCTCTGACGCTGGGCAGCCCTCCTCTCCTCCTAACCCTTGACGAGCACAACTAAGGACTTATTCACCTTTTCCTCCTCCCTTCCCAGGCATGATTCGCACTTGAAAGCTCTGTGTCCAAGCGCTCTTTCTTCCTCCGCTCCGTGAAAAGTGCTCTTGAGTGTTAAATCACAGTGAATAGAAATCTGCATAAAACCTGAATTGCTGTTTGTTGCGTTTCAGCTTTATTGAAATGTTTAAGTGACTTAAATGTTAGCATCCTCATTCACACAATTATTCCAAATGTTAAGGCCCCTGAGAGATATTAGGAGACAGACACCCCACATTCCTCTTTCAGTTTCTGCTGAAAAGGGATTGACTGTTAAGCCACTCTGAAAATTGTAACTCTGGGAGGGGAAGAGGAGTCCCTCTGCAACTCTCAGCACCCTTCCCAAACCACACTTCCCAGAATTCTTTGGGGGCACGCCATGATTCTTTCAAGTGGAGTTGTACAGTGGTACCTTGGGTTACATACACTTCAGGTTACATACGCTTCAGGTGATACGGAAGGGGGGGCATGTCTTCTTCACCTCCTTCTTCGCTACAATATATCCATTTATTTCCAATTGTCAATGTCAAAAGGGACTAAAATCTATAAAATTCATAGAAAACCAACTTGCCAATTTGCTCAATTTCTCTAGGACTCCATGACACCTCCCCTGTCCTCCATAATCCCTCAAGCAAGGTGTCAAGACCCTAATCCTGTCAAATCACTCTGCCAAGCCTTTCCTCCGGGCAAGGCCAGGTGGCAGACCATGCATACATGGACCATTGTCTTCTCATCAGGTACTCAGGATGTGCTTATCTGCGCATATCTCCAGCTCTGCATATTCCCCCCTCCCTCCTCCATATGTTAATCCTGTGTGACCCAACCTCTTCTTAATGTATTCATGATGTAATCTGTGTAACCCAACCTCTTCTTAATGTATTCATGATGTAACTGGGATGTATTTTGCACTGTATTCTGGGACATGGAGGGAAATTTCAAAAGTTCATGTCACCCCTTTCTCGCTGTTCAATCTCGTCTTGAACCTGTTGCGCAATAAACTTGGATCTTCTGCAGTTTGCTCCTGTCTCCGGCTGAGCTCATTTTCTTCCGCAGGGACCCGCAGGGAAGAGTCCGACGAGCTGGGTGGCAGAGTAGCCTCGCACCCAGATTTTACCATAACACAGGTTACACATTCTGGCTAACCCCGAAATAGTGCTTCAGGTTAAGAACTTTGCTTCAGGATAAGAACAGAAATCGTGCTCCAGCAGCGCGGCGGCAGAAGGCCCCATTAGCTAAAGTGGTGCTTCAGGTTAAGAACAGTTTCAGGTTAAGAACGGATCTCCGGAACGAATTAAGTACTTAACCCGAGGTACCACTGTAGTGCTTTAAATGTATAGCACAGGAGGAGCCCGAGTGGGCAGGACAAGCTCTGACCCTTCAGATCCTTCTTCAAAAGGCGGTGACTGAACCTTTTGGGGTTTCATTTGTCTTTCACTTCTCTTTGCCCAGGCTTAAAAAAGTGCAGCCATGCTACCTGAGGCCTTGCAAAAGCAAACACAGGAAAGCAGGCGTTTTTTCCTTGACCTTTGGGGAAATGCAGCAGCTCGGACAACGTGCTTGAGGCCAGAATATGGAGCCCCACCCAGCGTAAGAAGGAGCCAGCAGGAATCTGGACAAGCACAGCTGCTGATAAGCAAAGCCTGCTGGATCCGGCCAGGGGCCCATCTCAGCCAGCATCCTGTTCTCACAGGGGCCAACCAGATGTCTGTGCAGGACCTGTGCACTAGAGTCGTCTCCTCACCTTCAGTTTCGAGCAGCTGGGATTCAGAAGCACAGCTGCCTCTGACTGTGGAGGCAGAGCAGAGCCATGGTGGCCAGGAGCCATCGATAGCTCTCTCCTAGCAATGAATTTGTCTAAGAAGCGAAGAAAGCTCCCCCACCCTCCCACCCCTGTGTAGTCCAGCCTCCTTCCTCCAGGTGCCCACAGATGTTTTGGGCTCCCCTGCAGGGCTCTCAAGATCTACACAGAAATCTTTATCAAACTCCTCTAATTAAATCTGCCAGGAAGCTCCAAAGCATATGACATCCTTTCAGGTCAAAATACTCCTGTCAGGTCAAAATGCAGCCATTGCAGCCTCCCCCAGCCTGGTGCCTTCCAGGTGTTTTCAACTACAACTCCCATCAGCCCCAGCTAGCGCTAATGGGAGTTGCTGTCCACAGCATCTGCAAGGCATCAGGTTGAGGGAGGCTGATCAATTGTTTTCAACGTGGATAAATTCTGTGGTGCAGCAACTTAAACGCCTTTTCTTAATTTTCTTCTTTTGGAGTAGGTGACGACTATAATTTTTCATGGAATCATAGAACTGAAGTGTTGGAAGGGACCATGAGGGTCATCCAGTCTAACCCCTTTTGCCCAACATGGGGCTCAAGCCCATAACCCTGAGATGCTCATGCTCTACTGACTGAGCTTATAATGTTGCTGCTTACTTTAGTTTCTTTTTATGCTGCTTTTTTATCCTGTTATATGCATTAGGATAATCTATTCTCTGTGCTGCTCACCTTTTCTCATAGTCCAGATCACCCACAGAGCCATTCATCAGTTGGTTTGGGGTCCACTTGAGAGTCATGACGTCAGCAGTCTGGTGAAGGGACAAATATCCTGGGATGGACTCCATATCATCACGCTAAGAAAAGAGGAAAAGGAAGAAGAGTTGTTTGCTTTTTAATTATTTTATTATTTAAATATCTATTTGGTGCTTTTTCTTTAATTATTCTGCCATATGGCAAAGAAAGGATTAGCAAAGCAAGCCGCCATCTACGGAGTCAGTCCCTTGGTCTGTCTAGCTCAGTACTGTCTGCACTGACTGGCAGCAGCTCCTCAGTGTTTCAGACGGGGGTCCTTCTCTCCCAGCCCTGCCTGAAGATACCGAGATTTGAACTTGGGACCTTCTGTATGCAAAGCAGATGCTCTGCCACTGACTTACAGCCCATCCTGATTCCCAGAGCCTTATAATCTATAAAAACATGGAACAAAAAGAAAATGGAACAGGAGGGAGGAGGAAATCAGCAAACTCGGGTAGACGTGCTTATTTATGAATTCTTCTAATGGGCAGCTGGGCCAGAAAAATGCCATGGAAGGACATGCCCAACAAGGCTGGTAGGACGGCCCTGGCCCTTCTCTCCGCTCCTCTCCTGCCACCTGATGGAACAGCTGCTGCCAGGTGACCCGGGGCTCATCTAGCTCAGTATTGTCTACACCAGGCTTCCTCAACCTCGGCCCTCCAGATGTTTTGAGACTACAATTCCCATCATCCCTGACCACTGGTCCTGCTAGCTAGGGATCATGGGAGTTGTAGGCCAAAAGCATCTGGAGGGCCGAGTTTGAGGAAGCCTGGTCTACACTGACTGGCAGGGGATCTCCCAGCTGGACCTGGAGATGCTGGGGATTGAACTTGGGACGTCTGTACACAAAGCTCAACATATGTAGATTTTATGCAAATTTGACCTATGTGCCGTTCTTTAAGTACCTAGCAATGTCATTGCCAGGCAAGCCTCCCATCCAGGCACTGACCATACCTGGCCCTGCTTAGCTTCGGGAAAGTGCCCCCCGGACTGCACTCTGGGAGTCAACTCAAGCTGAATGGCTTACAGCACAATCCTACTAGACATGCCCATTCTAGGATCTGCTAGATGTGTACAGGGGAACCTGTGACATCCTAGCTATTGTTATACTGTTATAGCCAAGGGTCAAACACCCTCTGGGGGTCTGTTCTGCATCTTGAAAATCTCTGTTAAAAAATTAAGAGGCCAGTTTCCAGCTCTTATGACTGAGGGGCCATGACATTACAGAGCCCAGAGGGTTACAAAGAAAGATATCTACTCACTCCATGGTTGGGGGTGGGGAAAGAAATTGCTAGCATTCTGCAAATTTCCTGAGTTCTCCTCACAGCTAGCACAACTGTATGTATGCTCAGTGTTTCAGCAGTGATCATTTGACCATGGTAAAAGATTTATGGTGCTTCCCACCTTTGCTAGTGGCTACTAGATTTGGTTTCAAAGCAACCCCTTTCTAATCCAGAGAGGCTACTGTCTTTGCTCTACTCACCGGCTGCACCAATACATTATTTTTGCCGTATAAGAGTGTGGCTCTGGAGTTCTGGTGCAGCGACTCAACGTAGTCTCTGGCTGAGAGAGACAGCCGGTCGTCCATGCTTCCACTGGAATGCCTCTTCTGAATCTAGGAGAATCCAGCAGGAAATCAACTTGGAACCAGTTTACCTGTTAGGTTGCCTTACCTGCCATATGCACCCACTTTAACCACTTTGATCTGCAGAACTGGCATTGCGACTGGCACCACGTAATACTTGTTCTGCTTTTGTAAGAATCAATATTTTAGTGCGGCAGCACCCGAACACTTTGGAAGTCCCTCCCTATTGACATCAGGCAGGCACCTCCACCGTACTCTTTTCAGCGCATGCTAAAAATGTTTTTGTTTAGATAAGGCTACCCAGACATGTAGAATGTTGATGGATGTTTTAATCGGTTTTTAGCTGGTTGCTGATTTTATCTTTGGAATGTTTTAGAGTGCTGTCTTTAATGATGATTTTAATGTGTTGGTCATGAACCTTCCCCACAACATGCATGACACAAAGACATCAATAACCTCACATGTGCATGTGCACACATGCCCCACAGTCCCAGCTGCTTCCCTGCAGCTTCTGAAACCTACACAGAGAGCTGGGCGTTTGGTGGGCGAGTCTTGGCGGCAGTGAGAGCTGTGGATTCGGTGGCGCTGGACCAGCTCGTCAGCCGAGGGGTCGGTCCAGAAATGGTCGGCGGTCTTCATCTTGGTGTACTCCAGTGCACAAGGTCCCACTGTGGAAGGAGGCAATAGGCAGGGCAGGCAGAGGAAACAAGGAGAGCAAGCTGGTAGGCGGCTGTCCCCCATTTGCCGCTGCTCCCCAAACACACAGACCGCCTCCCCGCTTTGGTCCAGCTCAACAGCTGGACCAAATTCCAGAGCACTGAATTAATCAGGAAAATCCCAGAAGGTTGGAGTACCAGTGTGTGCAGCATGCCCTTGATGCAAGAACCCAAAACCTTGAGACACCATAATGAAGAACATGAGAACACAAGGAGAGCCTGCTGAATCAGGCCAATGGCCCACTGAGTTCAGCATTCTGTTCGCCATCAGCCAGATGCCCCAAAGTGAAACCCACAAGCAGTGCCTGAGCACAAGTTCTCTCTCCCTCCTGCAGCTTCCGGCAACTAGGATTCAGATGCATTTACTGCCTTCAGCTGTGAAGGCAGAGCAGAGCCATTGCAGCTAGGAGCCACTGATAGCCCTTATCTCCATGAATCTGCCCAATCCCAGTTGGTGGCCATCACTGCCTCCTGTGGGAGGGAGTTCCATAGCTTAACCACGCGCTGCGTGAAGAAGGACTTTCTTGCATCTCTCCTCAATCTTCCCACATTCATCTTCAAGGGATGTCCACGTGTTCTAGTGTTATGAGAGAGGAAGAAAAACTTTTCTCTACCCACTTTCTCCAGGGTTCCAGTTGGGGGCACTGGGGAGCAGGTATGCCCCCCCCCCCATTTCCCTGAAGGCATCCCCATCTCTTCTCTCCATTCATTAGAGGAAGCAGAAAACAGCCAAGGGGGAAACCTAGCTGATACAGGGTCCCCCTCCCTACAATAAGATATACTGAGGAGTGGGGGCTCTTATTGCCTAGAGCAGGGTTTCCCAAACCTGAGTCTCCAACTGATCTAGAGCAAGGGCAGGGGACCTGAGACTCTCCCCAGACCATGCTCCCACTCCAGACAATGAATGCCCCACCCCATCTCCACCCCCTTCTCAGGTGTTCCTGCTCCACTGGAAGGTATCCTGGAACTGCAATAATTATTATGTTTGCTTGCATGGAAACCTCTGACTTTTGCTGAAATGTAGCCAGGCAGGAGTTTCACCCTTGGCTCTGTGCCCCATGCACTTCTACCTCTGGTCCTGCCCAACTGCAAGTACCTACTCTAAAAGACTTTATCTGTATAACTTGAAAATTCACTCCCAGCATCTCGAACACAAGCAAAGTATTGCTCCAAAACAGTCAGGTTTTACCACTCAACAGCACTTCAGAAAAGCACATTTGTCAGCCCCAAAGTACATCAGGGTGTCAGTGCAGAAGCAAGCGAAGCCACATTACCCAGCAAAGAGGCAAGGATTGGCCCATCAACTGGATCCATCAGCAGGGCTTCCTTCTCATAGTATTTGCTGTACAGACAGAAAAGAAGGAGAGAGAGAGAAAGGCTTTATTAACCCCAGGAAGGGTATGGTGCGTGCATCTTCCTCCCAGGAAACATTTCTCCAGCACTCTACAGCTTCCCTGGCTGCCCACACCTCCCCATCCAAAAATGCCCTGTGGGAGGAGGGACCCAATGACATCCTCACTTTCATTGGGGGCACCCAGTAAGGCTGCCAGCTGCAGGATAAGGGTAAGGACCCTCACAGCCACCCCCGGGCCACTGTATCAATAAGGTCAGCACCCCCAAAACCCATGAGAATCTCACCAAAATTTCCTTTCCCCCTTGTTAACTTCCAAATGCAATTTCTCTCATTAATTGATGGAGCATGGTTGGGGGGAAATAATGGGGTGAGGGCTTTTTTTTTAGCACAGCACTGCATTTAACATACCGCTGGGTATTCCTCCAGTTGCCTCTGCATGCCAGTAAAAGTGAAAATTCTCCAGCACTGAACTAGGCTATTGTATGACCATTAATCTGCTCACTGAAAAATTATGAGCTTGGCTTAAGCTAGGATACCATTTTCTCAGTCTGTTGGAAAAGGAGCTGAGAAGGAAACAGGCTTGAATTAACACAAATTACAGGATTTAAATTCTGCTGTTGCCAGAGCCTCCTTTCAGTCTGGCTTGCAGGGGACTAAAATTCAGCATGATGCAACATCAGTGAGGCTCCCTCCTGCCTTTCCCTGTAGAAATGCTTTTTAAGCACACAGGTTAAAGGCAGTGATGTCCTTCTCTACCACATCCATGCCCAAAAGGAAGGCATAGATTTCTTTGCAGAGGTAGATCTAAATGGCTGTCCCGAATACACCACCTTATTTGAAGGGCGCTAATTGGAGGAGACTTTTTCAGTGATCATACAGGACCTGACACAGTTTGGGATGGGGGCAGTTTTAGAGGCTACCATGACAGAAGTGGGAGCTTCTTACTTTTCTCTATCTCCTTCCCCACCACCCAATGCCTTCTTCCTTTTTATATTCTTTTTAAATGACAGCACCTTTTAAGAAGTTAGAGAGAGAGGAAAAAAGGGGGGAAAGATAAGAAGCTTTCCCACTACAAGAAGCCCACTCCACTCCCTTCCAAAATCACAAATTATCTTGCGCTGCCCAATTCTCCTCCTGATCTGTGTTTGCCCAAGGAGACCCAGAGACAGAGCTCCACCCACCTGGCCCCAGCCAGGGAGAATCCAGCACCCCACTAGACCATATCCCTTGCTGGCTAGCTTTGACCAGCAGCTGAGAATGTTGAGCCCCCATCAGAAGTCATGATACAATACTCAATTGCAGCACCTAAAATTTAGGCAAAATGGCTTCAGCCCAAGGGCATCAAGCTGTTCTGCAGTACTTGCAGTCTGGTGTTAACCACACAGAGAAATGTTTTTATCCTTAATAGAATTGTGTTGGCTTCTGTACGTTGTATAGTTTATAGCTATGTTCATAGTGGTTTTGAATATCACTAGATATTACTAAAGTTTTGCCCTTTATTTATTTATTAATTTGTTTGTTTATTTGATTTCTACTCCACCTTCTAATCCAGAGAGATTCCAAGGTGACTTATTTTATTTATTTTTATATTTTAAAACCTAAGGGGGTAAAGTATCTCTCCCCAGCTCAACTGGACATGCTCAGAAACAAAATGTTGTGCATCAGTTGGGAAGTAAAATCATAACCTCAAAAAACATTCCTGCTTTGCGGGGGGTGGGCACTGCAACATTTTGCTGCAGGCTCTTCTTGTCCAACAGAAGACAGTTTCAGACATGCTTTCCAAATGGCCTAAAACAAACTCTGGATCTCCACAAATTGATCAGGCACATGGGGAATTCATCACAACGCCTACTTCCCATGTGAAGTCCAATGAACCCAGATGCTGAAAAGACCAAAGTTTCACTGTGCAAACGAACCTTATGGATGTCTCCCTCAGGAGCGGAGGCAGGCAAAGGAAACTGCTGCCACTCATTGTCTCTCTTTACCTGCTGTTTTCTACCAAGTGGAGCACTATTTTGTCCAGGACCTTTTCGAAAAGTGCCGTCCGGATCCAGAGGTGCTTGATGGCCTGCGGGGAGAGGCTGGGGAGCTTGGATGCCTTGCGTGTGCTCTCCTGGACACCCGGGCTCTGGTTTCGCCTTAGGGGAAAAGGGAGAACAAGTCCCATATTCACCCATATCTGTGGCTGCCCAAAATCTCCCAGAAAGACATGCACAAAGTTGATGCACTCATCTATTTACTGGACATATTTGCTTACAAAAGGATATAACCCAGGTTTTTAAGAACAAGAATGTGGAAGGAAAATTGCAGCAAAATAAGGCCTAATCTGCACAGACCAGTTTGGGGCTAAATCAGAGGCTACTTTTTCATGTCACAAAAATTATTGGTCCAGGAGTCTCAGCATCGTCATTGTTTATTTGGATACTGCCATTCCAGAACAAACTATGTTCAAGGTGGCTCACAAATAAAAAAATAATTACATAATTTACCAAGTTACAAAATATAACAAAATTTAAACAATGAACAATTAATGAGAACACCCATGAAGAAATAATGAATAAAATCAAACAATCCTCTTACAGTAAATAAAAATACCACCATAAAATCACATAAGTCTTGCACTAGCAACCCAGGTCCAATGGCCCTCCAGACTTCTCCAGGGGCCTGACGCTGGGGATTAGATGCAAGGGCCAAAGCTCTCCTTCTGCTGCTTGAAGCCCCATTCCAGCTGATGTCCGGCCATGTCTCAGCCCCATGCGCACACCCAGGCTCAGAGCATAGACTTACACATTCTCAATGAGCTGCTCCAGGTCCTGCACCTTCCGGGACAATTCCTCAGCAGGAGGAAAGCTCTTCCCCACCTTCATGAACAGGGCGGCAATCTTGTTGCTGCGCAGGAAGCCTGCCGCCCGCCGCTTGAGGCCGTGGAGGACACAGGCTTCAACGGCAGCTGGAAGGAGACAAGAGAGAGGGGCCAGATGGTGCATTAGGAGGGAGCAGTGAGGCAGTCAAGTTCGCTGATGATGGGAAGTTGTTAAAAAAGAGATTGCAAAGAGCTCCAAAAGAATGTTTCCAAAGTGAGAAAATGGGTGGTAAAATTGGCAAATGATATTCAGTGAAATGTGTAAAGTGATACATGTGGGACCAAAATGTCTTAATTGCCCATACATGTGCATGGGGTCTGAACTAGCGATGACTGACCAGGAGCGAGACCTTGGGTCTCAATGAAGATGTCACTCCAAAGTGCAATGGCTGTGAAAAAGGCAAATTCCATGCTAGGGATCATTAGGAAAGGAATTGAAAATAAAACTGCTGGCATCATAATGCTGAAAACTATGGTGCAACTGCACTTTGAATCCTGTGTCCAGTTCTGGTTGCCTCGCCTCAAAAAGGATATTGTAGAGTTGGAAAAGGTTCAGAAAAAAGCAACCAGAATGATCCAAGGAAAAGAGGGACTCCTCTATAAATAAAGGTTGCAGAATTTGGGACTTTTTAGTTGAGAGAAAAGGCGAGTAAGAGGAGACAGGATTGAAGTTCATAAAATGATGAACAGAAAGTGGACAGAGAAAACTATTTCTACCTCTCTCATACCACAGGCCACTGTGAGAACAGGATGCAGGACGAAATCCACAAGGTCCTTCTTATGTTCTTTTATTATGATAATTTTTATTAATTTTTCATTAATAACAATCCAATGGAGGCCACATTAATACAATACCAAATCATGCCAAATCACAATACAATCAAAAGAACCAATTAATCAGTTCCAAAATCAACATTTTTGGATGACTTCCCATGTTCCGGCTATCAGGAGTTGATGTTATTGATGTTATTCCTTGATCCTGCGCCAATTCTCTTAATTAGTCCAAGTTCCACAATTCCGATCTTAATCCTTTGTGGGGGTTTTTGCAGCCATTGATGTGACCACTTTCGAACGTATTTAATAAATCCATATCCATTCAATTGCAGAGGGAGTTTTATATCCTGTAGCTGTGTAAAATATTTATTTACCTTCTTTCCCCCCCTTCCTGTTGTAATCAGTCAGTTTTCTTCAACATTGCCCCTCCTTCGAGAACTGATTTCTACGTGCGACACGTCTCCATTTTGTCTCATCCGAAAGCATTCCAGAGCCCGGCCACAGCTTCTGGCCTACTTCCAGTGTTTATCTCCCTGTTCCTTCTAACGAGCTGGTGCCTTGCCAAAACCATAATAAATCAGAATCAGAGCTCTCTTTAACGGGCAATGTCACAAATCATCACAGTATTTCACACAGTCTATTCTTTTAAGTACTCCATAAAGAAAAGAGTCCCATGGACTGCAAAAAGCTCAAACCTATCCATTCTGAAGGAAATCAACCCTGAGTGCTCACTGGAAGGACAGATTGTGAAGCTGAGGCTCTGGCCACCTCATGAGAAGAGAAGACTCTCTGGAAAAAACTCTGATGTTGGGTAAGATTGAGGGCACAAGGAGAAGGGGACGACGGAGGAAGAGATGGTTGGACAGTGTTATAGAAACGACCAACATGAATTTGACGAAACTCTGGGAGGCAGTGGAAAACAGGAGTGCCTGGTGTGCTCTGGTCCATGGGGTCATGAAGAGTCGGACACGACTACTCTACTAAACAACAACAACAAAGAAAATTATAGGTTCTTGTTGAATCCCTCTAGCATTCCATATATAGTTGTAATTCATTAATAATTTCATTCCATTAATAATTGATTCTTCTTCAGTGAAGACTTGCCAAATCATAGCACAACAAATACACAAAGAGAACAAAGGCTCCTCCTCACTTACGTAGCATTCCAATTATGATAACGAAAGTTCTCTCCAGATCAAAACCCAGTGGCTGATTCATTTAGCAGGTTATCTTTCTCCTTCTTCCAAAACACATGTTTCTTATGTCCAAAATCAGATACATTTTACAAAAAACAGAGATACCGCCGTTCATGGCAACCGCCTTGGGGAGTTTCCAATACATGCAGTGCTATGCACTCTGCGTCCCTGCCCCTGCATTCCATTGGAGCGAGAAGCAGTTATCGGACGATCCACGAGGGAAAGCTCTCCCCCCAACCTGGGGGGCGGGGCTTGCAAGGATAATTACTCCCAAATTATCCTTAACTAACTGCATGGCTGGCATCCATTACTGCGGGAACAGCTGGTCGCCATGGCGGCTGTGGCAGAAGTGGTCCATTCTATGTTCATCTTACCACCTGTTCACACTCTTATCAGTTCTGCAGAGAGATCAGCTCCAACAAACACCTCCTGATGTCCTGAAATGACCTCCATTCCAGATTATCCTTATAAGAAAGCACTATTCCACTTTAGCATTTGGTGCCAGAGTTGAGATTTCCCTCCTCTTCCCTCCCTGCCCCTTTCTTCTTTTGTGTCCTGTCTTTAATCTGTGAGTCTGACAGCTGGGACTGCCATGTTTCTGAGCAATTGTACGCAAGCTGCTCTGGTAGCTGTTTTGGCTGAAGTGCAAAGAGCAAACACTGTAAAAAAGTAAAATAAACGGCAACGCTTTAGAGATTGCACTTCAACAATTGGAAGTTCAGAAAAGCTCCTCCCTAAGCTGTCCAAGCCCATCTTTGCCACAACATTGTCAGTCCCCGGATACCAATGCCAGCTTGGACCCACCAGCTTGGCGCAACCTGTGACCTCAACCAGGTATCCAAAGACATTTACCACCTGCTGCTGGGGGGACTCCAACTCCACTTTGATCCTTCTCAGAACATAAGAACTTGGGAAGAGCCAGCTCTATCAGGCCTACAGCCCAGCATCCAGTTCTCACAGTGGCCAAGCAGATGCCCCAGTAGGAAGCCACAAGCAGTTTTGGGACACAAAAGCAATACCCTCCCCTCCTGTGGCTTCCAGCAACTGGGATTCAGAAGCATTGCTACCTCCAACTGTGGCGGTCAGAGCATGGCCACTGTGGCTGGTAGCCATTGATAGCCCTCTCCTCCTCCATGAATTTGTCTCATCCTCCTTTAAAGACATCTAAGTCAGTGGCCATCACTGCCTCCTGTGGGAGTGAGTTCCATAGTTTAACTACGCACAGGGTGAAGAAGTCTGTCCATTTGTCTGTTCTGAATCTTCCAACACCCAGCTTCCTTGGATGTCCATGAGTGAAGGAGATGCTGATGTCTCCAATTATCACCCATGGCTGACATTGCCCAGAACCAGGACAGAGGCATCTTCCCTACTGGCGCTCTTGCCCTTGGGTAGCAGAGGTCCACAGCGTGAGCCAATGCTGTTGTGAATTCATTTGCCTTCCCTGCTGCGGGTGACGGTGCGGCTCCATCTCTCTAGAGTCCAATGGGGGGGCAGGGGGGAGCCAGACAGAGTAAATTAGCATTTTGGGTCTGAATTATTTTCAGCTTTGGCAAGCTGCAGTGTTTCCAACCCATTCAGCTGCCAGCAAGCTCCCTTATCAGCAGACAGCATGGCAGCCCACAGCATAGCGGGGGGAAGACACGGCAGAAGCTACCTAGAATCATAGAATTGTAGACTTGGAAGGGAACCCCAAAGGCCATCCAGCCCAACCCCCACAATCCCCACTTACCCTCCTCTGAAGAAAAAACATGCTTCCTCTGTTACAGCCCATTTCATAAGGCTTCAAAATGACAAATCAAATAATTTTTGCTGATGAACTGACAGAAGCTCAGTAAAATTTTTGAGGGCAACTTGCAAACTCAGGGAACACTGGTTCATTTTCTTAGGCTACTTTGCTTCTGGTGTGTTGCTGTCAGTTGGGAATGAACGAGAACATATTCAAGGGGTTAGTGCTCAAAGAGAGTGCTTCTTCGAACAAGGAAAAGTCATTGTCAGTTATCTAAAAAAGGGGGCACTGACACTGCTGTTTTGGTGACAAGTCTGGGGTGGAGCTATCTCACCCACCACTCACAGGTCAAGTTTGATAGGTGGGTGGAACAGACAGACAAACCCCTTCCCAAAATATCTAGTACAGTGGTACCTCGGGTTACATACGCTTCAGGTTACATACGCTTCAGGTTACAGACTCTGCTAACCCAGAAATAGTACATCGGGTTAAGAACTTTGCTCAGGATGAGAACAGAAATCGTGCTTCAGGGGCACGGCAGCAGCAGGAGGCCCCATTAGCTAAAGTGGTGCTTCAGATTAAGAACAGTTTCAGGTCCGTACTTAACCTGAAGCACCACTTTAGCTAATGGGGCCTCCCGCTGCCACCGCGCCGCCAGAGCATGATTTCTGTTCTCATCCTGAAGTTCTTAACCCAAGGTAATATTTCTGGGTTAGCAGAGTCTGTAACCTGAAGCGTATGTAACCTGAAGCATATGTAACCCAAGGTACCACTGTACAGGCATGTTCGAAGTTCGTTTCAGGGGCCTGGCTGGATGATGAAGAGTGGAGGCACTAGCCCAAGAACCCCCCAGAGATGACACAGAAGAAGACGACTTAGACCCAGGACACCCATGGTGGAACTTGGAAAACCAGTCTGTGGCAGGGACAAGTTTGGAATGAAATAAAAAGGAATATGGAGGTATGGGGAAGAAAAAAATTATCCTAATGGGGAAGGATCTCAGTAATAAAAATGAATGTATTGCCTAGAATGTTATTTTTATTCCAATCCATACCGATAGTTAGTGGAGCAGGACACTTCAAACAATGGCAAAAGGACATATCTAAATCTAACTGGCAGGGGGCGGGGCAAGAATTAAATATAAGTTACTAAAGATTCTCCTTGCCAGATTTAAAGTTATATTATGAGGTGTCCTGCCTCTGCTGGCTTCATGAAGGGATAACATTAAAGAATTCAGATATATTAGATCTGGAAGGTTATGATAACAGATTTGGATGGCATTCTAGGAAATGATATATAATGAACTGACAAAATGTTTAAGATAACTTTTGTTTAAAAAAAACAAAAAAGCCAGAAGCTTTTTTAATAGGCATCACAGGAGAAGAAATACCAAAGGACTTAAAAGAATACTTTTTGCCCAGAGATGGAAGGAAGAGGAAACGCCAACCAAGGAAGAGTGGATAGCGAAAATGATGGACTATGCAGAAATGGCGAAAATGACTGGGAAGATCAGACACCAAGATGATAGTAAATTTTAAAAAGAATGGCATAAATTTATAGAGTATATTAAGGAACAATGCAAAGATTTAAAGATGTTAGCAGGATTGATATAGCGCTTGTAATTTTTTAATAGGTAAAGAAATAAATAAGGATGTAATCAAAGTAGGATATATGAATTAGATTAGATTAAAAAATGTATTTGTGGAAAACCAGAAGGGGGAGGAGGGAAGTCTTGGGGTACAGGGAATCCCCCAATTGTATAAATAATGTTGAATTTAAGTTTGAATGATGCTAATGATGAAAACTGAAAATTAAAATTAAGAAGGAGGAGGAGGAGGAGGAGGAGGAGGAGGAGGCTTGCCTGAACGCAGGAAGGCCATTTTGGCCTACAAACCCATCCCTCCAACCTTGAGCCATACAGCAACTGGTCAAGGGTTTCCTTGCCCCAACCAAAGGGACAGATGTCTCTCTCTCTTTCTTTTCTGTGGTCTGCGGTCTGACTCATCTAAGCTGCATCAAGGGAGAAGCCAGCAAGGGATGCTTTGCGATTAAGCCAAGATGACACATTGTCACTAAATAATGAACCACCAAAGCAAGTGCTGTTTACCAAGAGCTGGCAACACAGATCCATCAGGAATGAAAGGACTCCCCCCACCATCACCCTTTCCACCTGCGTGGATGAGGCCTTTGAGGGGGGCTGCCATGCAGTCAATCCCACCAAACTTCAGGCACCCACACTGGACAAGTCCTTTGAGTGGAATCCGCTGCAGCCTTTCCATTAAAGCAGGGGTGGCCAACTCCCAAGAGACTGCGATCTACTCACAGTTAAAGACTGACAGTGATCAAACTTGTTGAGCTTTTTTTAGGAAGGAAAGCCCTGTTTTGGGGGGGTTGAGCTTCTTTGGGGGGAGCCAAAGATCTACCAGACGTTCACGATCTACCTGTTGGACGTGTCTACATTAAAGGAAGAACAAAGCAGAAAGGTTGCAGCCATGGCTTCTTAAAGGCCTGGAGGAGAACAAGGCAGAGGGATGGAACTGAAAGCTGCCCTATCCTGGCGCCATTCTCCCTTCCCCCTCCTCTGCCACTTATCATGCTAATAAGGGTTATTTAAGAGCCTGATCCTCCCCATGGAGGCTGAGGGAGGCTGGCAGGCAACTCAAATTAAATTCCCATCATCCCCAGATGGTGCTCCAGAGCTGCCCTGAGGCCAAGGAGAAATGCAACAGCAGACTTAAGAGGCTGGGATGAGAATTGCCAAGCACTCCTGCCTGTCCTGCCTTGTGGGTGGTGAGGAACAGCGCTATAAATAATGTGAAGCCCATAGGGAGCCAGCCAGCTCCAGATTTGCTCTGTTCATTTGGTGATTCAGACTACAGCTACAGTTGCTCCAAGGAAGAGGAGGTGGTGTCTGGATCACCCTATCTTAATTCTCTCCCCACTCACACAGCTGGCCTACCTTAACCAAAGAGTCAGGTTGAGGTAATGGTCAACAGGCATCACTTGTAAACGGATGGCTTAGCCAAAGGACATAAGAAGGGCCTGCTGGATGAGGCTAATGGCCCATCTAGTCCAGTCTCCTGTCCCCACAGTGGCCAACCAGATGCCCCAGTGGAAAGCCACAAGCAATTTTTGGGCACGAAAGCAATACCCTCCCCTTCTGTGGCTTCCAGCAGCTGACATTCAGAAGCATGGCTTGGCTGCAGAGCATGGCCATTGTGACTAGCAGCCATTGATAGCCTCATCTTCCATGACAGACCAGCTTCTCTGACACGATCCTGCCCACCAGTTGAGAATGATTCAAAGGCTCTTCACTACATCCCCCCAATATCAGAAGTTAGGTGGCAAGTAGAGAGGGGGCAGTTCCATGGAAGCATACAAATTTAGGGACACTTTTGAAAACTTCGTATTGTAAGACGTATTGAAGCTGTTTTGATAAGAACCTAAGATCATAAAAAGATTGTGCTGGATCAGGCCAATGGCCCATCTAGTCCACTACAGTGGTACCTCGGGTTAAGAACTTAATTCGTTCTGGAGGTCCATTCTTAACCTGAGGTACCACTTTAGCTAATGGGGCCTCCTGCTGCCACTGTGCTGCCACTGCACGATTTCTGTTCTCATCCTGAAGCAAAGTTCTTAACCCGAGGTACTACTTCTGGGTTAGCAGAGTCTGTAACCTGAAGCGTATGTAACCTGAAGCATCTGTAACCCGAGGTACCACTGGCCAACCAGGTGCTTGTGGGAAACTCATAAGCTCAATTCAAGCCCAAGAGCCCTCTCTCCTCCTGTGGTTACCAGCAACAGAGCATGGCGGCAATGTCTAATTGCCATTGATAGCCCTCTCCTCCATAAATTTGGTCCATGGAGAGAGCCACCCTTGAAGATGGGTGATGGCCAGAGCCAGGGAAGGTCAGTAGCTCCGGTTTTCCCCAGGCTAGCAGGACAGCCAAGCTGGTGTGCGCAAAGCAAGAGTCAGCACCTTGGAGAGAGGTAAAGGCTGAGTTCAGATCCGTGACCAGTGTTTCTGCAGCTGAGCCCAACCACTAATGATGTCTCAGCAACCACCAAGTTTTATAGCAGGGTTGTGTGGCCACTGAGTAGATGCTTGACCCCCCCCCCCGAACTGCCTCCTAACTAAAGGACTGGTGCCGTCTTCTGCAGCTAAGTACCTTCTTCAAGGTAATGGGGTTTCCAGCTCTTGGGATCTCTCCTCTGGGATCTCCTGATTCTCCAATGAGTCCAATAAGAGGGCCTAGCAGTGGAACTGACATTTTGGGGCTCAGGGAAGGGAAGGTGAGCTCCATGGACCCATACAGGATGAACAAGGGCCAGATCCCTCTCCACCTTGGGGCTGCTGCAGCCTCCAAGGAGTCTTGGTATGGGATCAGGAAAAAATCCACAGTTGATAAGTCAAAACAGATAGATGGAACAGTCTATTTCCAGTTCGGATCAATTTTCCATGTTTATTCTTAAGTCCCACCTCATCCCTGACTAGATGTCATCCAAAAGGGCAGTGTGCAACTGCCTTTAAGAAGCTACTGAGGCTCACAGCTCAGATACTGGTGGCCAGGCAGGACCGATGGAGCACAAAGGGGAAACTGCACACCAGACAGGACACGTCCGGCTGGCAGACTTACCACAAAAGGAAATGATGTGGCTGCTGTCTTCATGTACAAACTTCCTGGTGACGGATTCCTCCATTATCTGTTTCACCTGCAAAACAGTAGAGACAAAACAAAAGAAAGGTGAGTTTTTTAGTTTGTGAAGGTAAAATTAAAGTATTAGGTTCCAGTCCCCTTGCTAGCAGACTGGATCGCTCCCAGGACAGAGATCATTCCAGAGTTTGAAGCTTTGACGCTGCAGGGACCAAGTTCAAAGAGCTCCTGAAAGCCCCTCCAAAACACACACGCAAGAAGTAGGAGGATTTTTGTGACTATGCCTAGAAGCTGAACTCAGATGCAAGTAGAGCAGAAGGCTGAAAATTAAGCCCTGGAGAGCAGAGAGCAGTTGGATTAAAAGCGCCTGCATCAAAATGAAATCCATTTACAGCAGTTTTAAAAATTGCTCTTAAAGGAATGAAGCACACAGGCCACACTGAGTGCTTTGTTCCTGTAATGGCAACAGGAATGTGATGGAAGGGTACAAGGGGTCACCGGGCAAGTGAAGATCAGTGGGTTACAGAAGGTGCTCCTCCCAATCCCTGGGCTATGGATTCTCCCCTGGGGCTGCTGCCCCACCCACAACGCTCCGCTTATTCACCCCCCTGATTCCAGCTGGAGCAACATGAAAAGTGAGGCACAAAATGAGTGGGCACCTTGCAAGAGCAGCTGTCAGAGAAGCTGAAGAGAGGATGAAGCTTCCCCCTCCACCATCCCATCAGCCATCCTCCCCTTCCTCCTGCCTCACATTATGAAAGAAATGTTTTACTTGCACACAGCAGATGCCTGTGCACAACTCCCCAGGATTTTAAAATAATGGTGCTGAGAGCAGATGGCAGGACAGTTGGGAAAGGGAGAGATTTTAAATCTGTCTTGGGGTGGCAGCTGCTCCTTCCAGGAACATCTCTGTCATTCTTTAGCTAAGATTTTTGCATTGGAGGAGGTTGTACCAGCCTGCAAGCGCTCCAATTGGAGAACAGCCTTTACCAAAGGTGTCATGGACTTTGAAGATGCTTGAACTCAGGACGAAAGGGAGAAATGAGCTAAGAGGAAGGCAGGCCTGGCAAACTCTCACTGGGATCAACTCTCACCCGGAAACCCATGTCCCCACTGTGGAAGGACGTGTGGATCCAGAATTGGCCTCCACAGTCAGTTACAGTGGTGCCCCGCAAGACGAATGCCTCGCAAGACGGAAAAACCGCTAGACGAAAGGGTTTTCCGTTTTGAAGTTGCTTCGCAGGACGAATTCCCCTATGGGCTTGCTTCGCAAGACGAAAATACCTTGCGAGTCTTGAGATTTTTTCGCTTTTCCCCCTTTATCTAATCTGCTAAGCCTTTAATAGCCTTTAATAGCCTTTTAGCAGCTAATCCCTAAGCCTTTAAGCCTTTAATAGCCGCTAAACAGCTGATAGCGCTAATAGCGCTAATCCGTCAATGGGCTTGCTTCGCAAGACGAAAAAACCGCTAGACGAAGACTCTTGCGGAACGGATTAATTTCGTCTTGCGAGGCACCACTGTATAGCCTCCCTGTTAAGACCATATTGATGTTAGACAATCCTACTCGGCTATAAGGGATCGCCAAAGAAGAAGACAACTAGATTACCCTTGAGGATCCCTTCCAACTCGGCAATTCTTTGATTCGATGAAATCCAAGAACCTAAGAAGCACCCCTGCTGGATCAGATCAAGGGTCCGATAGGGAGGATAGGATGGGGAAAACTAACTTAGTCACCCCTCTCATGACAGGAGATTCCTGGCAACCAGCCAGCCATTCTGGGAGGCAAAGGGGCCCAACAAGCAGGGATTTTTCCTTTCCCAGGAATCAGGAAAGGTCCTGCATCTGCACCAATCCTTTCCTGAAGAAAACTGCTTTTAATGAGCTTCCTATGTTCTGCAGGGAATGTGATGGCAAGCAGCCCTTAGAGAAAGCTGCCCTGAGAGAAAAACAGTTGTGATCTCTGTCCTCTTATGAGAAGACGGAAATCGAAAAGGTGATGGCAGCTCAAGAGCTCCAGCTCAAAGCAGCTCTGAGCACAGACTTGCTTTCTTAAATGTCTTAAATGTGTCTTCTTTTGCACTTAGGAGAGACGTGCATGTTCTATTATACACCTGGAAGGTATCACACACGCAAATCCCAAGTTGGTAAACTCAAAGAGTCAGATTTTAGAATATTTATATCCTCTGTAATTTGTGTTCCGTTTTGCTTGCAGAGCTAGGCTTTTGTGGACTTACCGGTACTGGCTGAACTGCCACATGATTTCTTTAAAAAAGAAAAATTAAAAGCTGCTTTTAAGGGGGAATGATTGGCTAGCTGGCTAGTTGCTACTTAGCTAGTAGAGAAGTGTGGGATGTGACCTCTAAGGTGAGGGTAATGCAGATCTAACAGCTGAGCTCTTGAAAAGCTTGTGCTGCCTTACAAACATTGAACTGGCTTATCCTTTGAAAGCACATGAAACAGGAAGTGGCCAGGCTGGCCTCCTCCTCACTTGCATTGCCAACATCCAGGTCTGTTTGTCTCTGCAGTGCTGACAAGCCCAGGCTTTGCTCCTGCTGCTGTGCTCCTTTCCCGGTGTGCAGCTGCTGCCTCTTTTCACAGGACAGTGTGAGCTTTACAGCTGCTCAGCCAACAGCGGATGCACCAGGCCAATGACTAACCCCATTCAGCCGACAATCTCTCTCAGCTCCTTTCTGCTGCCTCACCTGCCAGCTGCGCTTCCTGCCCCCAATGTGTCCTTAGGATGACAATAAAATAATGGCATTCAGAGTCACAATTTCCTGTGCAGGTTTGGTGCTTTCCCTATCCTTGCCTTGCTGTGGGACAGGAAGCGGGGTTTGAACCTGAAGCAGATCAGTCCCAATGAGTGTTTGTATTGCAAACAAATTGAGAAATGAAGAAGCAGAAGGGGCTTCTAACCATGTGCAGAGTGCCTCTCAGCTGAGTGTTTGTATTGCAAACAAATTGAGAAATGAAGAAGCAGAAGGGGCCTCTAACCATGTGCAGAGTGCCTCTCAGCTGGCACTAAATTAGTACCCATGGCCCTCTGCCACACATCCAAGGTGGGATTTGCCTGCTGCCCCACCCCATTCCTCAGCATGCATAAATTCCCCAACTGAGTCTGTTCAAGCAGTGAAATAGGACCTGACTGCAGAGGGGATCCTGTGCTCAGTTCCCCCAAACAGCAGACGAGGAGGGAAGCCTATTTCTGCATGGCACCATTCCAGGTGGAAGATAGGGAGCTCACAGGAAAGAATAATTAAATCCCTACACACAGAAAATCAGCAGCTCAGGGAGAACGGTGCTAGCTCAGCTTCACACTTCCATGCTGGTTTTCTAAGTGCAGGGAGTTTGCTTTTTCTTCTTGGCAGGGATAAACCCAACCCACCTGTGAAGCCTGCAGTGGTTCAGTCCAGGAACTGGTTCAACTCCTCACTGGGTGTTGGTGAATAGGAGATCTTTGTTGGGGCTCTCAGAGCTGGAGGGAATTCACAATGGCAAGAACCTGGCCATGGAGTCGACCCAATGCCAGGATGAACAGGATGGCCTTGTAGCAAGTAGCCAATTATTTTTGAGGTGTGTGTGTGGGGGGGATTTCAACCCTCTTGAGTGTTGAGCCCATAACAGAAGTGTCCTTGCATTCCTTCACAGAGCAGCAGCCCCACCCTACCCCCAATGCTGCTCTGTACAAACAAAGCTTTGCTTGTGGGGAACCATCAACTTGCCTTTCCCTCTCAAGAAGCTCAGATGTTTCCGGCTAGAAAGTGTGTGGGGGGGGGGGGACTGCTATCCACAGCAAGAGAGAGCAAGTGGACTGCTGGCTGTCCCTCCGGAGCAGCAATGACCCCGGCTTCCACCAGGCAGCCGGCAGCCCCAACCCCACAGAAGGCAAACTGGTTGAGCTGCATTTTCCACCTGGTTCTGCAGCTGGAGGAGGGCAACCCTCAAGACCAGACCTGAGGCAGGCTGCCAGACTGTGCTTTCTGCCCCTCCCCTCCCTGGTATCTGACATTTGCCAGTCCTCTTCCATTTAAAAAGAATCACGGGAGGCCCATAGCTTAGTGGAAGAGCTCCCCGGCTCAGTCCCCAAAGGCATATCCAGGAAGCACAGGCAATCATTCCTATGGGAGCTCTCTGAGACTTCTTTGGGGGCACTGGGACTTCCTCTCTCTCCCCCCACCCCACCCCAAAGAACTCCTTTCTTGCATCGAGGCCTCTTTCAAAATGTCTTTGTCACAGCTGACCACGGTCTCAGATCAGAATTCCTTTTACGTATGTATTGTTGTTGTTTTAAACTGTTTCTGTATTTATAATTGTTGTTTAAAACTATTGTTATTTACTTCATAAAATTTACACACTGCTTGATGGTAAATGCTCAGAGAGAAGGAACCGATAAAATTATCAGAAAAAACTGTAAAAACAACTCTTCAAAACATTCAAAAGATAAGATCAGCAATCAACAAAAGTGCACTGTCAATGTTCTACATATCCAGACTGGCTTGCCTAAATGAAAATGTTTTCAGCGGGAGCAAAAAGAGTGCGGGGGGGGGGGCTGGTGTCAAGAGGCAGGGACTTCCGGAGTGTGGGTGCTGCCACACTGAAGCAGCCATGAGGGCATCTATGGGGTAAGGCCATCTGGCAGGTGAACTGCTCCCAAGTTGTTATGAACTTTATACCTTAAACAGCACCCCCCCCAATATTCCATTGTTTTATCTGTTTTTATATACTGTATGTGACTGATTTATAAATGTTCTTACCTTCTAAATTGCCTTGGGATGCCTCAAGGGCAGCCATTTGTAAATGAAATAAATACAAGCCTGTGGGGAAAACCCCCGTTTTTGTCCCACTTCACTTTTCTTTTACAGAAGGCGAGGAACCCTTTTCAGCCCCAGGCTGGCATTGCTCTTGGCCTGCCTTGCAAGGGGCATGCCTGCCAGCAGTGCGTGTCACCCAGGACACTTTCACACGCAGGTGTGCACACACCTCCACAGCTGACCACGCCTTCAAGGGAGAGACTGGGATGCCATCCTCCAAAGGGCACTGACCTGGGCATCTCCACCCAGCCCTGCATTAAGGCTCTTTTCATGGAGGAGACGCCATCAATGGCCACGGTGGCTCTGCTGCCTTTGCTCTAGTTCCGCGGTTGGAGACAGAAATGCTGCTGAATACCAGTTGCTGGAAGGGAGAGTTGTAGGAGGGGAGAGCGCTGGAGTGCTTGGGTCCCACTTGTAGGTTTCCCATAATGGGCATCTGGTCAGCCACTGTGAGAGCAGGATGCTGGACTCGGTGGCCTCCCATGGGCCTGATTCAGCAGGCGCTTCTGATGTTTTTAGTAGAGTCCAAGGCAGCTTGCTACACTCAACTCTTAAGGCTCCAACAACACACATTTTCCCCAGCAGTCAAACTGCCTCCTCACTGCTTTGCAAATCAAGGCTCAGAGAGAAGTTTTTAGACAGCAGTGCCAGTACCCATCCACATTAAAAGTAAACCAGGGAAGGCTGGCCTGACCTTGGCCGTGTCAGCACTGAAAAACTTGTTCTCTCATTTTGAATTTGCACAGGTGTAAACCAGGAGAGCCTTTTGGTTTGCACATTGACTATCGTCTTAACAAAACACAACTCCCTCCCACCCTGTACCCCCCTCCAATTTGTCCACCGGCTGTCACCAGCCTGTAATTCCAATATCCTGCAGGGACAAGTGGAAAAAACTATCCTGCAGATACAGCAACATCCTAATAATGAAAAAGAAAAACACACTGCTTGCATTATTCCTGTGCGTTCAATCACTGTTTGCTTTGGGTTATACAGATGATAACATAGCTGAGAAGTCTGATACGGATGGAAGAAGCACAACTGTTCTCTTTCCACCCCCTGCACACACACAAAGTTTCATTTAGGGAGACAAAAAACAATCATGGCAAGAACTGATTTTCAACAGATACCTGAGGGTGCAAAGTGGGACAATGACTTTAGGTGCCTGGGGTTAGCCTTCAATCTTAAGAAGGTAGGGATCAAAATGTTTCTCGGATCACACACACATTGCACCCAGGTACTGCTCCTAAGCACCAGGGTTGCAACGCACCTGTAGAGCCAGGTGCAGCCTTTCCCACCTTCACCATATGCAGAATTCAGTTTGGGCTCCACACTTCCCAGAACCAAAGGAAATGCCACAAGGGAACCTTCTGCAGAGCTACATTTCCCAACAAGGAAAGAACTGGAGAATTGCACTGTTTCTGTTGAGATGGAGGTGGGGGAAGGCAAGCAGAGACCTGGAAGGTAGTGTGCATCTTGAAAGCTAAATCCATTTCCCTGCTAAAGCATACAAGTTCCTACAGCCATGTAAGGTTTCTTCATACCAACCAGGTGCAAAAACTCTTATTTCTGCCTTTATTGCTGGTAACCCTCCTCCTGCCAAAATGCTTTTCTGCAGACCCGTATACAAATAGTTGAACACAATCACAGAATTGTGGAGTTGAAAGGGACCCCCACAGGTCATCTAGTCCAACCCCCTGGAATGCAGGAATGCCTAGCTGGTTCCAGGTCTGCTCTTCTTTAAAGTGGCAGAACACCTGCTTGGCATTCAAAAGGTCCCTGGTTCAATCCCTGGCAGCGTCACCCTGTTTGAAACTTCTTCTGAAGTTTACTATACAGCGGAAAGAAGCAGCCAAGCATACTAGGACTCAATTTCTTGACTTTAAGAAAGCCGACTTCATAAAACTTAGGGAAGTGCTGGGTGAGATCCCATGGACAGTACTACTAAAAGGAAAGGGAGTTCATGATGGCTGGGAGTTTGTTAAGAGGGAGATACTAAAAGCACAACGTCAGGCAATACCAATGAGACGGAAACATGGAAGGTGCCTAAAGAAGCCAGGGTGGCTATCTAAAGAACTTTTAACTGAGTTAAGATTAAAAAGGATGTGTACAAAAATGGAAAAGGGGAAACCACCAAAGAGGAATTCAAACAAATAGCCAGCACGTGTAGACACAAAGTCAGAAAGCTAAAGCACAGAATGAACTCAGGCTTGCTAGAGAGGTTAAAAGCAACAAAAAAGGCTTTTATGGGTATGTTCATAGCAAAAGGAAGAACAAAGAAACAGTGGGGTCACTCAGAGGAGAAGATGGTGAAATGCAAACAGGGGACACAGAAAGGGCTGAACTCCTCAATGCCTTCTTTGCCTCCAGTCTTCTCCGATAAAGAAAACAATGCCCGACCTGAAGAATTTGGAGCAAATGATTCAGCAAAGGAAACACAGCCCAGAATAACAAAGGAGATAGTACAAGAATACTTGGCTAGTTTAGATGTATTCAAGTCTCCAGGGCCAGATGAACTGCATCCAAGAGTATTAAAAGAACTGGCAGATGTGATCTCAGAACCACTGGCAGTCATCTTTGAGAATTCCTGGAGAACAGGCGAAGTCCCGGCAGACTGGAGGAGGGCAAATGTTGTCCCTATTTTCAAAAAGGGAAAAGAGAGGACCCAAATAATTACCGCCCAGTCAGTCTGACATCAATACCAGGGAAGATTCTGGAGCAGATCATTAAGCAAACAGTCTGTGAGCACCTAGAAAGGAATGCTGTGATCACCAATAGTCAGCATGGATTTCTGAAAAATAAGTCATGTCAGACTAACCTGATCTCGTTTTTTGACATAATTACAAGCCTGGTAGATGAAGGGAACGCAGTGGATGTAGCCTACCTTGATTTCAGGAAGGCATTTGACAAGGTGCCCCATGATATTCTTGTAAAGAAGCTGGTAAAATGCGGGCTTGACTATGCTACCACTCAGTGGATTTGTAACTGGCTGACTGACCGAACCCAAAGGGTGCTCATCAATGGTTCCTCTTCATCCTGGAGAAGAGTGACTAGTGGGGTGCCCCAGGGTTCTGTCTTGGGCCCGGTCTTATTCAACATCTTTATCAACGACTTGGATGATGGACTCAAGGGCATCCTGATCAAATTTGCAGATGACACTCAAACTGGGAGGGTGGCTAACACCCCAGAGGACAGGATCACACTTCAAAACGACCTTGACAGATTAGAGAACTGGGCCAAAACAAACAAGATGAATTTTAACAGGGAGAAATGTAAAGTATTGCACTTGGGCAAAAAAATGAGAGGCACAAATACAAGATGGGGGACACCTGGCTTGAGAGCAGTACATGTGAAAAGGATCTAGGAGTCTTGGTTGACCACAAACTTGACATGAGCCAACAGTGTGACGCGGCAGCTAAAAAGCCAATGCAATTCTGGGCTGCATCAATAGGAGTATAGCATCTAGATCAAGGGAAGTAATAGTGCCATTGTATTCTGCTCTGGTCAGACCTCACCTGGAGTACTGTGTCCAGTTCTGGGCACCACAGTTCAAGAAGGACACTGACAAACTGGAGCGTGTCCAGAGGAGGGCAACCAAAATGGTCAAAGGCCTGGAAACGATGCCTTATGAGGAACGGCTAAGGGAGCTGGGCATGTTTAGCCTGGAGAAGAGGAGGTTAAGGGGTGATATGATAGCCATGTTCAAATATATAAAAGGATGTCACATAGAGGAGGGAGGGAGAAAGGTTGTTTTCTGCTGCTCCAGAGAAGCGGACACGGAGCAATGGATCCAAACTACAAGAAAGAAGATTCCACCTAAACATTAGGAAGAACTTCCTGACAGTAAGAGCTGTTCGACAGTGGAATTTGCTGCCAAGAAGTGTGGTGGAGTCTCCTTCTTTGGAGGTCTTTAAGCAGAGGCTTGACAACCATATGTCAGGAGTGCTCTGATGGTGTTTCCTGCTTGGCAGGGGGTTGGACTCGATGGCCCTTGTGGTCTCTTCCAACTCTATGATTCTATGATTCTATGAAACCCTGGAGAGCTTCTGCCAGTCAGTGTAGACAATACTGAGCTACATGGACCAAGGGCAGATAAGGCAGCCCTCCCCCCATGTTCCTTTTGCACCCTTGGAAAACGTAGTGTGCACAACAACAGGGGCGCCATCTGTTTCTGCCATAATCAGTGGGGAGCTGTAAAATGTGCACCCAGGAAGCCCTTTCAGATCATATGATGCTACAAAGAGAAAGAAAGGTGATGCTGAGCTGACGCATATTTCCAAATTCCATCCCCTTCTAACTGCTTCACTCCCCAAAGCCATTGAAGATTTTAAAATCATGGCAGCAGCTGTTGCCACGGAAACAAACTGAAGCAATCAATGCTGGAGGATGAGCTGGCAAAGCTGGGAAAGGAGCAGGAGAGTCAGCTCCAAAGAGGCGCCCCCCCCCCCGCATGGATCTTTCCCTGGAACATTTTCAAAGCAGCAGAGGCAGAGGAAGGGAGCTCTTGGGGGAGCGGGCACGAAAAGCACCTTGAGCAGGAGAAAGCAGAGGCTATGACCTTCAAAGAGAAAGGGAATGGCCCAGGAGGCTCTTCCTCAGCCAACTCACAGCAGAAAGCTCCCCCCTCCCAGGTATTTCGGGGGGGGGGGCACCAGCAACTGACTTTAAAATAAAATGAAACACACAATTGTTAATTGCCCCCATGGCTAGTTTGGTCCCAAAGCCACATATGAGCAAAAATAAAATAACTCCGGCTCTTAAAGGATGGTTCATGTATCTTGTATCAGGTATAGATACCATCATCTTAAAAGATGCATTCTCCCAACTCTCACATATTTTTACTTATTTTTATTTATTTATTTAACTTAATATTTATTTTATTCATTTATTTTATTAATTTCTATACCGCTTTATATTTTTAAGAAAAATCTCAAAGCAGTTTACAACATATTAAATCAATAAAACATAATTAAAGCAATCTGAAGAAAGTCAAATATAGAGTATACAGTCAAAGCAACATAACAGAAAATTAAAATATTATCGTAAAGATTTCAAAATAAAGCATTACAAAGGAGGTCAACTACAGAATGCATACTTAGCACAGTAGGGCTGGGGGAGTCTGGCCCTGCCCCCTAGGCCAGGTGGAAAGGGCCTTGCAGGGAGCAGCCTCCACGCCTCACAGCCTTCTTTAAGAAGCTCAAAGTGGCATACGCAACTTTCTCCCTCTTTTGTCTTCACAACAACCCTGCGAGGCAGGTAAGGCTGAGAAAAGCAGTGACAGGCCCAGTGCGCTTCATGTCCAAGCCGGGCTATGAATCCCAGGCGCCAGTCCCACACTCTAACCTTGCACCACATTGGCTCCCTTCTCACAGACATGTTTGCCCTCTACATTTTTTTTAAAAAAGAGCAACTCATATTATATATAAGTGTGTTTTCTCAACCTGCCTTCCAATGGAAGTTTTTAGTTGGTCAAACAATTTCTAACCTATTTACAGAATAAGATACTGCAATTCTCCTAATCAGAAGAGATGTAGATTCGCATCAACTTCACCACCAATTCTGTAACGCCCCAACTTGTGTCGCTGAGTGGTGGGAAGGTAGGAGTCGTAGCCCAGCACCATGCGGAGGCACCAGGTTGCGGGAGGGGGCTCTGCTTTTACAAAAATTAAGTGAGAAGGTGGCAGAGAACCTCAGAAGAGTCAATGGCCCACATAGTCCAGCATCCTGTTCTCACAGCAGCCACCCAGAGGCCCACAAGCAAGGCCAGGACACACCAGTGCTCTCCCACTTGCAATTCCCTGCAAGGGGTATTCAGGGGTATGCATGCCTTCTTTAACAGGAGAGGGAGAGGGTAAGAAGACTGGCTGTGGGATCAAGCCAAATGGGGGCCCCTGTAGTCCAGCCTCCTATTCCCACAGTGGCCACCCAGAGGCCCCCATGGGAAGCCCACCATTAGGACTCTCCCCAATTGCAATTCTCAGTAAGTGGTCTTCAGAGGTATCCTGGCTCCACCAGTGGAGGCAGAACATAGGAAGTGCTTGGCTGTGGGATCCATGCCATCCAGCCTCCTGTTCTCACTGTGGGCAGCCAGGGGCCTGTGGGATCTGAGCACAAGGCTTCCAGCAACTGGCATTCAGACTGTGGAGGCAGAGGACAGCCCATGTGGCCAATCCTCTTTTAAGGCCCTCTTGGTTGGGGGCCATCACTGCCTCTGGTGGGAGCGAGTTCCAGACTTCCACTATGCACTGCACAAGGAAGGCATTTCTGTCCTGAATCCTCCAACGTTCAGCTTCATAGGATGTCCATGAGTAAACGGCTCTCACTGACTGCAGGCCATTCTGAGAACAACCACCGACGCCACACAATCAATAACTCTCCAGAAAAAGCTATCCAAGAATAGACCTTAAAGGTGTTCAGCACTAAGGAATAAAAACATCTTAAGCTCATTGCCGGCAGAGCAGGCAGTTAAAAGGTGCTGGAGACGACCTCCACCTTGTGCCCTGAGAGCCCCATTTAAAAATCAAAGGGAAGACACACAGCTGAGGAGGATGCCTTCTGGGTCAGCAGGATGCTACCCTCGCTGCCACTGTGCCCCCCCCCCGGCCTGGTGTTAAGTAACCACCACCCCTCCAATATTGGTGGGGTTGCCAAGGCAACCAGAAGAATTTCATTCTGCTTTCTCACCATCAACACATAAATTGGGACTGCATGAACTGGTTCCCTTGCTATTCCTTGAGAGCATTTAGAGTCAGCCAGAAAGAGAAAAAGATGCTGACATATTTTTTTGCTTGCTTCGCACCCCTCTTCACGCAAACCATGGCTGTGTTTTTTCAGTGTGTGTCACCTTTGGGACACAATTCATGTGTGTGTGTGCGCATGTGCGTGTGTTGCTTTTTGGCAAAGCATCATTTCCCCAGCACTTGTCACTATAAAACTATCTCACAAGACGATGGGCCCATCTGCACTCTAGATGTAAAGTGGTATCGCACCACTTTAAGCAGCCATGGCTTTCCCCAAAGAATCCTGGGAATTGCAGTGTTAAGGGTGGGGAGCATTGTTGGGAGACCCCCTATCCCCCTCACAGAGCTACAGTTCCCTGAGAAGAGGGACTGACCATTAAACCACACTGAGAATTGAAGTTTTGTGAGACAAATAGTTCTGTTAGGGCCTCTCAGCACCAAACAACAAACTACAGTTCCCAGGATTCTTTGGGGGAAAGGCTATGATAGTTTAAGGTGGCTTGCTAGTGTTTTACATCTACAGTGGGGACACTTTCATATTAGCCCCCCCACCACCACCAGATTCCTTGAGAGGAGCTCAGAGAAGGAGGAGGAACGTGTTTTCGGGCCACCCAACTCCTTCATCCCAGAGATCATAAAGTGGGCAGGCATGTTCTCTCTCTCTCTCAATTGCAAATTACAAGCAAGCAGAGAAGCACAATTTATTTGACTAACAGAGGAATTGCCAGCTCACAACTGCAAACAGAAATAAAACTCCCAAGCCAATGAGGACACGTGCTCATATTTCTTATTTCTTGCACAACCTGCACCCCAACACAGGAGATACAAGACAGTCCGGCCTGGAGAACATCACCATCCAAGGTTTGTGACACGTCTCCCATGTGCCACAGTTCACATCCCAGCCCAGTTTGCCTTTCACATCCTGGTCCCTCCCTGTGAGGCAGCCTGAATGAAACTCATCTCTGGCACTTACATAACCATCATCACGGTGGCTTGCTGATTAAAAGCCCTATGCAGATTCCAGCTCTCCCAGGCTCACAGGAAGAGGCGCACAGTACCTATGGCTTGGTACATAGCTGGAGGGGGAGGCTGTAGGAGGAGCAGGCAGCATTGTGGCTCAGGGACAGAGCACCTGCCTCACAAGCAAAAGGTCCCTGGTTCAATCCCTGCCTCAGAGCCTGGAGAGCAGCTGCTCCTTGTGTCAGCTGGAAAGGGTGGAGCAGTCCCAAAGACCACCCTGCCCCATGGGAGACCACCATGTTGAGCAGAGGCCAGAAAGAAAAATGGGCCTAGTGGTTGACGTGCGCCTCACCTTTGCACAGGAGGTTTCATCCCAACCATGCCAAAATCTAAGGGCAAATTCACAGTATATATTTAAAGCACATTTAAAGCACATGATTTCCTTGAAAAGTATCCTGGAAAGTGCTGTGTCTCCCCACCAGAGCTACAATTCCCAGTACTCTTAACAAACTACAGGTCCCAGAATTCTTTGGGGGAAGTCACTTTTTAAAATGTGCCTCATGTGGATCTGCACGGAGGTTTCCCCACATGCACCTCTCCATCCAGGCTCCGAGTTGAAGGGGACACATCCCAGTCGGGCCAAAGGATGGTGGGCATGGAGCCGGGCTGGTGAGGGGCACAGCCTGCAAAGAGACCTCATGCAGAGGTTCCCCATCCCTGGCATGGACCGTCCTGAGCTAGATGGACCAGTGGGCTCCCTGGATTCCGATGAGAGGCAGCGGTAGCCCCTGGTCTCTCTAGCCCCCAGCAAGGGCTTTGCTCCAGTCCATGACAAAAGAAAACACAGGAGAGGCTTTGAAGTGGAGAAGCATCAGGCCTTGGCAAACGAAAGCAGTGACCTCTTCTTGTTCATCTTGCCCTTGATGGATCTGTCAGGACGCAGCAACAGATGATGCCAGAATTCAATTAATGGGAGCAACGAAGCCAAACTTCCCCCTGGGGTCACGCCAGCCAGCCTGCAGCTCCCCTCCCAAGAGCAGCACAAGTGAATGTGCAGTAAGAGGGAGCTGCAAAGGGGTAGCCCAGTACCAGCCACACACACCTCCCAGGCTGTGGGCTCTGCACAATCCAGAACTAGACTTACGTAAGCAGCAACTCTTTTAGCACCACATGGGAAAGATTGGAGGAGCGGGGGGGGGGGTAAAAATCAGAGCCATCTCAGTTCTGATCCTTGGGGGAGGGATGAGGGGGAGGATGAAAGGGTCTTGAACCCTAGGAATGTTCATTGGCTAGGCAGACAGGTCCAGATGTCATGCTGCCAGAGACCTTGAGAAATTCTTCACGTTCCAATAATGCTGAAGGCAACAAAGATAATAAATAAGCCGTCCAGAGGGCAAGCGATGCCCACCTTCTCCAGGACATGTTCCAGACTAGAGAGGAAGGGTTGTCCCCAGATGGGGGAAAGCCACTCTGTGTGTCCTCAGAGACTCCCTTTACCTCTACTATCTCATCTTGCCCCAGGGACTACTTAAGTCCTGTTGGATCAGGAAGAGATGTCCATCATCCGGCTCTCACAGTGGCCAGCCAGATACCTGTGGGGAGCCCCCCACGGGCCCCAGCACCACCTGCGATGCCCAACAAATGGTCGCCTCTCCACGCCACCTCTCCTTTGGTGACCTTGCTGCCATGGCCTGCCCCAAATAAGGGGAGCATGGGAGACAGGAGCGAGGTCCCTGAGCACGTGAAGACTGCAAGGACCACTATGACAGGGTAACCCTGCACATGCAGGACAAAATGGGGAAGGAGTGACATGCCCCCCCCAAAAAAATCTGGAGAGTTTTGCATCCCTTCCTGCATTGCCTCGCTTTCCTTTTTTGAACAAGCTGATCTGCTTTTTGGGGTAACAACCCGCCCCCCATGTCCATTTGCAGCTGGCCAGGTCTCTTCTTCCTGAGAGGAGGGAGGAAATCTCCTCGCTCAGTCTAAAGCCCCCAAAAAGGGGGGAAATGGGAAACGGGGCTTTACTCTCCCCCGCCTTGAATAGGATGAGTCAAGCGCATGCAGCCAAAGGCAGGAGACTCTTAAGTCGCACCCCCCAAAAGCCCCAACACCCCCCCAGCGCGCAAATGCAAAGCTACCGAACGAGCCCTGCCCCCCCGTGGTGCGCAGCGCGCACCCACCTCCTTCTTGGCGCTGCGCAGGAGGCGCTGCCGCGTCTCGGCCTCGGCGGGCAGCAGCAGCAGCGACGAGGGCGTCAAGGCGCGCAGGGCGGCCGCCGAGCCCCCCGACGCCCCCCGGCTGCCGCCCCCGCCGCGCCCGCCCCCGCCGGCCCCCGGCCGGAGAGGAGGAAGAGGAGGAGGAGGAGAGGTCGCCGCCGCCGCCGCCGCCGCCATCGCGCGCTTCCTCCTTCTGCCCGAGCGCAGGGAGCCGCTGGCCGCCGAGGGCGGGTGGCTGCGCTGCGCTGCGCGGGGCTGGGCGAGCCCGACGCGCCGCCCCTCCGAGCTCCCCAGCCGCCTCCGCCTACGGCCTCCGCCGGCCGCCTTCCCGCGGACTAGCCGCTTGGCACCGCGAAGGGGAGGGGCTCCGCTGGCGCCTCCACCCCAGCCAGGAACGCGAAATGATATGAAATTCAATAATCAATTGCTAAAACATTTACGTACAGGATATAATGAATGAAATTTTAATATTAGGGAAAGTCCCAGAGACATGGAAAGAGGCATATATAACATTAATTCCAAAACAAGATACTGATGCGGCTTCCATAAAAAATTATAGACCGATTTCGTTATTAAATAATGATTGTAAATTGTTTGCTAACATAATAGCCAATAAAATGAAAACAGTATTGGAAGAGTACATACACCATGATCAGGCAGGATTTCTTCCAGGTAGACAAATTAAGGATTATATAAGAAATATTATAGATATTATAGAATACCTGGAAGTAAGAAATGAAAAGCAAGCAGCATTGATGTTTATAACAAAAATAAATAAATCCTTCCAGTAGCACCTTTAGAGATTGGTATGAGCTTTCGTGTGCATACCTGCAGAAGTGTGATACCTGCGACACTGAAAAAGCATTTGACAATGTCTCTTGGGAATTTATGAAAAAAGTACTTGAAGAAATGAATTTTAGAGAAAATTTTAGAAAAGGAATCCAAGCTATATACAGTGGTACCTCAGGTTACATGCGCTTCAGTTTACATATGCATCAGGTTACAGACCCAGAAATACTAACCCAGAAATAGTGCTTCAGGTTAAGAAATTTGCTTCAGGATAAGAACAGAAATTGTGCTCCGGCGGCGTGGCAGCAGCAGGAGGCCCCATTAGTTAAAGTGGTGCTTCAGGTTAAGAACAGTTTCAGGTTAAGTACGGACCTCCAGAACAAATTAAGTACTTAACCCGAGGTACCACTGTATTCAGATCAAAAAGCAAAATTAATTGTCAATCAGGTGGTAACAGAAGAATGTAAAATACAAAAAGGAACAATACAAGGATGTCCGCTATCACTTTTATTATTTATTTTAGTCCTGGAAGTCCTGGCGAGAAATATAAGGGCAGATGAAAACATTAAAGGAATTAAAGTAGGGAAAAAGTCATATAAATTGAAAGCCTATGCAGACGATCTGGTAATTACAGTTGAAGTTCCCAAAAACACTCTTCTGACAGTGTTAGAAAGAATTCAAGAGTTTGGGCAAAAAAAAATAAAAATGACTTGACTTGACTTTTTTTCCCCTTTTCTCTCCCCCCCCCCCTTTTTCTGTTTTTTTCTTTTTTCTTTCAAAAGAAACAATTTGTTTAAGGTAGATAAATTATACAATTGAATGTAAATATAGATGGGAAATGGCTATGTATTGTGAGTGCTTATCTGCTTTTAAAAAATTTTCATATATGATCTGTTTTTTTTACTTTTTTATTCTCTTTTTGTTCCCTTTTTCTTTACTCTGATATCTTACATTTCATTTCACTGTGTTATCATGAATAGCATTTTATAGAGGTATAAATAACTGTAAATATGAAAAGAGACAAAATATTCTCTAATTCCTTTTCCTTGGATAGATGTATTTGTTTTTCTCTTTTGTATTTTCTTTTGTTGTGATTATGTATGTATTTTAACTTGTATTGAATAAAAAATTATTAATTTTTTTAAAGAGTTTGGGCAAGTAGCAGGATTTACATTAAACAAAAGTAAGACCAAGTTATTAGTTAAAAATCTAACAGAAGCAGATAAAAAGGAATTATCTCAAACCATAGAAATAGAAACCCATAAAAAGGTTAAATATTTAGGAATTTGGCTAACAACCAGAAATATCAATATTTATAAGGATAATTATGAAAAATGTTGGAATGAGTTAAAAAGGAATCTAGAAATATGGGGCAGAATGAATTTATCATTAGTAGGAATAATTGCAGCAATTAAAATGAACGCATTGCCAAAAATGTTGTTTTTATTCCAGACAATACTGGTAATAAGCAACACAGTCTGCTTCAAGAAATGGCAAAAAGATATTTCTAAATTTATCTGGAAAGGGAAGAAACCAAGGATAAAACATAAAATATTAACAGATACTAAAGATAGAGAAGGATTCTCCCTTCCAGATTTCAAACTTTATTATGAAGTGAGCTGTGCTACTTGGATCCAGGATTGGATTAAATTAGAAAATACTGATTTACTGGATCTGGAAGGACATGATAATAGATTTGGTTGGCATGTGTACTTATGGTATAATAAAGCGAAAGTACATAAAGCTTTTCATAATCATATAATCAGGAAATCGTTGATAAAAGTATGGGGAAAATATAAAGATTTATTAGAACAAAAAACTCTGTGGTGGGTCGCCCCAACAGAAGCAATTTCAATTAAAAAGATAAATATGGAAGGGAAATGGCTGACATATAGCGATTTGCTGATAGAAAGAGAAGGGAAATTAAAACTTAAGGATTATGATGAGATAAGAGAACACATTCATGATTGGCTGCAGCATCGTCAATTAAATGAGGTTCTTAAAGAAGATAGTAAGAAAGGATTTGGATATACCATACCTAGATTTCAAAGAGAAATTGTAGATGGTAATAATAAGCTCTTAAAGAAAATGTGTAATTTACGCGGAGAAAGCCTTTGACAATATTTCTTGGAATTTTATGAAGAAGAATCTTCAGGGTATGGGGGTAGGCCAAGGTTTTGAGAATGGTATAAGTGCAATTTATTCAGAACAAAAGGCTAAACTAATTGTAAATAATGCTGTGACGGAAGAACTTAAAATTGAAAAAGGGACACGACAAGGTTGCCCAATTTCCCCACTTCTTTTATTTCGGTCCTGGAGGTTTTGCTGAATATGATTAGAAGGGACCAGATGGTTAAAGGTATACAGGTCGGAATTAAACATTATAAATTGAGAGCATTTGCAGATGACTTAGTATTGACGTTACAGGAGCCAGAATCTAGTACAAAACGGTTTTAGAACTGATTCAAGAATTTGGTCAAGTGGCAGGATTTAAATTGAACAAGTCAAAAACCAAGGTTCTAGAGAAAAATTTAACACCGTTTGAAAAAGAGAGGTTTCAGAATGAGACAGGTTTAACAGTGGTTAAGAAAGTTAAATACCTGGGGATTAACATGACAGCAAAAAGTGGGAATTTATTTAAAGATAATTATGAAAAATGTTGGTCAGAAGTGAAAAAAGATTTAGAAATTTGGTCAAATTTGAAGCTTTCACTGCTAGGCCGTATTGCTGCGATAAAGATGAATGTATTGCCTAGAATGTTGTTCTTGTTTCAAACTTTGCAGATCGTGGATAAAATGGATTGTTTCAAGAGGTGGCAGAAAGATATCTCTAAATTTGTCTGGCAGGGCAAGAAGCCTAGAATAAAATTTAAAATACTAACAGATGCAAAGGAAAGAGGTGGATTTGCCCTGCCAGACCTCAAACTTTATTATGAATCAGCAGCCTTTTGCTGGTTGAAAGAATGGCTACTACTTGAAAACACTGACATTTTGGACCTGGAAGGTTTCAATAATGTATTTGGATGGCATGCATATTTATGGTATGATAAGGTCAAAGCACATAAAGCATTTAAAAACCACATTGTCAGGAAAGCGCTATTTAATGTTTGGTTAAGATATAAGGATTTGTTAGAAAACAAAACCCCAAGGTGGCTGTCACCAATGGAAGCGAAAGCCTTGAAAAAGGTCAATATGGAGGTCAAATGGCCGAAATATTGGGAAATTTTGGAACAAGACGGAGATAGACTGAAATTGCAGAGTTTTGAAAAATTAAAAAACAAAGTGCGAGACTGGCTTCATTATTATCAGATAATGGAGGCATTTAAATTGGACAGGAAAATTGGCTTCCAGGTGGAAAGATCCAAATTAGAAACAGAATTGTTAGAACCCAAAACTAAGAATTTGTCAAGAATGTATAACTTGCTGCTGAAATGGAATACTCAGGATGAAACGGTAAAATCGGCTATGATTAAATGGGCACAGGACGTTGGACATAACATTATGTTTGCTGACTGGGAACAGTTATGGACCACAGGTATGAAATTTACGGCATGTAATGCCTTAAGAGAGAATATTATGAAAATGATATACAGGTGGTACATAACCCCAGTCAAGCTTGCGAAAATCTATCACTTGCCCGATAACAAATGTTGGAAATGTAAAGAAACTGAAGGTACATTTTTCACCTTTGGTGGACGCGCCCAAAGATTAAGGTTTTCTGGGAAATGATATATAATGAATTAAAAAGGTATTTAAGTATACCTTCCCCAAGAAACCAGAGGCCTTTCTCCTGGGCATAGTGGGCCAAATGGTGTTAAAAAGGATAGAACTTTCTTTATGTATGCAACAACAGCAGCAAGAATACTCATCGCAAAGTATTGGAAGACACAAGAACTTCCCACGCTGGAGGAATGGCAGATGAAACTTATGGACTATATGGAATTGGCGGAAATGACTGGCAGAATCCGTGACCAGGGAGAAGAGTCGATGGAGGAAGACTGGAAGAAATTCAAAGACTATCTTCAGAAACACTGCAAAATTAAGGAGTGTTAGAGTGATGTTGGATTGAAAATAAGTGGTTTCCAGCTGTACAGGTTAAAGATAAGGATAGATTAAGATTAAAGATTAAGATTAAAGATGTTTAAAGAAATGGAAATTTGATAATAAAAGGGAAAAATTTAAAGCTATATGACATTAAGAGTAAGGATTAGGTTTAAAAAAGTTGAAGTTATATATTTTAACATTTTATTAAATTAAAGATTGGGATTAAAAAAGTGGAAAAGAAACTGCTGGATAAATAATGTGGATTGGAATACAAAAGAGGGAGGTATGAGGAAGTCCAGAAAATAAGTAATTTAAAATTGGAAATGGAAAAGAGAGTTTGTTTTT